TGAAGCAAATTTGTCTTTTGAAATGCAGCAAACAAATGAATGTTCGATACAACAAACATAATTGTTTGGTTCCGCAAACAATAAATATCTTTACGTCAAATAACATATTTTTGTTGTATTTTTATCCAAACATACAATAGTTTTCCCAAGCAATAAATTATTTTGAAAGAAATAAACACTATGTTAGAAAAATGAAATATATATATAGAAATAAATTATAATTATATATATATAGAAATAAATTTTTTTATTAAAAACCGTATGTTATTTCCACTAAACAATACTATTTTTCTATCAAACAACATGAATTATTCTATTGAAACAACATTTTCATTCAAATAAAATGATATTAAATCATGTTGTTTATAGCAAATAAACCCAAGTCAAACGAGTCAAACACGTATACTAAATCCAAAGAAACCATTTTCTCTGTATACAACACATGTTACATTGCCCTTACACTGTTGAGTGAAAAACTATAATATTAATGAAATGTTACCATTGATTGATGCTTCCTGGACAGTCTTTTGATCTTAGCACTAAATTATAACGTAATTCCTCGCAAAAAGCGTCTCCGGCGCTATCAGAGACGTCGTAATTTCCAATTTTCAAGCGTCGTTGCAACTTTCGACAACGGGGGAAACGCCTTTTAACATCGGAAATTACATTACGTTCGGTTACTCAGTATAGAAGCGTTGTCAAACGCTTGTCGTTCGACGACGGTTGGTAGGGTATCCCGAGCTCGGTCGGACAGTGCGAGATGACGCGAAATTATGCAACGTCCACGGTCTTTCGCCGTTACACCATAGCTAGCGTGTATCTAAAAGACACACGTAATCTTGGCAGTATCTTGACAGCGTGTGTCGGGATGCGTGGCGTTTGTAAACAAAATAAAACACGTTCCCTCGACACATTCTTTGCCACTGACGCGCCGCGCGCCTACGAGCTGTGTGTGTGCGCGTGCGTGCGCGCGCGCGCGCGCCATCATCCATCGGGTTTCATTCGCCGAGGTTTCCACGATTGTTGCGCGGTGTGCGTCGGAATTCCTGCTGCTGAATCTCCGGTGCGTATTTTATTAACCTTGGCACTCGGAGACGGATTACCGTGATCGGAGAATGCCGAACGGCTTCTAAGGTATCTTGCTAAAGACAACGAGTCCTGTAAAGACAGGATCGTTCGGGCGATTCTGTTCCAACACGCGCGAGAGCGAGACAGCGATCTCCGAACACGGAAAGGCGAAAACGAAAAAATCTCAACGCGCAAGAATCGAAGAGAGCTATACTCGAAGGAGCCTCGAACGTCGCGCGTTTTGCGTCGGACGCCGCTTCACCGGGAGGCGTCGCTCCGAGTTCCGGGGTTCGAGAGAGAGAGAAAGAGAGAGAGAGAAACCGGTCATCATCGTCTCGACGATGTTCAGATTCGCGTGTCAAGGACGAACGCGGAAATGATTCGCCGGCTCGTCGACAATGGGGAAGCGCGTGGCCGTAATTGATACACGAGGGAGAGATACGCGCGCGTCTCTCCTCTTCCCCTCGTCCTCGCGTTACTCTCGGCAAGAGACGTTCAAGTCGCGTAACATCTCGCCGACGAGACAAACCAGCCCCGCCCGGTTCCTTTTCTTCCCCGCGCGAGTCAATTTAAAGCGTCGACGACACGCCGAGGCAGCCACGTGATCAACCATCCACGTTCCGAACAGGATGAGCGCTTTTATCCGGGACAATGCCTCTGTAAAGACAAGAAGACCAGCGCGGCGGCGGACACGAGAGGCGAGACGAGAACATCAGGTTCAGCTCGACGATGCCCGGCGGTCACTTTCCATTACGCATCCTCCTCTTAATTGCTCTCTCGCTACTTTCTCCTACGTTATGTCATCCCCCGCGTATACTCCTACTTTTCCGCTCGGTACTCCGCGCGACCGAGAGGATCAGCGTCCCCCCCCTCCCCCCTCGACGAATACCGATCCTATCCATGCGGACGCCGGCGGGACGAAGAGGGGAATTCGACCTCGAGAACAATCGGCTGGAATGCGCAGACTCGTCTAGATTAACAATCCGGATGTGAATCATTGGGACGGAAGCTGGACCTCCCGCGAGAGAGAGAGAGAAAAAGAGAGAGAGAGAGAGAGAGGGGGGGGGGGAACAAGAGGTACCTGGAGAGGCGGCTCTCCGAGAGTCCCTTCGGTACATTCCAAGGTGGTCTCATCATCGAGCGATAATACCCCCGCGGGAGAGACGGAGCGTGTAAGGAGGTGACTCCTTCTTTTTGTTCCAAGCTCCCCTGTAGGACACTCGGGGGGACCCGGCGCGGCACGCTCTCTCGGCAATCAGCGCGGCCGAGGGAGGGCCCTTTGTCGGTTGGACAACCATGAAATCGTTCGGATGCCTTTCTTTTCCTCTTCACGCGACGGCCGAACGCACAACGTATTCCCCGACGAGCTCGAAATTTGTGAAAGAACGAGATAATTGCGCCGAAAGCACAGGGCCCAAATTAGTATCTCGGGTATAATAACGGGAAGGGGAAAAAAGATACGTGCCTTTCCTTTTCATCACGATAAGGGAAATGAAAAATATCAGGGTGCGTTCACGTTGTTACACGGGAAGGAAGATTTCTCTTTGGATTTGATCAAGTTTCTTTGATCGACGCAAAAATTTGTCTCTTCAGATGGATCAAATAAACGGATGTTTGATTCAACGAAGAGAATTCTTTGGTTTGTCAAACAATAAGTATCTTTACGTCGAATAACAGATTTCGTTTGTATTTTCGTCCTAACGTTACAATGGTTGTCGCAAGCGATAAATTATTTGAATGAAGTAACATTATGTTGGAAAAATATTGAAGAGCTACGTTTTGTGTTTCAGCGAAGCGATATTTAATATATAATGAAGCAAATTTTTCTTTATTGAAAATCAAATACATTATTTCCTCTAAATAATACTTTTTTTGCCGTCAAGCAACATGGTTTATTGTAGTGAAGCAACATTTTCATTCGAACGAAAGGATATTCAGTATTAAATTATGTGGTTTATATTAAGCAAATTCAAGTCAAACAAACACGTGTATTAAATCCAAAGAAATTTCCTTCTCTGTCCTCCTCCTCCTATCTTTCGATGTAAAAACTTCTTTTCTATATCGAAGGCAAACGAGAGAAACAGGCGGTAAAGCGTCGTGCACCCTCCACGGACGAAGTTGGAATCGACCATTTTTTTTTAACTGTACGCGATGCGAGCGTAGATCCTTCTTCAGGAGAGAGAGAATCGTTTCCTGTACACAGCACAACGACTTGGAATAAACTTTAATGCCTGCAATTACGTAAATTATGCTAATCACGCCACTTGTGCTCAACAAAAACCTGCGATCCACGGGCTAATGTCTTCCCGAAATTGCTGCGTGACCGGGAAATTCTTCTACAGAGCCCGCCAATAAAAAAGACTCGTCTGTATACGACAAAACTAACTTAATTACAGACGGATGTCTTGCGATCGATTAAAACTCCGCGTTTACGTTAAATATCGCGGAATTTGGGCCATAAAAGTGCGGAATTATCGAGTATCGGCTCGGCCGAGCAACGAGATCGTACGAGAATTTGTCACTTGCGTTTGCCGGCGTAGAACGAATGACGATTGATAACGGGCACATTGCTACCACTGCACTTTCACTGAGAGTCGAAAGAGTCGCCAACCAGTTTTCGAATTACGATTCGCTACTTCCCGAGCTAGGTTGACACCCGTCGCTCACAGCCGTGATTCACAATTCGCGAATACACGACGATGATAACGATGATGACGATGCATCTCTCGCGTCTATTTACGCATACCGACGGCGTTGATTCCTCGAGCATGACGCTTCGTTATTTCAGAATATACACCTGCGACACGGAAACGCGACGAAAGACGCCCGGAAAAAGTTCGTGATCCCGCTCGTTCAATATCGCTCAATAATTTCAATCGTCCAACCTAATTCGCTCGCGATGCTCGAGCGAGATACAACCGGCCGACCGAATGAATCGGCGATTCGATGCCTCTTTGATACAATCTCGGCCGTGGGGTCGTGAGAGGTCGTCCAGGTGACAAATGCAGATCGCGAGAAGAAACGTTTCACATCATCATCGGACAGCCGAGGGGAATGCGGTGCGCAACGCACGTGTGCAACGTTCATCGGCCGTCCTCGGGGTCTCGCGAGCGGCTAAGGTCTCTCTCGGGTTTATTCCCGAGAGGTAATTGCGCACGTACGTAGGTATCCCGTCCCGTCGCGCGCGCTCCCTCCCGAGGCGAGACACGCGCGGCGGCAGAATTACATGCCCACTCACCGACATGGTAAAACGAGCGAACGACGTTGGCCGATCGCGCGTGAATGCCCGGCTTCGCGATGTCCGCGGTGCCGATGCTGTTCTGAATGTTGTACAGCTGCCTGAGCGACTCCGGAACATGGGCCGGTCCCTGCGGCTTGGGTCTCCTGCTGAGGCCGAGGAAGGTGAGCAGGCTGGCCTCTATCCCGGCGATCACCTGCTCGCGCTTCCTGATGTGATTCGACGACGACGACGGCCACGATGGCGACGAGACGTTCGTGTTCGAGTCGATGCGTAGGCGAGCCTCTGCGTTAGCATTCGCAATTGCTAGCAGCGCGACTGCTGCCACGAGCACTAGACTCAGCAGCGGCGGCATGCGCATCGTGACGTCGTCACTCACTGACGTTACCTCCCTGAAAGCACAGAGGTGAGAGAATTGTGTGAGAATCTGAACTCTTTTCCTCGCGAAATCGCTCGGTCTCGATCGTGTGTGTGTGAACTCTCGAGTTTCGAGGGGGCTCTCTAGAATTCGCGGACGCCCCCGGTGGAGATCCAGACGCGAGCTCGCGCGCTGAGAAAAAGATTTCTTCAGATCCGATCAATTTTATCGCGTCCAAAGAAACTTCATCATTGGCATGCTCCGAAGAAACGAATGTTTCCATTAATAAGTACGATTGTTAAAGTCTTCAACAAATATGTATCTTTATCTTAAGTAAAATATTTATTTGGGAAAGGAAAGGATTTTCTTATAAAGAAATTATTTCATTTTACACGTTTATCATAACCGAATAATATTTTATTCGGTTAAAGGATATTATTTTAAATAATAACGTTCTTTCTGTTAAGTAATAGAGTTCTCTTGAATGAGACAATACAATTTTTACCCAAACAAATAATATTCCGTATATGCTGTTTCTCTGATACAAAGCTTAGTCAGATAAATAGAAATACTAAATCTGAAGAAATCTTTTTCCCTCTGCGCGGATGCCTCCTCACTCTCGCGTCTGTATTATCACGAGTGTGTCCTCGGCAAAATGTACAGTAGTTGCAAGCGATTCCCCTTGATTGAAGGGGACTTTCAAGTCCGAATGTCGCAAAGTGATGGATGAAAGCTCCCGGTCGTTTCCCGCATCACGAAAGACACTGAGGACTATTTGAACGTCCGCGTAAGAGTTATTAATCGGGTCGATTATTTTCCCCTTCGTGAATTCGAAGCGACGACGGGACACCGCGATTATCCGCTGTTATAAACGAGAACACACAGTCTCAACGGGCGAACGACTCGGATTCCTTACTTGTCACTTTTTTATTTCGAGGGCTCCCTAGTAGGGGTCACGGTGTGGTACTTAAGGAGGCACCTTTTACCTACGGAGGACGATGGCTGACTGAGAGAGCAGAGACTGAGGAGTTCATTAAAGAAATGCGGCCTGGCCCGAAGAATTGGAGGGAACAGATTGAGCAACCTTTTTCTAGAGATACATTAGTCAGTCCTTAAGGATGCGCAGTACTCGAGATAACCAGCGAGAAGCCGTGAGATACAGTTATGCACCAGGTAGAAGGAAAATAGATCATCTTGGCTGATCTTTTCAGGTAATCGACCGGCGTATTCTTTTAAGGGAGCGTTCCCAGGAATCTTTCATTGTTTCAACAGCCGAAACACCCGGGAAAATTGACGCACTATACGATATTTTCGAATTAATTTTTTACGAACGCAACGATAGTTATGTTAAGCTATTTTAAAGCCGTTCTACAATGTCCGTAAAAACATGATTGTAAATCTGTAAGGTAAAACGTGGTCTACAATGAGCAGTAGGAGTGTGTTTATAAGTAGAAGAGTAAGAAATTAACCACTCATAACCGATTATTCCCCTTATATTCGAATATGATTGGTCAATTTCTTATTCTTACTTTTTTATGAATATTCCTACGCTTATATATATATAGACTACGCTTAAGACAAAACTGTAAAAGCTTGTTCCGGTGTAGCAGGCATAAATGAAAATCATCTACGATTTCGTTTACGATATTATGTTGTGGCTTACCACAGCGGAACGGGCCCGCGTCTTACAGATAACTCTGTATTATAATGGTTGTTGCTTCAAATTTGTCTCATGTAAGATACATTTTCAATAATGTGAAGATCCAAATGAGAAACTCAATTTGAAAAACATTGAATTAAAATCGGGATCTTATATTTCACTTAGACCTGAATTTCTTAGTTGAATCATATGATATACCTGAGATATATAATCGCAATTATAACTAAAAAACTCACATCTAACTCTGAATTCAAGACTGAGGCCCATATTAACGATCGTTGCTTCAAATTTGTCTCAAGTAAAATATTCTAATTTGAATTTATGTCCATGTTAATAATCATTACTTAAAACTTGCTTCAGGCAAGCGAGATACTTAAATTTAGAGTTAGACTTGAGTTTTTTCCGGCTGAATCGCGCTTGAAAAAGTAAATTGCAAAAGTAAGCAAAGTATGTTACGTGGTTGAGATAAAAAGCTCAAATCTCAAAACTCTAAATTCGGGACTATCTCACGTGGGACAAGTTTCAAGTAACGACGTATTAATACAGATCTTAAGCTTGATCTACAATGTGCTTTTTGCATTTTGTTTCTTACTCTCTGTCTTTCTTTTATAAAAACTTCTATTTACTTATAGAAACAAGGGAGCAAAAAACAAGAAACAAAGAGTATATTGAAGATCAGGTTTTAAAGTTAGATATGAAGTTTTCAATTATAACGAATATGGTTAATCACAAAAAAGTTACGATATTTTTTTTCGATGAGATTCAGGATACAATTTCGTATCCAATAGGAAAATGTATCTCCTGAGAATGACTAAGAAACAAATTCTCTTATTGGATACGGGATGCGTTCCGGGAAACTTATCAAAAAAAAGTGTTGCAACTTTTTCGTAGCTGATCGTGACGTTATATTTGTGATCGTTCAATTCAGACCGTAGAATTCAGATCTAACTTTGAATTTACATCCTAGTATATTAATTGAAACAAATTTCAAGTAACGACTGTTAATACTACTACTAACCCGAGTATCTTAACTGAATCAAGTTTCCAGTAACAACTATTAACACGGGTCTTAAAGTTGTATCTGAATTTTTCAATGACATACGAATAGCGATATGATCAATCAGAAGAAGGCTGCAATATTTCTTTGTCGAGCCTTTTAGCCCACAGTCTTACACCGCAGAATGAGCTTTAAGCTTCCTCGCTCCGCTCCGAGCGAATTTCGCGAGTCCTCACAGAAATTTTGCCCGACGGTGTGGTGCCGCACAATTTCTCCGAGTCGGCGTAAGGCGAGGGAGAGATCAGAGGCTACCAGGACTCAATTCCACTTCGGTCCTCGGTTCCTGGACGGCCCGCCAATGGACGCGCGCGGAGGAATTCGTCGAATCAGCCTTCCGTCCCGAAGTATAATCGCTTTCTCTTACTCCCCGGCCATCCGAGCGTCTCTTTTTTACGATCTTATACAGGGTGATTCGACGAATATCTCCGGGGACTCTCGGAAGAGGAGAACGGACAGTTCGAATTAACGAAAGGCAAGGAGAGAAAGAGGGAAAGAGAAAGATAGAGACGCTCGCTCGTAACGGCGGTAACACCTGCATCGAGATAGGAGGGTCGGCTCGTCTTCTTCCGTCGCTCGGACTGTGCCGTCCGTCACACACGGAGGCGCCCCGAGGCGCGTATATCACGGAGGGCGTGCTCGATTTGTTTACAACAAAGTTAGCGGCACGAAAGGCCGCGAGGCGTGCGGAGAACGCGACGTAACGCGACCCGCCTCTGCGTATTTAGAGCGTAACCCGTCGTCGGCCCGTCACGACTCGCTATGTCGTGTAATTTCGGAATTGATCGAACAATGTTGTCGCATGACACACTTGCTGCGTTGCATTAACGGTAGAGTTCCGTCCGGCGGCGGACGAAACTGGTTTTATCCCGCGATTTTCAGCGCGTATTTCTCAAAGGCGGAATATTTATGCCGTCGCCGTGACTCGTTCGTTCCCTCGCTCGCTCGCTCGCTCGCGGCCGTTATCGGTGGACATTAAAGGCGGATATGTGTTCCACTCTCGGTTTCATTCAGTGTAAAATGCTGAGCCCGGTGAATGCCTTCCTGTTTAGCGCTATGCCAAAACGAACGTCGACGCGAACGGCCGCGCGAATTCCGAGACGAAGCGGAAGAGAGCCTCCGCGGCGCGCGAGGAAGACTCGAGAGCTCGAGCGACATTGGAGCTACCGAAAAGCGCGTGACGAATGTCGATAATAAGGCGCGTGTACGTACGAATTATACGCGGGATCGTTCCGACGCGAAGTCGAAAGAGCGGAAACGTCTCAACCGCGCGATTTTTCTTTTCTCATCGAGGAAAGTACTGGCGGCGGGCGAGGCGCGCTTGCTTTTTCGCGAGCTCCGTTTCGCGGGATCCCCGATTGAAACTGACGACGACGATCCGGTGGTGAATAAGGAAGCGCTCGAGAGAAGCGGGGGATACTTTGTAGATCGAGAACGCGCGCGCGTGGCGTGCCCGTTTGAATAAATCACAATGCGTAATTAATGAACGCGCCGGAGCGCACCAGCGATACTTTATTGACACGAAAAACAGCGCTTCTCGCGAACACGCGCGGTCTCTCTCTTCCTTCTCCGCCGGCTCGATAAAACGAGCGCATACAACGATACGAACAACGGCACGAGTTCCCGGTATTCTCATTAATGCCGATGCTGTACACACACGAGTTAATTAATTCTAATAATTCTCTTCTGCGAAAACGTCCGACGCGGGCCTCCTATCTACCGGCGCTTTCTTCCGCTACGCGGCGATGCCGCGCACCGCGGTTGAACTCTGCGCGTCTGTATGTGTGCAAAATGATCCTCCTCGCGAACCATCGCTTCCCTTTCCCGAGAGAATTCTTTCGCGATTTCGTCTGTTCTTGCAGCTGAACTGGAGCTGCACTAGAGAAATTCACGTACACTAAAGTACGAGGATCTCGTACGTGTACGCTTCGTACGCTTCAATGTACGTGTACATTTCTCGGACTAGCGCAGCCAGTTTAACCAAAGAGAACAGATTTTCCCAATTTTTCCGGGGGCCAGAAAAATATTCGAAGCTATACTTCGGAAGTTTCAGAAGGAAGGAGCGTTCTCCTCCCAATTTCTCCGCGGATTCCTTCGGTCTCTCGTCATCTTTGTGGAAAACATGCAGATGCGGCGGGGTTTTCAACGAAACCATCGTAAAATTTGCCAAGCGAACTTTCGCATCCTCGAGATGGAAACCCGCGGAAAGATTACGAAGAAAACGGGTGTTCCTTCCGAAACCTTAAAATACCTATACTCGAACCACACCGATCTTTGAAAATCTCGCGACCTCGATCGGCTTTTTCTTTCCGCCGGCTCTACTGCTGGGACTCAAGCGAGCGATCAGATCCTCCTCGTGTGTACGAATGAACATCTGTGCAACAATTACCTTATTGCCACTAGTCGGATGGATCACAAAGCAAGGACAAGAAGAAGGCGGAGGAGCGATTAGAACGACTTCGGCCTACATCTTCGTGCTCTCCCTCTTCGCAAGCACCGTGCCGCCATTCATCCGCTGAAAAGCATCATCACGCGTCGTTAGTCCAAGGGATTCGGGAGAAAAGGGGGGGGGGGGGGAATTAACGACCACNTCATCACGCGTCGTTAGTCCAAGGGATTCGGGAGAAAAGGGGGGGGGGGCGAATTAACGACCACGGGTCATCGGGAAGATTCATTAAAGTCCGATCACGCGTCCTCCCCGCCGCGTGTTTCGGCGGAGGGATGACAGCGGGATACAATATGGCGGTTCGTAACTCGCTCATCCGCGCGGCATCGGCACGCGAGGGCTCTCGCGGGCCTCTCGTGCGGCCCTGGCAGTACGAAGGAGCAGAGAGAGAGACGGGGCAGAAAGGTTGGTGGGACCAAGGCAGAGCCAAGCTGTCTGCCGCCGCCGCCTCTCGCGCGCGCCTCTCGGCTCTCTCGGGACCGCGCGGCGACAGCGTCGGCGGCGGCACGACGGCGGCGACACGGCAGCGGGAACGCGCGAGGGACTCTCGTTGCGCGTTAAGTAATATAATATATCCAGATCTTTTCTTCCAACGCCTCTCTCGTAGCGCGAGAGACCACCGACTTGTTTTTTCAAGGACAATGAATTTGCACCGATGCGGACGCATTCGCGCGGAAAAAGGCTCTCTCGTCACGCTTGCATTCCTCGCGGTGCGTTACCGTGTGGGCGCGGGCGCGTTTGCAGAAGGTGCCTTTAGCGCGCGCGCGAGCGCGCCTTGGGCCGCCTCCGTCGACCCTCGTCGAGACGATAGATAGCAGCGATCCCCGGCTCTCTCTCTCTCTCTCTCTACTCCAGGCGCTCTCAGGTATGCCGCTCTCAGCGAAGCTCTCGACGAGGAAAATATATTCCGAGCTTACGAGCGTTCCCCGTGCGAGAGAGAGAGAGAGACCACCCGCGCGGCCGGCGCGAGACCACCGAGCGAGCGAGCGAGCGAAGCGCGGACGGGTCGTTAATGGGCAACGTGCTCTCTTCTCCTCGACGTAGGAATTTAGTCGCGCGAGTCATCGACGGCGATGGCGAACGCGTCGCATGCGCTCGACGATGCGTAAACAAGAAGCAGCGAAGGCTCTCCGCGTCGCTCTACCTGGAAACAACATCCGCGTTGGGACGCGGGCGGGCGCGGATGGGACAGATTTGCATTCGCGTTCGCTCGCTCGCGCGCACGCACGCACGCACGCACGCATGCCGCTAACCGAGCGCGCGCCGCTGGAATGCGGCGCGCTGGGAACATACAAGGATAAGGTCGGCGCGGAGCAAGGCGCGCGCGCGCGCGCGGTGTGCTCCGAAGAGCGGCGCGCGCGAGAGAGTCACATACAGCGTAGGCACGTCATCGTCTAAAATAATCGGGCCAGGCGACGCGGCAAACGGCAGCGACAATGAGCGCGGACGGCGGCTGAGGTTGAGGAAGAAGTGGGTCGGAGAGTAGAGCGGTGGGACGCCAATTGGAAAGAAAGGAAATAGAAGAAGGAATCTCGCGGTCGCTCGCACAGCGCCTCGCGCAGCGCGGAAAGAAAGAAAGAGACGGACAGACGCGGGGAAATAAAAAAGAGAACGGGAGGGAGAGAGAGAAATGTATACGCGGAGAGCCGAGGAGAGAAGGGGAGAAACGCACATAAACAGAGAGAGAGAGAGATGGATAGATAGATAGATAGATACAGAGAGAAAGAAAAAGGAGAGAGAGAGAGAGAGAAGAATCCTTGCTCACCTTAACTAATCACGAGTCCGTAGTTCGAGCAGCCACGGCATCTCAACGGTGCCCCACGACTGTATCACGCGTGTAACCTCACCACTGGCACCACTCTCGCACGCGAGCGCGCGCGCGCGCACGGTCCACAACGCAAAAACCAGGAGGGCACTCTCCGGCGTGTCCAGCGACGGCCGGTCTGGCCGATCGCGCGCGATCGAGGAGGTGGAATACGGGAATGAGGGGGGGAGGAAGGAGACGGTGTACGGGACAGTCGGGGCGCTCGAGGAGGGAAACGAGCTGGCGACCAAGAGGACGGTCGCGACGGCGATGCCGTTTTTCGTCCTGCGACTACGACGACGACTGTCGAGACTACTGCGATCTCCCTCGTAGATTCTCCTCGTTCTTTTCCTCACGATACCATATACGGCTTCGTGAGCCGCGGCATCTGGTCCGCGAGATGAGATCTCGATCGGGCAGGCAGACCGAACGTCTACCGAACGTCGATCAGGAGGAGGAGGCGGCGGCGGTCATAGAGATCTCCGGTGAACCAGGTGCGTATCCCCTGGCGCGCTTGTCGTGCGGTAGTCGATGACGGCTGACGGAAGGGAGGAAGGGGGATGTTGGGCCTCGGTACACCTGCGCGCGACCTATCAACAGGTCCTCGCGCGCGCGCGCGCGCGCGTGCACGCACGCACGCACGACGCACGAACGCACAACAGGACACACGGAATCCGGCCCCGCCAAGTTCCACGCCGATGCGCACGTATGCACGGATATTCCTCTCCTCCTCCCCGCTGCCGTCCTTGCTGCCGCTCCGTTGTCCTCTTCCTTCCTCCGACAGGTTGTGTTGTTGACGGCTCGTCCCCGGGAGATGGATAGATAGATATAGATAGACAGATAGAGAAAGAAAGAGAGAGAGAAAGCACCCTCTTCTGGTCCTCCTCCTGATGGAGAAAGAACAATGACAAGAACGGACGGAGCACGAGGAGATCGCGGAGACGTGCCGCTGCTTGCTTTCGCGGAGCGATCGCGACGACAGAATGCCGCTCGAGGCGCACCGTTCTCGCCCGATCCACGGTCCCCGGTGGCTAACGCACACAGCCGAGATTGCGCGGAGAACTATCTCGCGAGGAGGTTTCGGCAAGGCCGCGTCGAACGTGTGTGCTCTCCCGGACCCCGATCCAGCGCGCTCCGTTCCACCGGCCCTTCCTTTTCTACCGCACGCCCCCCTTCCATCGACACGGCCGGCCAGCTTCAGGAGCGACGTGCTTTGCGCGCTCTCTCGGTCTCCGCCGGTCTCTCTCGACGGTGTTCTCTGTCTTTGTCGTACGACTTCGCGAGATTATCAGCGACGCACCTGATACCTCATGCGACGGCCAGCTACTGATCATCTCGCGAAAGCTATCTGGCCCTCTCGGGAATGGCGCGTCCTTCGTACCGCTACGGCGACGCTCGTCCTTGTTCCTTCCGCGGAACGCGACGTCGTGTTCTCCCTCGCTCCCGTTTACTCCCGCTGCTACTCCCATTTTCGGATTCGCTTCCAGTCGCAGTCCGCTGCTGCTGCAATCTTTTCCCTCTCGTCAGCTTTTCACTCGCCTGCGTTTGCCGGTGGTTCCCGATCTTGTTCCGTTCTGTTACTCATCCTAGATATCCTGCTCTATCGCCGGGTCCCGGTACCGCATCCTGATTCGCGATTTGATGAACTTCGCAGGCAGTTGCCAGCCTTCGGCCATTGCGAACATGCAGGCCGGCGTGGGTTACGTTCCGCTGAATTGTTCTGCGATCTCCCGAGGCGGAGAAAAGATACATCTGAGGTCCGGACATTCGTGTTGATTACTTCGCTACGTCGGGTTAATTCCGAAGACAATGCCGAAGTCAGCGTAAAAGTGGAGAAGGCGACGAAAGAACCGCCGCGCAAACCGCAGATTTTGAAGTGAAAACCGTTGTCGGTTGACCCAGCCTACGTCGGTAATGAAGGGACCTTCGTTGTCTGTAAGGATGCGAGTGATCCTATCGACTCGATCACGAATCGATCGGCGATCCTACTGACCGAGCAACTGATCCCGCGGTCAATACGAAAATGGTTACCACAAAAGTATAATTAGGACCAGTAAGAGCCTGAACATGGGTGTTCTAGTGCATTCGAATATTAATATACTTAGTTAATATTAATATTGATTGTGGAAAGATACATATCGGTCGTGTACGAAACGTACGTCCGAATTTTTTATTCGGCAATCATGTACGGAGAATCTGTCTTTCATGGTAAACCGATCTTTTCAATTCCGGATAAACAATTATTTAGGCGTTTTCCACTAACGCATTTCCGTAACGTGATTTATATTTTGATATAAGGAAAATTTTATAATTTCATTATATTTTGTGACGAACAAAAATTGTTCATATAATAATAAACCATTTTAATAGGACAGGAACTTTTACTTACGAAGTGAATAAATTACATTACATACGCATAGTTAAATATCTGAATGTGCAGGTCGTACTTTACAGGATTGCAGGTGTGCAAATGTTGACTTGTTTACAATCGAATTCATTATAATAAATCAAACACGTCTTAACAGAACTCAATAGGAACTTTTATTTACGAAGTAAATTACATGAAATACACGCAAAATGAAGTATCTAAACGTACTGGTTTCGCCTTACAAGATTATGTACAAGTGTTGATTCCTTTTTATAATTTAAGTATGCTACGCTGTCAGTTCCGGGAATAGATTCACCAGGAGATGATCCAGGAGAAAGTACGCCAGGTGTTTGTTGAACGGCGCGTTCTGCAAAGGATCCAGCAGAGAATCCATCAGCTTGCTCCAAAGCGTGGAGAACTCCATGAGCCACCACGGCAGCAAGGAATGCAGTCCCTCCTTGGCGGTGTCGTAGTAATCCCTCCCTTGCGAGGAGAAGTCTTTCATGTAACTCTTCTCGCCGACTATCTTCGCGTGCAAAAGCTTGACGACAATGGCAGCGCGGCCGCCGCTCAGAAGTTTCACCAGCATGTTGTAGAACATCGTGTTCACAGCGGGATCCACCCGCTTACGCGACAAGGAGCCGAAGATCCACAAGAGTTGCGAAATCACCGGAGGTCCACCCAGTAGACCGTCGACTGTAAGAACAGCACGCAATCGTCAACATGAAATGTTCAGCGTCAGGACGAAGGTATATCAAGTATTCTTATGAACTTACCGGCCTCCACGATGCACAGGCTGGCACCTTTCACGTGATCGCGCTGCGGCAGGCTGCACGGGAAGTTCTGGAAGGCGACCGGTAGATTCAGATTATTGCCGAACACCCCGTCCAGCAGCTTCCTCTCCCTGTTTTCCGCCTCGCTGAGATTGTGCTCGCTCGACGGCTCGACGCCCATGTCCATGTGCTCGTACTTTGTGTACGTGGACGCCAGGAAGGTGCTCATGAACTTGTCGAGGTGTTGTCCCTTCTCCTTGCGCAACTTGTAAGTCATGCTCTGGTAGAGGATGCCGATGTCGGGTGTGCTGTAGTTGGCGTAGTACGGCTTCAGGTTAGTCGTCGTGAGGAAAGTGTAGAGGAGCTCGCTGCTCCGCAACATCGGTTTCGACAGCAACTTCTGCAGGAACTCCTCGTAACGCTGACGATTGGTCGTCAGGGACGAATGGGGGTTTTTGCGCGACGGCAACGGCGAATCGTTCAGCTCCTTGTCGCCGTGGAACTCGGTGAGCCGCGTCCGCAGTGTGTAGAAGTCCTGATCTTGCCGCAGGACCGTCCACGACTTGGCCTCCGCTACGCTGTGCACCGCAATCATGTACACCGGCTGCGTGCCGCCGCCGTCCACGTGTGGAATGGCGACTCGCCAGGTCGTCAAATCCCGATGACTCTTGTCGCCGAAGCCCTTGATCTCATTGTACGCTCGAGCCGTGCAATCCACTTCTTCGACCGGATAGGCGTCCTGCAACTGGAAAGGAGCGCCGTCCATCGTCGACGTACGCAGAACACCGTCGACTTTGCCGAACTGATTGGTAAATCGTACGGGAGTAGACGCGTTTCCGCTCACGCTGGAAAAAACGGACGCGTGTGATTGATATAATTGTACAAAGAATATACAGCCAATAGTGGTCTCCAAATCCATTCGGTAAAATAGATGGTTGAAATGGGTATCAAAATTAAAGATCTCGACGAGCTGAAGATAAATATATAAGTTGGAAGTTGATCCGGTTTTCCGTCCCGGAAATACTGAGTTCCAAAAGTTCCAAAGTCTCAATAGTCTTTGATTTATTAAAGTATTATCAATATCATTTTATTCGTAGAGGACGTACAATTTATATATTTTGTGAAAAGTAATCTCAGGAATGTATGAACAAAATTGGAGAGTCAACGTGACAAGAGACAGAGATAATTTAGAGATAAAGCAGTTTGAAGCAGTCTCCATTTTTCGGCGAATAGCAATATTTTGATTTTATTTTTCTAAATTGTTGAATGAGCTAAATGAATTGAGTTTTAATTTTATTTAATGCTTTAATAGTTGTAGAATCAACTGGTGAGACTTCTAGAGTCTTAATCTAGCCGGAAGTGCCGGAAACCCAATCGGAATACTTGGATTTCCGGTAGGTTTTCAATTTTTTCTACCGATTCTTTTTTCACCAGGAACTGGAAGGCATAAACTTCTCAAAATGAGCCCTTATATGTCTTAAAACTCCAGCGTCTTCATCTTTTAATAAATCAAAAACCATTTAGAGTTCGGAACTTTTGGAATCTTGTACTTCCGGAACAAAAAACCGGATCGACTTCTATCCTATACATTTGTTTTCAGCTCATCGAGATCTTTAATTTGACACCCATTTCAACCATTTATTTCACTGAATGGATTACGAGAACATTTTGGCCGCATTTTTTCATTAAAAGTTTACGTGTGTGCGCATGACTGTGTAAATCCGATGAGAAATATGCTTACTTGGTTGCGATAGCCTTCGTCTGTTCGGACACCAAGTGGCCGCACAAGTATTTGTACAACTGAAATATGATAAAGAGACAGTTGTATTAGGATGTATAAGATTTCGTTAAATATTTAATGATACGCGATTTTGATATTGAATATTACTGTAATAAGAAAACTGAAAATCGTTAAGCATTCTTACTTGATAACTGTGATGGAACGATGGTAAACAGGTACTCTCTAAAAGTGCGTGTGCCTCTTGATGGGCTTCATAAAAAGGTCGCGAAGTCCGTAATTCTTGAATCTTCCCTGGCCCGCCTTCTAATACTGGAGAAGAGACACACATATTTAATAAGACACACATAATTAGTAATTTACACACGTTTTGGGCCAATTTTTATCCACTCGTGAATTGCTTACTCTGTTGTATGCCTTTCGATATGTGCAATGGTAAGTATAGGTATTCAGGGCCATCAGGGTCGAGATATACCGTGTACATAGTTTGAACGTCTACATATAAAGTTTCCTCAGCGTTGCTCGACATTTCCGGATTTAACATGCGTTTGCTGAGATCGTCTGAAAACGAAACACGATATGTATACAACTGTTACACGGGAAATTATCTTATAATACAATAGAAATTGTACGTACCAATATCTAGACAAAACTGAAGGAGATTCATAGGTCCCGTTTCTTTAATATGTTGCATGAACATGTACAACAGTTCAGGATTGTTCAAAACTTCGTCCAGAGATTGCTTGAAGCAATTCTGCGCGATGTGCGGATGCATCGCTGGAACCGTGACCCAGGATTGCAACATCGGCACGCTAATGGTTTCCGCGGCGTCTGACAGAGAAGTGTCACGGTGCGTGGACAATGTCACCAACATATTTATATTCTCTGGGTCTGCCAGTGCATCGATCGCCGGTAATAGCACCCAATTTGACAATATTTCACGTAGTATTACCTGGAAATAGACAGGGAAAAGATGTATGAAGTATACAATGGCCGGTTAAATATTCGAAGTAATTGATACACACGAAACTAGAGTAAATTCTGAAAAGATACATTACTTTGTTATTCGTTGAGACGTGTATGGCAGGCAATAAATGTGGCAATAGCGCGGTGACCAATCCTCGCAAGTAATTCAACTCAGCTTTTCTCGAATAAGCAGCTGGATGAATCTTTGAACCAAGATAACTTCCGATATAATCCCGAGGCATTCTAATTTCAGACTTGCAGTTGTACTTGCACTTTTTGCTGAGCATATTCCAGTCCCAGGCATGTTTTACAGCCAAGGGAATTAGATCGTGGAAAATGATGGTCGCTGTATCCGCACGTAATAATCTGCCAGCGATGTTCTTGGCTGCTGTCGTTATGGCTAAACGTAGCTGTTGTATAAAAGCTTCGTTGGCTGAGAAATCCGAGTACCAGGTGCAGACATAAATCTGCAGTATTTCTTCCAGAAGCTGTGATAAGGCAATGTATTTGCGTCTGTATTATTAGCGATAAAACAATACAAATTATGTCCACAGTAAGGATTATAAATACCTGCTCCAAAGCGTGATCAAAATCCTTCGGTACTTTGACCTTCGTTGAATGTGGCAATAATTTATGCCTCTTACAGACATTACTGCAAACACTGCACAGATCCTCGGCCTCGTTCTTTGTGATGAATTTGTTGCTCGTGATATTAAATCTCGTCAATAAACCGTTGATGATTTGCAACAGTTGTACGGTGTAAAAACTGGCGATCCCGTAGATACCGACCACAATGAGCATCCAAACGATACTGCAAGGGGAACTCGACCATTGTAATTCGAGAGACTTGATTTTTCAAAGATACATGTGGCACTGACAAATTCATATTATTCACCTTTGAAACACAACTAGAATGAACGTGGCAAGTAACACAATAATCGCAGACACTGTGATACTAAAATAGTATAAATCCTGCATCTTTTCGATGTTGAACAATACTTAATATTAACAGACGGAGAAACAATTCATTCGTTTATTAAATCATTCTTGTTTTGATACATAGCACTCAGCTGAACAGCGATTAACAAATGATTAGCCACTCGGGAGCCTGATTGGTCCGTACTTTCAGACCCGTCGATAAAGGCTGTCAGATATGGTCGATAAAAAAACCCGTTAATTTCAAAAGCATGTCACGTTTTTACGATTAATTACATTAGGTCTGGTTTTTTTCGCTGCACTAAAACTGCACCAGAACTACACTGAACTGAACTGAACCGCACTGGGACAGACTAGTACAGAATAGTTCAGTTCAGTGCAAAAGTGCAATGAAGAGATCTATTCGTTTTCGCTGCACCGCTGAAACGCCAGAGTAGTAATTAACATGGCTCATTACATGGCATTATTTGATTCTTCTGACGAAGAGGATTTTGTTGTTATACAACCACTATTACAACCCATTGTAGATGGAAACGATGAATGTAATATACAACTAAATATAGCGAATTTATTAATAATTTATAATATTGTATACCTTACCGATCATAAATTTAAATAAATGACTAAATGTAAAATAAATATAAATATAAAATCATAAAGATGTCTTGACATGTTAAATTCATCCTTGTGGTATGTTTGGATATTTCTGCTATGTATGTGTGTGTGACGGTATAATATTAACAATTTTTGAAAATGGAATAAAGAAGATGTTTCACACATTTCAATATAATGCAAGCCACATACCTGATAGAGACTTTTCGTATAAATTTCCGTTACGCTTACGTGCACTTCCAATCTACACTTTCAAGCACTACACTGACTACACTCCTAACTTAGTGCAACAGTTTACTGAACTGCCTACACTATATGCTGTTGCACTGCGAAACAAACAGCGTTGATGACGTCATGATGACGTCATTCTCGATAAAAAGAACGCTTTAGTGTAAACTCCTTGCACTGGTGTGCACTAGTGCAGAAAGTGTTTCGAAAAAAAAAAATAGACCTATTGTCATAGTTTATCAAGTTCCATCTTCGTATCAAAAGACGTCCGATGAGCATATCGGCTCATCCAAGTTCGAGGTGTACATTGGGTCTGTTCGTTTTCGCTGCACTGCTAGTGCAATAAGTTGAAGTGAGAAAACATATATTTGTCTCGCTTCAACTTATTGCACTAGTTCAGCGGTGCAGCGAAAACGAACAGACCTATTCATTCCTGCGTTCTAAACATAACCTAAAACGCACGTCTCATGCACGCCAGCCTTGAGTGTGTTTACCTGTGCGTTTCACCGTGTGCGAATCACCACTGCTATCTACTGCCGCTGTTGTAAACAGAATTCCTACCGATGCAGGTCGTTGACTTGCACCTTCGAAATAAGAAAATACAACGGCCGAACGTAATCCGCAAAACCGAAGTACAATCACTCGCAAGAGATCTCTCTTGCTTGCTGGAGAAGTTCTCGGAGAAATTAGGTTAAGTCCGGTGAAGCAGACGTCAAGCATCCTCACGTAGCCGGAATGACGTTACCCGGCATTGGAGTGTTCGGTACAGGGAGTATCGTAAGGATCATCATACCGTTCCTGCGAGAGAAGGGCTTCAGAATCGAGGCTATATGGGGTCGCACCTTGGCGGAGGTCTCGGAGGTGGCGAAGGACCTGGAGATACCGTTCCATACCAGCGGCATAGACGATGTCCTCCTCAGGAAGGACGTCGACCTGATCTTCATAATGTGCTCGCCAAGCTTGCACTCGCAGATCGCCGTGAAAGCCTTGGGCATCGGGAAGCACGTTGTGTGCGACAAGCCCGCAGGCTTGAGTCAAAGCGAGGCCTTGAAGATGGTACGGGCCGCGCAGTACTATCCTTCGTTGATCAGCATTGTTAATCACAGTCTGAGATTCCTGCCGACCTTCGTGCACATGAAGAAAACTCTGGAAGATGGATATCTGGGTGGACCAGTCACAGTTATAGAAGTGAGAGTACATATGGGAAGTTTGTTGCACAACGGTAAGCATATGCAAACAAAACCTAATGTTTGATCATGCAGGATTATCGGGAGAATTATAGAATCAAAGAGATATTAAGGCTACAAAGATTAGTTACAGCTTGTTCCTTTAAGATAAAATAAGGCTTGAATTACACCAAATTCCGATTGAGCCAGGTGAAGATTAATTAATTTAACGTTGCAATTGATACTTCTACTCCTCCCCTTTCTTAATTTCCTCCGAAACGGAAATCTCGATTAATTAACAATCCTACAAGTTAATCGTTAAGCTTAATCCAAATTTGGTGCAAACAAACCTGAAGCCTGATCTACAATGTGCTTTTTGCGTCTTGTTTCTTGTTCTCTATCTCTTTTCCATAGAAGTAGAAGTTCTTACAGAAGAAAGATAGAGAGCAAGAAACAAGCAACGCAAAAAGCGCACTGTAGACCAAGCTTAAGAGTCGAAACTTGCTTGAAGCCTAAAACTTATTTGTTTTATATACTTATCAGGATACGATTGGCTGTGCGACGACACGATGGGCGGAGGGATTCTCGCGCTAGTAGGCAGTCACGTTATAGACCTGATCTCCCATCTAACGGGTCAACGGGCGACGAGGGTGCACGCTGTTGTGAAGACGTTCATTCAAATGACTAAGTACATCAACGGGATCAGGCACGTCACGTCGCCGGATTTCTGTAGCTTTCAGATGGAGTTGAGCGGCGGCACCTTGGTGACGGCCACTCTGAGCAATCACCTGCAGGGACAGCTGTCCCAAGAGGTGTTGATATGCGGCGGTGGGAATTACATGGTCGTACGTGGCGGCGATTTATACGGTTGTCGCGCAGGACAAGAGGAGATTCTGTATCGCGACACGGACGATCTGCAGGGAATAACCGTGCCGATCGCCGATTCCATTCCACGGCCGTACATCAAAGGGCTCAGAAAAATGATAGCCGCGCTGAGAGAGGCCTTCCAGTCCGTGGAGGATAAGAAAGGTTGGATGAAGGAGCCGGTGTTCTCCGCGTCCACGTTTGACGACAGCCTCTACGTGCAAGCGGTAATTGACGCGCTACGTCAGAGTAACAGGCAGCGCGAGTGGGCCAAAGTCAACATGCTGACGGAGGAGCCAGACCCGAATCCTGTACTGAGCGCTGCTGTCAGGGCCACCGCTATTTCGATATAAAAAGACTGCTTCGCGCGAGAGCCGATTATTGCTTGTAGAAAGATTTGCGCTATTCTCTCATACATTTTAGAGACTGTACACTAGATAGATCAAACGACACTGATAGACGAGAAATCATATTTATTTAGGCAGCTATTATCGGCTTCTAATTTTACTATCATTAAATTAATTTAATGTTTCATTCTCACAACGATGACTTTTTTAACGCATTGAAATGACTGTTGCATTGTACATATACATATATATATATACTATGGAAGTAATATATTTATAGATACTGTCATGGTTGTGTTTATAGTACATATTAAATACACTGCTTTAACACACTATATATGTATATACAAAAAATTAAAGCAGTCTATGTAATATGTAATTAATAGTAATGTATTTATTAAGAAAAAAATATATATATAAAATAAATTTATGTATAAATGTTGTAATAATTATTTTTCATTTCTACGTTTGACTAGCCATTATATAATTGTATTATTAATAAATATTTATATTTCTATATTTGTTTATTATTGACAACTATTAAGTAATACAGACACTAAACACTGTAGTTATAATACTTGAATTTTTATAAATAGGCAAAATTCAAATTGTAACTTCACCAAAAATAAAGATGACATGGCTTAAAAGGCGTTTTGCAGATTGGAATCTCCAATTTTCACATGTTATTAAGTATAAAGTTTCTGTTTCCAAGATTTGGCAAACTTTGTTTTAACAAGAGTTTCTATATGAGCGAAGTAACTGTTGAAATTAGTGGAAGGACGTCAGTAGGTTGAATTGATGCCTTAAAGTTACTTTTTATACGCAAATATGTACACACATTGAAAATTTCTGTGCAAATAATATATTGTACATTTTTTAAATATAAAAGTATAGGTCCTGCACGTAATTGCAGTAAATTATCTTTTCTTTCCTTTAAGTTTCTTCGCTTGTCGGTGCGCCTTATAGTGGGTCTTCTTCTTTTCTTCAATAATTTCCCTGTATTTGCGCTTATTATATTTCGTGAATTCTACATTAGCCATAAGCTCGTCGACGATTGTTCTTTTGCGCTCCTTCTTTGTAAGACGTGATGAATAATAATCTGTTGCGGAATCCATAATTTTGCCAATGTGAAAGTGTTTTGGCAATCCTTTCCTGTCATTCTTCTTGTAGAACTGTTTCGGATCCAATGCTGATCTCATTTGCAACACCTCAAGGTCATGTTTGATCTCCGGTGTCATGCGAGGGGCACGCATATTAAACCATCCCCCACCTGCTCCAGCCTTTCGCTGTTCGATTCGTTTACGAGCTTGCAATTGGCGTTTGCTTGGCTCATAAGGAGGCGCAAACCGTAATTTTTCGAAACTAGATGTGATAACACTCTTCTTCATAAACTCTTCCACTGGATCGGTTTCCTTTCTCGTGCGATCTTCTTCTTCTCTCAATTTAGCCATTGAAGATCTCCAATCCATGCCAGCCTCAAAATCAAGATCAATGTCTTTGCTGGAATAAAACTTTGGTTCCTCCATTGTAATGCCGAGATATTCTGCATCATATATCTTCATTGGGTCAAGATCTAATGACAAAGAACAAAGATATTTTTAATCGTTTATAGTACAACTATAGGTAGTTATTCAACAAATACACTATATTAATCTTGTTTTCCTCCATATACAGATACAACAAACTAGAGATGTTATATCGGGTCGTCAAGGATGAAATTTGTAGAAAAAAGGCAAAGTTGGTTTATAACTTACAAATATAAGAAATTATTTTATTCATCAAAATATGCACCCATATTGTCTATACACTTTTGCCATTTAAGCGGCAGGTTGTTCAGGTCGGTGGTATAAAACCCTGGCGGACGAGAGTCAATGAATTCTTGGAAGGCCAGTTTTACAGCATTGTCGGAATTAAATTGTTTTCCTATTAAAAAGTTGTCCAAATTGCGGAAGAAGTGGTAGTCAGTGGGGGCTAGGTCTGGTGAGTCTGAAGGATAATGAAGAAGTTCCAACTCCAATTCCTGTAGTTTTGCCACAGTCATTTGCGCAGTGTGTGGTCTAGCGTTATCATGCAATAAGATAGGAGTCAATCTGTTGACCAATCTAGGCTGTTTTTCTTTAAGTTTTTGCATCATTTTGTCCAGTTGGTTGCAGTATATTTCTGCTGTGATCGATGAGCCAGGTTTCATGAAATCATAATGGATCACACTTGCACTAGACCACCAAACACTCACTATCAGCTTCTTTTCATGAATATTGCGCTTTGGAGTGTGTTTTGGTGATTCATCCTTTTCCAAGCACTGTGCTGAACGTTTGCGATCGTCATATTGGATCCATTTCTCATCACAAGTAACAATTCGATTCAAAAATGGATCAGATTTGTGACGAGAAAGCAACATCAAGCAAGCTTCCAAACGCTTTTGTTTCTGTTTTTCATTCAGTTCATGTGGAACCCACTTATCCAACTTTTTCACTTTACCGATTTGAGCTAAATGAGTTAATATTGTTTGTTTGCTAACACCAAACTTCAACGATAATTCATGGGCACTTTGAGATGGGTCAGACTTAACGGTGATCTTTAGTTCGTCATTATTGACCTTTGATTCTGGGCGACCGCGTGGCTCATTTGTCAGGTCAAAGTTATCTGTACGAAATTTGGCGAACCAATTTGATACTGTTCGTTGCGTAGTAACACTAGAGCCAAATACACTATTAATGTTTTGCGCGGTCTGCGATGCCGTAGTTCCACGTAAGAACTCATACTTCATAATAATGCGAATTTCCGACCGTTCCTTTTTCAACAAAATTAATAAAAAAAAATTTTTTAATATTTTTTAGAGCTTACGATGATTTCTTTAAACAGGCGAGATATGTAACTTTCCAACAAAGAAAACAGAACGGTAATATATTAAGCCAATGTCAAATAATAAGCTGTTACAGTTACAGGCAATATTATTAACTACAAATTTCATCCTTGCCAACCTATAACAACTTGAGAGATTAGCTTGATCAATTTATACATCCTAACCTCTATCTTATAAAAATAAAGATCAAATGTAAGCTGATCTTTCAGGCTTTATATATACTGTATAATTGCCATATAATTACCAGTCTCGTTTTCCATTTCAGTTCTCGTCAGGTTATTATATCGTTACTATATCATTACTTTCTAAGAGCCAGGAGAGAACCTAACAAAAAAATTATGGGAGCGAACACGATGTTTGCTTGATACTAGGATGTTCGATTTCGATTCGATTTTCAAGAATTCGATCTTTTTCCCCAAAAAATCGATATTTTTTAATCGATTTTTTTTTCTGTTTGATTTTTGTATGAATCGATTCTTTTAACAGAAAATCGATTTCTGATTCGACATATATAGGCCGGTATTCATAGTTGCATCTTATATATAAGACCGTCTCAAATTCATCTTCAGATATTATATGGCTCATTTCATTGGCTGCGAAACATCTGAACATGAACTTAAGTTGATCTTAAGTATAAAATTCGACCATGAATACCGGCCATAGGTTGCGTTCCGATATTCACTGCCAATGAAAAATCTCTAGCATACATAACATAAACTATAATTTCTTAAGCCAGCGGCACACGATGTTTGTTTTTATGCTGAATTACTTGCTGGATGGAAATACTGTGTTCTGATTGGTGTATCGTCATCCATTTTCAGAAATGTACCAATTAGAACGCAGTATTTCCATCCAACAAGCAATCCAGCACGAAAATAAGCACCGTGTGCCGCTGGTTTTATAGACTTTTCTAGAATCGATTTTCATAGAATCTTTTCAGTTCGATTTTTTTAGTGAATCGATTTTAGTTGTTTCGATTAAAAATCAATTCAAAAATTGATTTTTATAATGATAATCTCACATCCCTACTTGATATCGCTTTGCATGTTTGCTTGAATCACTTGTGCATAGAAACGCGCCATCTGTGCTTTCATGGAATTATTTAGTTATCTCCTTTTTTTGTGAGGTCCTCTCCTGGATCTTAGAAAGTAACAATATAGTAACGATATAATAACCTGACGAGAACTGAAATGGAAAACGAGACTGGTAATTATATGGCAATTATATGACATATATAAATGGTATATATAAAGCCTGAAAGATCAACTTATATTAGATCTTTATTTTTATAAGTTTTTACACTGCCGATAAAAGCTTTTATTTTTGGTAAGTGTTTGTATTAGATTTACTAATTATCCTAGATGAGAAACGCGACGTACGACATGTACGGACTTACATGCTTTTAAACATAAATACGATTTCTTCTCATTATACGAGAGTGGATTAAATATAAACGAGTTTTTTTTAAATTGCGCGCCCGTCGACGGAGTTAGAGGTCTGCAACGTTTTAGACAGTGGAGGGGGGTCATGGTGGAAGGTAGTAATAACGTTGGCGCGCCACGTGCTTCTTACTCTCAGCAGCAATCATGATAAGCGAGAAAGAGGTACACCCCGCAGCTGCACAACGTGTTGTTATTAAGTTTCTCGTCAACGAAAATGTAAATGCTGCTGAAATTCGGCGCCGTGCACTCCCACAGTTCGGGGAAAGAACCCTTTCATGGGCTCGGGTGAAGCAGTAGTGTAACGAATTTAAGAAAGGACGGGAGCGTGTTGAAAACATTGCCGCCGTCCCCGCACCAGCATCACAGCGCAGAACACCGAGGCTGTTCGAAAACTCATCAAAAGCGATCGGCACTTAAAATGGCTCGTTTATATTTGATCCACCCTCGTATGATACCGGGATTAAAAAATTACCAGACCGTAGGAGGAAGTGTATAAGATGGGGGACTATGTAAAAAAATAAGAAAAATGTAAATTAGAATTGATTTTGAAAAATATATGGTTTTTTTGCAAAAAGCTCGTTTATATTTGATCCACCCTCGTATATTTAGTTACAAATATATTTGTATAAATAAATATACGTAATACTTTTTTTATAATGTGCCCGCAAAGAACGATAATAAATTAAATAAATAAATAAAGGCCGATGAGACGGTCGATCGGCAGATCAGAAGCGATATTATTCATATGTAAACATTACTGTGAAGAGGACTTATTAAGCACATAAGCTTTTTATTGACCGATTTATTACACGTTACCACTTACAGTGAGCCTAGCGAAATTCGAGAGAGTAATCATAATATATTTATAATAAATACTAGTTACAGCATCGATGCAGGTTCCCATAGCAAACGATCAAACGGAAACATTTTGTATTGAATGTTTAGTTACCTTACAAACAAGTACATGAACTTACATACTTGGTACAGATCGTAGATCATCGTATAGCCTGCTCTCGTTCACTTTGCGACGATGATGACGGCTCCTCAACGTTTCACGAAACGCTTAAAATTTTAACATTAAATTTATTTATATATTTATATAATTTACTTTGTATTATATATGTATATATGTATATGTATCTATATCTATATATATGTGTACATATACATATGTTACAGAACGAGATTTCTTCTAACGAGATTTAAACCAAGAATACATCTCTCTTCCGGCTCTGACGATATGTGAAAACTAATAAGAAAAAAGTTGAGGAGCACTTTTCTCCGATTTCCAAATGAAAATACGAATGACGTATTCATAGATGCGAGCTATATTGCACTCGCGGAGAAAAAAAGAAACGCGATAATCAGTTGTAGTTTCGTCACGTTTCCCACAAATTTTCTCTTATCGCCCCCCCCCCCTTCTTTCTGTCTCTCTATCGTCAGCCGCAAGGGAGATCCCCGTTTAAATTTCCAAAACCTAATTCTGCGTGTATATGCATACATATATATGTATATATAAGCGAACATAATCTCTCGCACTCTTTCGCACGCTTGTCCTTTCACACATCTGCACGCTCTCTTCTTTCCATTTGCGTCCTGCAGCTCTCTTTCTTCCGTTCCCTCAGTCTCGCTCTCTCTCTCTCTCTCTCTCTCTCTCACACATACACACACAATCACCACTCTCGCCATATCGTTCTCTTTTCTCCTCTATATATCGTCTAATAATAACAATGATTATTAATCTCTGCAACGACTTTAAATGCGACGTAACTTCCTTCCTAACATGCATTTCCGCGCTTTCATCCTCCTCCCTTCTTTCCCTTCCCTCTTTCCTCCCTTTTCCTTTCCTCTTCAACCGGTTCTCTTCTTCATCGTGCTCTTCTCGGCGTACTCGATAAAAAGCCTAAGTTCGACTTATCGCTTACTTACGCGCTTACTTTTAATACATTACGGTGAGTCGTTTAACAAAATAAAACTATTTCAATACTACAACAGTCAGCAAGCAAAAACGATAACAGAGGTGGGTTAGTCACGGTTACGTTCGCGCAATAAAGCCACCATTGCGTCTTGCGATGTCGAAGAAAAAAAAAGAAGAAAAAAAAAGTAATAATCGACTTCGCTGAGTCGATTACGCGCGGGGGGCGGGGGCACTTTTGCGACTAGAATCAAGCTTAAGTTTTCACAACTGTCTTCCGTCATCGTCGTAACCAGAACAGGATCCAGCCCTCTTCGCGAAGTATATCAGAGTACACGAAATCGATGGACCGCCGCCTTCGTCGCGCTCGAAGGCGGCGCCGAAACACTTGAGAATATTCGCTCGTCGGAACGGTAACTCGGGCGAGGACCACGCGCTCGATCGAAGTAAACAGTTGCGCAGCCCCGGATTTCTTCACCGCCGAGAACCAAGTTGCCATTCGCGTCGGAATTCTAAGTCCGGGTCCACAGTACACGTGCAGTACAAACTTTCCGCTCTTTGCTTCGAGCAATAGAACGTAACGTAATTTCTGACAAAGGGCGTTCGAAGAGTTCACGATAACGCTTGAATTTGAGGAATCACGGCGTAATTCTGACAGCACTGGAACCGCTCCTTGCTGGAAATTACGTTTTGCAATGTAGCATTCAGAGCGAAAGGCTGAAGACTCGCCGCACCTGTGGATGGTAGATATCTAGTCTAACGTGATAGCATGCGCGACAGAAGCGAAAAAGAAGAGCATTCGATTACAAAAAATGCACGATGTTACACATGTATCTTTGATTGTACTTGATTCGTATGGGGAGGGGGGGATGTGGAATCGAATAGATCGGTGGTTCCGCTGCATCGAATGTGTGCGTGAGAGACGTTAGTTCTTACGTAACGCTGAGCGCCGTGAGATGCTATATCGCGCAATACATAATATCGTACGTGCCCCGAGAGCCCCTTCCTTCCTTCCTTCTCGGATACTCGCCTCTTCGGGGACCCTCGGGCGGGCGTGCGCGCACAATTCCATCATCGATGAAATATCAAAGTTCCAAGTGGGATGCGTAATAGACACATGTATTCGTAAATGTTCTGTATAACTGTATACCCAAATTACACGTAAGAGAGAAGTTATTAAAAGCCTTGGAACAACGCAATCGACTACGTCTCCGCCGTCCTCGCGAGGAGGGACCGTCGAGAGCTTCGAGAGAGTAGCGAGGTCTTCGGAAAATGGGAAACGGGGAGCGCTCGGCGATCCGTCCTCGACAGACTCGTCGCCATCGATCACATGGGAAAAAAATTAGTCTTAAATCAAGAATAGATATTCTCATATATATACTAGTATGCAAGAATATCATAATCTTCTTAGGAGACTTTTAGTCTCGATTTGCTTGAATTTATATTGATGTATTACTTGAATTTAATTCAAGACTAAAAATCTTTTAAAAGATTATAATATTCTTGCTTGTATATATATATATGAGGATATCTATTCTTGATTTAATAAAACTAATTGTTTTCCGCGCACGTTCGCCAGATTCGCCGCGTGCGCACTTCGCAGAGTGCCCAGCCGAAAATGGTGTACGCCGCGCGCTCGTGGCCAACGTTCTCTCGCAGAGCGTCGCTTATACTCTAAAGTTAGACATGGAAACACCACGTGAGAACCGCTACAGCCGCACACGCAAGAGTTAGCGCAGAATTTTATCCCATCGCGTCGCACGCACGATGATAGCGAATTATACGAAATACACACGAGAGAGAGAGGGAGCTCCGATGATGAGGAGCTCCCGTCGCAACTACCACGTGTCAACGTGTGAGCCTCGAGCGTTACGCGGAATGGAAATTTTCTCTACGTCGCCTCTCGACGCGCTGCTCCGCTCATTCGCTTGCCGACTCCGCGCACTTTTTCGCGTTTCGAAGAAGTTCGCAGTGAATATATATATAATATATTATATATATATAAATAATATATATATAATATATTATATATATATAATATATTATATATATATATATATATATATATATATATGTACGTATCTTTTTTTCCTATTTATATCGCGATATTGAGAATATAGCTTTTTTTCTTTCTTTTCTGTGTTAATAGAGATTCTTCTTAGAAACAGGTAGTCACACACAAAAGGTCCGCTTGTGATTTACGTGTACTTTACGTGTCTCCGGAGGGGAAGGGCGGGTGTCTCTCTATTGGATTCGCTACTTGTACTCCTTTACGTCGTAAGCTCCTCGATTGATTTACACGAAACTCTAAGTCGCAAGAAGCATTCGAGAATACGCACAGAGGCTCTCCTTCGTGTGCCCTGAGACGAGGCGAAATCACTCTCGCGAAGGATAATAGCGAGGATGAATGCGATGCGTAATGAAAGAGAAATCCTGAAGGACGCGTTCGAAAAGGAAAGTTCAAATCGCGCGTTCCGACGTTAATAGCGTCTCCTCTCGTTAATTCGCCGTCATTTTCCACCAAAAGCGAACCAGCATTCATGCTTCTCCTCTCATTCCGACGCAAAGTTCAAATTGAAGCCCTCGTCATTGTCGACGGCCGATCGATTGCGTGTACGATAGCAGTACGTTCCATTCGTGTGAGGGAAACTTTCCCTTTTTTTTCTCTCTCTTTTTCTCGAGCAAATGAAAGGAAACGATCAACGGGAAAGAAAACACGAAAAATGTACCCTGATAGAAAATCGTCTCTCTTTCTTAAATAACCGTCGCGATTATTAGAATACTTAGACAGAATACTGTTTCAAACACAGCTGCACCTGAACGATTCGCTCAAATTATCTCTTACAAAATACTAACGTTTCTTTCTCTCTCTCTCTATGCTCCGAGCATCGACTTCTACGCGTCAAGCATGCGTACGAAATTATGAACATTTTCTCGTCTCTCTCTCTCTCTCTCTCTGTCTCGTTCTCGCTTCCTCTTTATATTACTCCTATTTCTCTCCCTCTCTTTCTCGCTTCTTCTCGCACACTTCTTCTACAGATATATATCTACTATATGTATTCCTTATTCCGTGTTGTCTTCAGTGACCGTCTTAGGAATATGTTTATTAGGCATAAATGCGTTTGTATTCCCCGCGCATGTCGCGTGTGCGAAGGTGAGGGGGGAGTGTGTGTCTATGTATGTGTCTGTATGTATCACGTAGTTACATCAATGCGTCAATGCGGAAATCGACGAAGGCATTGTCGCGCGTTGCGGACGCGCGTCCGACGTTATCGTCTCGTCGACGTAGGAATCGCACTTCGAATGTGAGTTCGAAATGTACGGAGAGACGCGAATAAATGAGCCGGTTACTTGGAGCGTGCGTGCGCGCGCGTGCGTGTGTGTGTGTGTGTGTGTGTGTGTGTGTGTGTGTGTGTGTGTGTGTGTGAGCGAGTGTACGTATCATAAGTGCGAACGCATTTTATACGCGCATTTGTTGTAACTTCTTCGAAAGACGAGCATCACTCTCTCTGTTCCTCCTTCTTCCCCGCTCTGGCTGCCCTAAGAACGTGCTAAGGGGACACTGTGTGTAAAGTAAACGTCGATATTTACGTGCCGCCACCGCCGTTGCTGCCGCTGCCGATTGCGGGTAGTCGCACGAAAGAGAGAGAAAGAGAGCTTCGCCTCGACTCCGTCAATCAAAGACTACCGGGAATCGAAAGTTGCACAAGTTCTGGGACTCAAGGGCCGAGTGTGACCAAGACAGCATCCTCTCCGACGCCTTCGCTATTGCACCCGTTACCCCGGCCATAGTGTCGACCACTCACTTGGTCTGGTTGTTTTGTTGCTCCAACGGCGGCGTCAGCCTGATAGGTGCGGCGTTGTTCGGATTCGGGGCGGTCGGTCCTTTGCGCGCGAGTTTCGACCTGCGGCGTATCGAAGCATTCTATCTACCGTTTCCACGTTGTACTGAACGTCGAAATCGAAGGACATACGAAGAACGCCTCAGTTTCCTGGACGTTCTTCGGACTTTCGGATTTCTACGTTTTTCTTTGATTGTTGCGTGATTTCAGAAAAAAATCGCAGGGAGAATTGACAAGCCAGACCGTGGAAAATCACGATTACCAGCAATGACGAAAGGGTTTCAAAGTAAGGTGTTGTAACATTCTTGACAATATGCATGAAAAGTTTGCAAATAATCGGCTGACGAAAGTTAGTTCGGATCTGCAATAGGTGTAGTAGGCTTTTAATTATTCGCTCTGTGTAGTAAAACATAATTCCTGACAAAAGACGTTTCCTACGCTGCCGAAAGTCGTAGCAACGACTTAAATCTTAGGAATTGCGAAGCTTGGTAGCGCTGGGAACGCTCTTTACTCGAAATGACGTTACAATTTAGTATTTAGGACAAAAGACTTAAGACTTGTTAGTCCTAGGCAGGTATTCATAGTGAGATCTTATATTTAAAACCGGTCTTAAGTTTATCTTCAGGTACTCTACTCAGTTTATTAGCTACGAAGTATCTGAAGATAAATTTAAGACGGTCTTAAATATAAGATCCGACTATAAAAAAAAACCGGCCTTAATCTACAATAGATGTTTTAAGCCTTAAGAAATTTACCAATGACAATCGAATTCTAGAAGAAAGATCTATCGTGATTGGTCAATTTCTTCAGGCTTATAAAGCTTAAAACACTATTGCACACCTAGCCTCATGCATATTGTAGATTCAGCCTTATACCCTATCATACGTGCCTGATTTGACCAGCTAAGAGAGGATTGATCGCGTACAGCCAGTCGTAGACTTCCTTGTCGCCCAAGGTCTGCAGCAGGTAGCCTCGGTGCTTGGTGACAACGCTACGCAGGATATTTCAGTATGAGTACATCACATACTCAGCGTGTCCGCCCGCTTCTGTTTCAGTAACGCGAGTGACTCACCTGAATGTATTCGGCACTTTCACCATAGCTAGCTGATCCTCGGAATATTCGACTTGAGCGGTGGCCAAGTTAATGAGTGCCCTCTCAACGGGATCCTTCTCCTCCCGGAAAATCAGGACGTACGGTCGGCGCACAGCCTGAAACGATCGGAACGGAACAATATTGACACATCTCCTTTTCGAAAGAGTTCGCCTTCGCCCATCTATCGTGAATTGAACGACGAACGTACCACCCAGCGTTTCTTCCAGCCGTTGGTCTTGTGCTCGAGAACGTTCAAGTAACCCTTCCGCGCGATCACCGGGCTGATGCGTATCTCCTCGACTTCCGGCACATAGAGCACCAAGTTCTCTTTCGACGGCGAGGACGAGCCGAGCGGCGGTGGCACGACCGTGCAAGTCTGACTGGCCGACTCGCTCGCCAATATACTCTCTTGGAGCTCTTGCAGTCTAGCCCTCTCCGGCGAGCTCAACCTAAGGAGGCACGACTTAGACCTGCTCCATATTACTATACCAGCAGCCTGCAAGTAACACTCCAGCATAACCCTGACCGCGCGAGCCAATCGTGCTGGCGGTTGTCTCTCGTAGTACGTCGAGAGAATCGGATCTCGAATGCGGAAGCGTAATTCGGGAGCTAGCGTCGCTTAAGAAAAGGAAGATGCGGTGATCTGGGTTAGACAGGTTAGACAGTTGCATTATACTCGAATGGAAGTATTAAAGCGAATCGAGGGCGTGTTATCGAGCTCTCGTTTCTCTTTGCTCATCAACTTCCAGACGTCACGTCGTCTACCTTGTTCTACAGAGGGGCGGAGTAACGATGATAATAACGACAAAGCGAAGCGTAAACAACCGCTATTAGCAGCAGGAGCACTCAGGCGCGCAGGGAGGGTTACCTGGTTTAAGGTATCGCTAGCTCGCGCGTATACTGACTCTTGAGATGAAGAGGATATGACTGAGGATATCATAGAGGTGGATGTATCGGCTATAGTGTCTTCTCCGGGCGAAACGTCGGACAGCAGTATCGGTTCCTTGCTCGGGATTCTGCCTTGAATGAGCTTAATGCACTTGGTCGCCAATTCTCGCTCTCTCTCAGTCATCTCCCACGGTTCGTAGACGTCTTTGCTGGTCGAGCGTTTCAGCTTCACCGGGCTGGCGTGTGGCTCGTTCGTGGCCTTCGCCACCATGTTACATACGTCCTGCGTACCGGAGAATCGTCGTGAGTAGCTCTATGTGTGTTTCAATAGAAAATTATTGCGTCTCGCCTTATGATTGATCCCCGACGATACGCTTACCTTCTCGCTTTTCGTGAAGTCGTGCAACGGTTTATTGCAGAACGGTACTTTGTCGATACCGAGTTTCTCCCGCAGCAACAGCGTGTGCCGCATTCTCTCCACCTCCTCTAACCTCGTTAACTTCTCGAGCTCCCACTGATGATCGAATATGAGGCTGTCTCCTCGCGGCCTCCATCCGTGCAAGTTCTCCTCGCCCCGGACGTACGTAGAACTCGTGTCCAAGACGCGACGCTGACGTCTTTGAACTCCTGTAAGTAAACGGGGGAGGGGAAGAAGGGGGACACGGATGTCGAGAGAGAGAGGAGAGAGCCGGAGATGTAAGTAAATGTAAAACCATTCCTGTGTGCAGAACAAAAAATTCCCTTTCATACTAGACGATGACGCTATACAATCGTACGAACTTCGAGACAAATGAATTTTACACCGGTGTAAAATGGAAGCTCTTTTAACTTGATACAGCGAGAAATCACTGAAAAGATATACGTGAAATATATCTTTAGGTATACTCGTACAGGTAAAGATACAATGCGCTGCATGGAGACAATATATAAATTGAAGTTTTCACAGAGAGGTTCTATTGTGAGGTGATATCAAGCGAGTGAACATGGGACTACACTATGGTTAGACATAACAAACCTGGGCTACCTGCTTCCGAAGAACGACGTAGCACCAGCTCGTAGACGCCGCTGAGTCGATTCGCCTCCTGATTGCGATAGCTGCCGCTGAACAGGTGTTTCAGCGAACGAGTTGGGCCGAGTCTTGCGTCCCTTCCGTAGATAATCATGCTGAGGTCTTTCGTAATGATCGCTGGTCTCCCACAGTTCTCCAGCTAAAATCGTTCCGAATCGAAAATGTAACCCCTGGTCTACAATAGGCGTTTTAAGTCTTACGAAATTGACCTATCACAGTCATATGTGAAGAGAATAATTAACTGTAACTGGTCAATTTCTTAAAGCTTATAATACCTATTGTAGACTGGGACTACAATAGGTATTATAGAAGACGGACTGTCATAAAATCTCTCTCTCTCACAATGAAACATATATACCTCGAGATACGCGGAGATGGTCATGAAGATCTGCTCTCCGTAAGAAGTGACGCGATTGAGCAGAGTTGAATTGTGAAGCGAGCTGTCCCAGGCCGCCTCGAATCTAAACATACACCGGTCGTCGCCGGGCACCTCGAGGTATTCGCCCGGGAACAAGCCCAACGAGAGCACAGACGAGTCGTTGTCTTCCTCCTCGGGCTCCGGGGTATTTCGGATGCGGCCGACAACGAGCTCGCGCACGTCCTTCCATCTTAATTCGGAGGCCGGCTCGTGCACGATGGTGATCCGTATGCGCCGCTGTATGCCCTGGTGAAGCAGGAACAGTCCACGACACGGTAGGTCGTCGCTGTGGTCCACCACGGACGGCACGTACTCGCCGTTCGGCGCCAGCTCGCAGATCTCGAACCACACCAGCACGTCGTACTTGGCATGCACATGAGACGTGCTGGGAGATGGCAAGACGCTGCCGAACTTTGGCGAACGCACCGGCTGGCTGATCGGTATGGATGGTGGCAGCATCCTCTTCGGCGGCTGTCGTACACTGTAACACACGCACGACACATGCTTGCAAAGTGCTCCTTTAAACGAGACTTCGTGAAATCTCAACTCGCACAGGGTTAACACTCACTACTCCAGTTTCGCGTCCTTGTGTAACGGGTGTTGCTGATAATGGCCGAACACCTCGAAGACGATGGGTTGTGTCTTCAGATACTCTAAGAAAGACTTGGTGACCGTCACTGTAATCTGTGGGAAGTATATCGATCAGTGGAATCTTATTTTAATAACGACTAGAAAGCTCTCTTCTTTAGAGTGACTTCCACCAAATTCCGATTAAGTCAATCGATGGATAATAATAAAAATCACCAACACCAATTTCCAATTATGTAACTTATTGTTCAACAATAATCAAACAGTTAATAAAATTGAGCCATAACATTTTTAGTTGATTGATAAAGTTAATAATTTCTAAATGAAGAAAGAAAGAGCTTCATAGGCCTTTAAAAGCCAAAGCACGGGTTTCATAATACTATTAAATATTAATATTAATATTATTAAATATTAATATTATTAAATATTAACATTAATGTCTGTGGGAGGATGTAATGATCGGACGTGTACTGACGCACGCACCATATTATTCTCCGGTCTACGTACGCGGAGAATCCTCCCACGCCAGGCATTTTACCCTTTCATATCTTAATTAATATAATTCTCCTGTTAAACCAGTACAGAATTTATTAAATTCCTACCAAACGATATTTAATCATTTCTATCTGTGCCAGCAAGATAGGGCAGATAACACTCGGCTGAGAGCAATTTAAAATCGTCAATTAGCTTAACTGAATCTTGATGAAAGTCACATTTACGCACGTTTCTACCATTATGGTTTAAGTCTAATCGACGATTAAATCAACAGAATTAACTAATCACAATTGGCCAATTAGTTGAACTGATCAATATAATTGATCAATTTCGTTAGTTAAATCAATCATCAATTATATTTAAATCGCGATGATAGAAACGGGGCATTAGAATCTCATCACTTACATTTTGTACATGATAAAATCCGGGTGGATTGCCTTTGCCGGTGTTCTTCACCGGTTCCGTTGAGAAAGCTTCGTCGTGTCGATGCAAGAAGCTACGAGGATCATCGCGTTACAGTCGCGCGTCGTCGATAAACCAAAATAAGAGTATAGCCGTATGTACACTTACTTAAATTGACAGAAAATGTCGGCGTATTCCGTAGATATACCCATAGCTTGTAGGACCGTTACCCTAAAAGTAAACTCCGCGCCAGGTTGCAGGTGATCCGGCAAGTCCTCCTCCTTCATATCGCTCGAGACCGAGCTGTCGCCCCTGCCGCTGTCTGCGTCACCTATGTCGTCCTCGTCCTTCATGTCCTTCTGCACCTCGTTGTGTCCCTCGACCACGCGTTCCTCGTGCAGCATGATCTGTCGATTCTTCTCCAAGGTCTGGGCTAAGAGCGTGCTACGTTTATTGTGCTTCTGCCCGCCGAACAGGTCGTCCTCGAAGGAAATTCGTGCTGATTGTCTGACGCCGCTTGAGTATTCGCTGTTTTCCTCTTCTGGAAGAAGGGTTCGTTATGTACGTCTTACGGAGGAACATCTGAGTGATCTAACGACACGGCGACGGTTTACGCACCGACTACGGCTTGTACGGCGACCCGCAGGTAACCCTTCACGTCACCCTTCTCGTTCACGATGGCGACCTTGTGAATCAGCGGCACCGGATACATGAGGTTGCTCAGATACACGAAGGATCTTCGCAAATCGACACAGGAATCTCGCGTGAATGCGATGACGATTAAACACGAGGAAGGAATACGAGAAAGTAGGTTGTCGTCTTACTTACCTGCCGACCATGCGAAACCAGGGGAAACGGTCGTAGAACGGATCACCCCCGTTGATGGACTCGACATTGTAGTCCGGAGACGTAGGCGAGAGCTCGGCCTCGTTGTGATACATCTCGCGCATCAGTTCTAATCTTTGTCTGCAAGATAGACAAAATCGCGCGTTCATTGCTCAATTTCCCCGGACGGAACAGGAAGGCTACGTAAATGTGATTATAACTCTCGTGTGCTCTGCATCCATAGAAAAATTTTGTCCGACTCGGTTGTCCTCAGACGCGCCCCTTCGGACGCCCCGAATCATCTTTGCTTTTCTCACACGCATGTTACACGACCCGAACATAGTGTTACTCACATTGAGAGAAAAAAAAAGTAACATCTCTTGTCCACAAACACACATCTTCTCCTACATCGAAGATATCTCTGTTTTTGCAGTGTGATGTGCGTTATTCGATATTTAAAATGAGAGCGTTACACGATATAATCAGCGATAAATGTCGTGTATTTATGCTTGTTTTATGATGTACAATATTCGAAGTTTTCCTGCGTGTGTGTAATTCATCTCGATCGTTTCGTCTCAATCGAAAATTGCGTATTGCAGGTCTGATCAGATACACGTGCATAACAAAGTCATAAAGCGAAAGACAGAAAGAGAAAGAGAGAGAGAGAGAGAGAAGGTGAGGACACGAGCTCAGCGGGAGATGACTGGAAGATGTGTCGGTGTTTGAGACAGACGTGCACGTAATGTGAAGAGATAATTTTTGTTTGGTTTTTTCTCACATTCAGACAGCATAGAGCAATATGTTCACAGCAGCAGAAGCGGTGCTGCGTAACCGATGGCGTACATTGTTCGTTCTTTTTTTTTTTGCGGAAGAAGCTCGTACACATGTCTATTTTTCGTTGTTCCGATACGTCGTTACGCTCTACGAGTTGAAAAACCATGCAAGATCCATCGATCCATACGACTTTTGGCGAGCTCCAAGTGCAAAGCTCGTTTCTCTCGTGTACCGCACTCAAGAGGAATGAACATTGGCCACGTACGTATCGAGGAAGTTTCTCTCTCTCTCGAGATGCGAAAGAGAAGAAAAACGGGTGACAAACGCGCGGCGACAGAACGACTTTTGCACCGGTTGAAAAGGATTCTTCGAGGCCGGGCGTATAAAAAAGCGTGTTGTTACATATGGCGGTAAAGAGAGGAGAGCCTCGCGCGTTCGAGCACCAACCTCGAAGGCAAAAGATTTGCGAGCGAGAACTTCGGATTAGAGTAGACTGTAAGGCATTGGAAAATATCCTCTTTGGCCTCCGGAGTGCTGGGGCTCGAGTCCTCGTTGTACACGTGTCGCATCAGCTCCAAGCGCTGTCTATAAGTCAACATGTATTACTCGCGTGAGTGGGCTGTGCGTCCGTTCTACCGGCTTCTACCCGGATTTCTTCTAACAATTAAGCCGCGCGACATTTCTCTCTCGCCTCGGCTCGCTAAGAATATTTATATACGGTTCCGCGAGCCCAAAGTAAGTTCAAGCGTCTCTCGTAACGACGGTTTTGTGCGACGCGTCTGGGATCTCTCTCGTCACCTCGCGCTAATACGTTCTCGTGGATATCGTTGCGAAAATATATGTGCAATTTCCGACACGATCCGCCATTATCAATCACGATCCTCGTATGTATACTCGTGCATCGGTATCGAAATTAAAAAGAAAAAAACAATTGTCGAAGGTTGCATGGAAAGGTCTTATACTTCGTTTATAGTGATCAGCAATTGAACAACGGTATAGGACATGCCACATGTTGTATGTTATTAATTTGGTGTGATACACGGAACGTCTCGTAATTCGCGTTTTCAGAAAAGGAACAATTCAGTAACGAAAGTTTCTTTAGCGAGCTTTAGTTTCAAGCGGGTGGTTCTCGGACTCTCTGCGAGAATTTAACTCGGGAATAGTCACCTTATTTTTTTTTTACGTAAACGATCACTCGAGGTCACTTAGACCCCAATTAAAAACCGCTACTATTAACAAAATATAGCATATTATCAATTTTTCTGTAATTAATTATTATTTAGAGACATAAATATAGATTTACTCGCTATTTTTTTGAAAAAATGAAGGGAAATAAAAAAAATATATAAGAATCGGAATAAGCACATCAAGTGTCTTATTGTGATAGTATTTTTAATAAATGAAGATATCAATTAAAAAAATACTGTTTTATTGTCCATTTTGGACAATAAAACAGTAGATGGACATTTAAAGGTTCGTAAAGAATAATTATTTTAAAAAATTGAAAGTATATCAAAGAACTTTCATTTTATAAGAATGTGAAGCAAGGCTAAATTTCCGTCGTACAAAGTTAGTATTGATTAGTATTGATTCAGAATTGTGAAAATTGTTTATTTTTACATTTCTTCATTGTATTATATAAGTGTATAACATAATAAATATTTTTAGACAAAAAAAAGTTATACATTTTTAAGATTTATATATTTATTTTAATTTTTAAAATTTTATATTTATAGATATTTTTTTATGTTTAACATTAAATAAAAAGTATAGTTTACGATATTCATTTCATTTATAATAAATGTTAATGTTGACTATATATGTTAATTATAAACAATAAATATAAATATTAGATATTCAATAATAGCACCTTTGCCTATTTCTTTGGACATTTTTATTGGCCAATATCAGATGTAATATAAATATTGCTCAATGTTTACTGAGTATGAATAAACATAACTTCATTCAAACTTATTATCACTTTATCTTCACAATACGAACTTTTGCTATACTTGACTAATTTTATAACGTAAACGATCACCTGGGGTCGTTTTGTACCCCAACGTATTTTTATAAGCTTGTACTATGAATAAGACGGGTCATAGCCTATTCTTGTTGCACAGGTTAGGTCTCTAAATATTTTGAAATGAAAGATACAAATTGGTGCCCGATCAGTAAAAAAAAAATCCTCTGCGACGTGAGCTTCATTTTCAGACCGCTGGGTTATGAAATGATCCCAGGTGACTATTCCCGGGTTAAAGGCCAATCACATATATCACGGTAGCACAGTCGCCTTTTCACGAATCAATAGCATTACCATTCGTGCAACTCACGAACAGACGACCGTGTGTGTATATATGTGTGTGTATGCGAAATGTAATTATCGTCTAATTACGAGGTTATTCGATAGAGCATTATCGATTTTCTCGGGGGACATGAGAGTTAAGCTTATAATAAAACAAAGTAAAAGAATCGCTTTTTTTTTCTTCTTTAAATAGAACGTATTTGGCTTTTCACGAACGTTCTATAAATCAAATACAATCGCGATTTTAAGGTGCAAAGTACACATGGAAGACAAACCTTAGCTTGTCCAATGTCCAGTAGTGCGTGGCGCCGTTCTTCGTATCTTGGACCTCAACGGCGACGATCGTGCGCGGGAACGGCCTTTCATCCTCCTCCTCGTCGTCCATGACGGGCAAGAGGTCCGGCGGTAGCGGTGAGTACAGAGTGTCCGTGAGCAATGTGAATTGGAACTGGACCTAGAGAAAAGAGAAAATCGATGGAATAAAATCTGTCGAGTAGCGCGGCAAATAAAAACGCTCTCTCCTCGTTAATATCCTCTTTTTAGAAATATCGCGATAATTTCACGACAGCTGCCGTTCTCGCGTCAAATACTCATTGCAACATTCGTGCCGACACTGAGATGTCGTTAATCTCGAGAGAAAAAAAATGCACAAATACATAGATGCGCGAATCTCACACGCGCAGACATTATTATTGTCCACGAGAGTGATATAAAAAAAAAAAAAGAAAAAAAAAAGGAAAACTTTCATATCCGAAAGAGTACATGAGAATATGGTGCAGAGGTAAACACAAGTCAAAAAAGCCGTGCGAAGATTTTGCGCTGTACGTCCGCGACTATACCTTCTTCTTTAGTTCAACGGATATGGCATTAGCCTCTTTAAGGAATATCGCGTTGCCCCAAAGATCGTCCCGTAAACTCGTGAATTGGTGGTATTTCCATTTGCGGAAGGCCGAAGCGGCCAGTTGAAACTCTCTCTCGGTCCAGTTGCTCTCTGCGTCAAACAATGGGTTGACTGAAATGCAAGCCATTACAAGGCAAAACAGTCAGAGAAGCCAAGCATTTGAATAGAACGCCGATTAACTTCGATTAAGAGAATGTGCTATGTTCTGTCGACGAGTAATAATTCAGGTATCATTGCATGCTGTAGAAATTTTTGCGTTTCAACAGTGTGTGTGCATAGAGAAAGATTTCTTTGGATTTAATTTCTTTAATTGGAACAAACGTGTCTTATGGAATAGAGCAAACAAATGAATATTTGAGTCAACAAACATTGATGACATAATTTAACAAACATCTTGTATAAATGAAAATGTTGTTTCACTAGAGTAAACAATGTTGTTTGATTGAAAAAATAGTATTTATTTAGAGGAAATAATATTTCGTTTTCAATAAAGAAATTTATTTCACTATATATTAAATATTGTTTCACTGAAACAAAGAATTCTTTAATATTTTTCTAACATAGTGTTACTTTTTTCAAATAATTTATTGCTTATGACAACCGTGGTAATATTTGGATGAAAATACAAAGAATTATTTTATTTAACGCAAAGATATTTATTATTTGATTCCTCAATAAGAAATAAATTTCTTTATTGAAAACAAAATATTATTTTGTTTTCAATAAATAATACCATGTTTTAAACTAAATAAATACCATTTTTTTTCAATCAAACAACATTGTTTGATTGGAAAATTATTGTACTCTAGTGAAACAACATTTTCCTTTATACAAAGTGATAATTGATATTAAATTTTACTGTTTGCATTAAAAAAAATCCGAGACAAACGTACTCTAAATCCAAAAAAAAACCTTTTCCTTCGTGTATACGTGTGTGGAAGAGAAAACTTACAAAATAATTCATAATCTGGAACGCTACACAAGGTAGAAGACACCCGATCGATCGGGCATAGCCTACATCGAGATCGAGTTCAAGAACCGAAAGCGACTCGTCCGCACACTCACCGAAAATATCCTCCTCGATGTTATTGAAATCCTCCGGTGTGTAACTGCTATACATCGACATCGTCATGCTCTGTTCCTCCACCTGCCTCTGCAACGCGTCTATCCGCGCTTCATAGTTCTGTTCATAGAAGCGATCGATATCACGATAACCGCGTAATAATTCACGGACCGGAGCCACGCAATAACACATGTGTGTATTCGTGTGTGACGTACCTTCCGCTGCTCCTCGAACAGTTGATCGGCCTCTTCCTTCTCCTTGCGGAATTGTTCCTCCAGCACGAGCAACCTCTTCTCCATCTCGGCCTTCAGATCGATACCCTGATTCTCCAGCAGCTCGACCTGCGCGAAATCCCAGTCCGCGGTCTCGCCGTTGCCAGGTGTCTCCGCTGGGGATCCCTTCTCTCTCCGTTCGCGCACTATTCGATTGTAAGAGGAATGTACGATACCTTAATTAGTACGCTAGATATGTTCTCACTACGAGCACCCGTGATGGATCACTCGGAATACTCGCAAATACACACCTTGATCCGGGTGATTGAATCGGAAAACGTGATTCTTGCCCAGAATCACGCGCGAGCCGGTGGTCAGGGTGAGCGACTCGGTTACTTCGCGACCGTTCACGTAGATCAGAGCCCCGTTCTTCGGTATCAACGTGATGATGCCCTCGTGATTCTCGAAAACGCAGTGCTCGCTGAGTATGTGCGGGCCGCACAGTTGTATGTCCTGCGGTATGTTCGCCTCGGCGCTGCCGATGCGCGTGAAGCCGTCCTTGATGTAATAGATCAGGCACTCGGACATCAGCGGATCCTCGTTCAGGTTGACCAAATGCGGCGTCTTCTTCGGCGAGAAGACGCCCACGGTGACACCGTCTTCCTTCACGGCGACCCCCATCTCGGCGAACACCGCCTCGCGCTGCAGGCGAATCGATTCGGTGCGCTTCAACTTCTCCTCCCATGTTTCATTCAGTTCTGCAACAAAAGCGGAGCAAAACGGTGATAAAGCGAAGCGAGAGATTTATACGGAGGATTACCGATTAACACCGTTTGTGTCTGCAGAGGGGAGGGGCGAGAAACGCGCGGCGAACAAACACGAATCGCGAGTCAACTCATGCGCAGTCGTTACCTGCGATCAATTTCTCGGACGCCTGCAATTGATCCACCGCCTCCTCGGCGAGAGAGGACGTGGTGTGCGAAGCGATCCTCGGCCGGCTCTCCTTCACGTCTTCCTCGCGCTTGTTCGTTCTGACAATCTCGTCTCCTGCAAAGTGAGAATCGTCAAGATCCGAAAGTAAGGCCGCGACGTTTGAGAATGACAAGCCTCAGGTCAGAGTCGGATATCGCGGTATAAACACCGAAAGCCATAATTAAAGCAGTGGCGCAAGTGAAGAGAAATATTCCAGAAGCTGTAGAGTTCGTATTGTGGCTACAAGTAATTTTCAAAGCGGTCAAGACGTAACTCGGGTAAACTAATTGATGCTTCGGTTTCTTTGTTTTTTTTTTTATTTTTTGGTCAAGCATCAGCATAATCTAGCGTGTACACAAGCACAATCGCTATATGAATGTGTATCACACTGTTCAATATCTATTTATATGCATTTTTGCTCATTTTGCAAACCCGTCGATCTGGCGCCATTATTGTCTTTATTCTCTGCCAACTTCACAGTTCATTTGCTCTTTTCTTTTGTTTTTCTTTTTGGAGGGTCGCTTTTGTAAACGGCAGCATAAATAGTTATTGATTTATGCGGCACTGAATATCTCCGTTGGAATTTTGACAACCTACAGAAGCTACTAAATTGTACCGGACATGAGAGAAGGGAACGCAATTCGATAGGCACTAACGGAACAGATACGTACATTAAATGAGATAGACAGAGAGATAGACAGAGAGAGAGAGAGAGAGAGAACGAAAACTCGCGAAGCAAACGTGTAAAATCAATGAAATTGACAAATACACCATTGATATGATATTATGCGCTTGGCGGTGAAATAAGCGCATAGACCACAACCAAAAATAATGAAATATCTAAGAAAAGAGGCGCAAGAGGTGGACGATGCCTGTCCTGGCTGTAGTTTTTTTGCTGTATGAATTGTTAGCGTTTTTACTTACTAGGTTCTTTCTTTTCGTACGTAACTTTGCCATCTGGCCCTACGTCGAGCGCAAGGGAAACAAAGAACAAAATACTATGTGAATGGGTTGCCTGTCGCGAGCGCGCGCTGCGTAATTATAATTAATTTATAGCGGCCAAGAGTTCGCATTATGACACGAGCGCTGGTCCCCGAATATTTTCTATATAATGTAGCCATATTCTCAAAATACGTACGTAACATTGGGTAGTTAATAATTGGATAAAATAATAAACAAAAGTGGGTCACATGTCTACAATGCTAATTATATGTATAAGTAAATATATATACATATATAAAATCTACATTCTATAAATTCGTCGAATGATTTTCTAAGAGGAATTAATTATTCTTATTTGGATATTTGTAACCGTCAGTCTATCTGGAATTTTATTTAGCCTGTCCTTGTCCCCGTACGTTTTTAATAAACAAAAGATCTCTTGTAACCTGATTTACAAATCGGGATTTTATCGATTCTGTACAATCCCGAAAAATTGAATCTTCAACTTACCTTCTTGCACGTCGATGCCCTCTTGCTTTAGAAGTTCCCGCAGTTTCTGTATCTCCTCTTTGAGTTCTCTAATAAGCCTGGCATTCGCGTCCTCGTTGACCACGGCCTTGCAGACGATCTGTTTCGCCCTGTCCGCGTATCTACAAGCACAAAACGAGACATCTCTCGGATCAGGAGGCAACTAAACACTTCACACTGTTCACAAAAAAAAGGGGAACTTCGGGGAAGCTCGAAAATTATATAATGAAGAAGCTCACCGTAAGGTGGAAAGCGTCTCGTCGTAATTGATGTCCGCAGGGCTGACCGCCGCGATCATAGCGGTTTTCGAATTTCCTCCCAAATTCTCCCGTAACAACCACGTTAAAACTGAGTCTCTGTATGGTATGAAGTCGGCTTTCTTCTTCTTTTTTGTCGCCTATGAGAAATCAAAAAGTTTCGTGGGGACAACTATTACTAATTGTTCACTATAATGTTGAATGCTTTCCTATGCCTTAATATTAATTCTCCGTCGAACTTACCGCCTGACAATCCGTGTCGAAGCAGCGAATTAACGCAACAATGATATCAGTACGCGATATATTTGATATATATACAAAGTGTCCCAGCATAAAGAAAGCACTTAAGTATCTTCTTTATTTTTAATGATATAAGAAATGTTTAGAGCACAATTGAATTAGTTTCGAAGGGGGAATACCGTGGAAGGAAAATTCTTTTACGGCCATTTTTCCTGATTTTTCTTTAAGTTCCCCATATTTAGACCCTCGAGATATTTAGATGATCTCCTTATGCTTATGTTGGGACACCCTGTATATTCGAATTAACATAATGCGGGAAAAGACAAGGCCCCGGTAAAACACGATTAACTTACGATTTCAGCAAGAGCGCTGATAACTTTGCCGAGAGTCGTCAAGCTCTTGTTAATGTTCGCCCCTTCCTTCAATCGCGTTCCTTTCGCGCCCGTCGAGTCTGCCCTTTCAGATCCCGCCAGATCGACCAGCGAGATCTTGCTGACCTTTTCTGTCACCAAACCAGTGGCGCAGTCCTGTTGCTGCTGCGTGAAGAATATCGTGAAGACCGCGTGCGATCTGCTGGAGGTCTCGTTCATATTGGTTGCCGCGACAGTTCTGAAACACAAGCGGACGTATTTTTATTTAATCGTATCGTCGATACAACATGTAGTAAACGTGATTTACATGAATAATTAGCGCGAACGTCGGCAACACACCAACCTGGCCTTGTTACCCTCGTCTATGAGATCGTGGATGTCCTCGTATGACATTACAGCGAGCTTAGAGAGATCCTCGACGTAGGGTCCCAGGAGAGGGTGTTCCCTCACTCGAAGATTTCCTCTGTTCTTTGGATTCAATAGATCGCGTACCCTCTCGCAGTATATTTCCATGTAGCTCACTTCCACCGAGTACTTGAGCCGTTCGTTAGACGTGTAGCTGATTTTCCTAAACAGGTCCTTGCAGATCTGTGGTATTATCCCCTCCTGCCCCTCCTCCTGCTTACCCATCATGGTGTAAGATTTACCGGCCCCGGTTTGGCCGTATGCGAAAATGCAAACGTTATAGCCTGTGTTCGAGATGAGATCGAGTGTTACAAAACATCGTCGGGCCGTGCAAATCCTGAGAGAAGCTCGAATCTTTCGAAACACTAGCTTCCCCTATCTATCTAACGTGATATCTGCAATACGAGTCATTAATGAGACTACTATCTACCTTCGAAAGCATGTTCCAACATTTCTTCACCGATGTCCTTGTAAACCATGAGCTGAGACGAGTAGTTCTCGTCGTTTGGCTGGAATATCGACAAATCAGGACCACCGAATACACACGTAACGTAAATATCTTGGCAAGACGTTTATCGAGAGGAAAAACTATACTTACGTCCATAGAAAAGTAGGAATAATCATAATTGAAGCTCTTGACAGCGTCTTTGCTTCCCGGTGTGGCTTTAGGGTTCACTATGGCTGTAACACGAAAATAGTTGCTCGCCAGTCCGGTAATAAATTCACACACAGTAAATTAACGTTACAACGTGTGTCCACACGTGAAGGAAACTTACAAGTAGTACTTCCCGACATATCTATAATACATTGTGCTTCGCGACGGATCTCGCGACTGTTGAAGGGTCGTACCCTCACCGCCACCTTAACCGACGACATTTTGCTCGAATATTTATCTCCTTTCAGATCAACGTCGGATCAAGCGGCGGCGGTGGTGTCGGCGAATTTCCTCTCGCTCGTCTCTCTCTGTAACAGGATCATGTCGCGCGATTATTACACCAGTGTGGCGGCGATCTTGTCTGCTATTAAATTCAGATCGATCGTCAAGCAGAACTTCGGGGAGCAGCTTGCGCGATCTGCTCCTTGCCTATGGGATGTTCCTCACGCGAGCCGCGGATCGCGTTAACTGTCGATGCGAGCCGTCAGCACGAAGCGTGTGAAATTTTCACTCACACTCCCGCGATCTCACAATTTGCGTCACACGATACATAGGATACGGCGAAGGAACGATCGAGACGATCGACATCGTCGTCGAGAGAGATGCGTTCCTCCTCCTGAGAGATCAACCCCACACTCCATACGGAAACACCACCGATCGCTACGCACACCTAAATATGGCACACAATGTCGTGGGCGAACGAAGCTACAAAGTTATTCGAGTTCAATATGGGCTGGTCGGCGGTTGAGCGTCGAACTGCGTCATTCGCGAGGATCGAGCGACGAATTTTTGCGTGTGAAAAAATCGCCACTGAAAAATGGCAAATCGGAAGCGCCACTTACCGCGGAAGAGAAATCATAAGAATTTGGGGGAAAAAAATATAAAGTTTCAATGTTTCGGAAAACTATTTTTTTTTAATTTTCCGCGTATTTCTTCGGGTTCTGTCTTCCGAGGGTACAACGATTCGTTTCGGAAAAATTCACGCGTGTTGCGAAGCTGCCACATTTACTTTCTTCCCGTGAAGAAAGGTAAGGAACTGAAAAAAATCCGCCGAAAATTGGGAAAAAAATGCGGCTTTTTTCCCGAAATGTTGAAACTACAAAGAAAAGGCACGAGAAAGAGGAAGAGAAAACGGAGGTTTCGCAGTCGCAGCGAAGTAATACGTTACGAATTTAGACATGGCGCCGGGGAAGGGGTGGGGAGAAGCACATCGTGCACACCTTTAATCGCTTCCCGGTGTTCCATCGGTCACAGGCTTTCCGAGGCGAAGCTACAGTATGTACGCCATATCTCCAGGTGTGTATAGAGATCGGTAGAAAACACCATCGCGGCACCAGCGGTGGCGGTGGCGGCGGCGAAATCGATACGACGACGGCGTCCGAGAACTCGCGGAAGGTCCGGAAGGCGGGCGGAGGCGAGGAACGGTGCACAGTGTATATGTGGATTTTTACGATCGATCGTCCGTCGTTCAGACGGCGGAGACGACGGCGCTTACCTTCGGCGCTGTTCGCGCGAACGGAACTCGCGTTTTCCGTCGTCGAAAGCGCACCGGGGGAGGGGGTGGCACGAGAGGGTGCTGCCGAGGGTATCTCGGCCCGGCGGAACCGTCGTGTACGGGTGGTATCCTACTACGAAGGACACGCGGGGAAAGCTGGCGACGACCGGACGCCAGAAGTCGCGGCTTCTCACTGTTGCGCACGCGATGCCCTGCGCGACGTACTCGGCTGCTTCCTCGCAGTCACTACGTCGGCCATCCGCTGGAAGATCCGCGAGCCACGAAACCGCCCACGTAAGCGGACATTATAGCGCGCTCGCCTACGTAACACTCACGCGTGTCGAGCTTTCGCGCATGCACACGCTTTCGTACTTTGCCTATGTCGCGGGAGAGTTTTATCCTGCTTGCCGCGCAGTCGAAAGCGAGCCGTCACTTCGTCGTTGCAACACACCACCACCCCCGGTTGTCCGTGGCGAGTACTGTGACGACGTACACCGCGGGCGCCTGCGTGCTGCTCAGTCTATCTGTCCGTCCGTCCGTCGTCGTCGTCGTCGGGGACGCGACTAGGTGTCTAGAATAGGGAGATGCTTCAGTTCAGTAGGCTACTTCCATCCCTCCGATATCGAAAACGCAAGACTACGTCGTCGACATTTCCCGACGCTTCTCGATAATAAACGTTTCATATGTTGCGTATCCTACCGGGGAAGAAATGCATAAAATGAATAATATAAGAGCGTTGGGACGTAAACGAAGGGACGAGAACGCGGAGGACCGTCGGGGAGATTGAGAAAATCTGCGACCTCTTCCCGAAGTACGAGAGGAATCTCTCTCTCTCTCTCTCTCTCTCTTTCTCTCGCATCCTATGGGAGTGATCGTCCGTGGTGAAGAGGAAAAGAAATATTTTACGATCCGCATGTAGAACGACACGTTCGATATCGCAAATAAGTAAAAATACCTGCACCTATTGAACAAAAGCATCCTTGATCGCACCTCCTGGTCGCTCAAGTTATCGCGCTATATTCCAACGAGCGAAGGGAGGAGGAAGGGGGCTATCGTGCGCGAGCGTCTCGTAGGTGGTAGTATTACAACCCGTGTAAGGGTTGTAATACTTGCTGCGTCACACGCGCGAGCGTTCATGATTTCCTCGTTGAACGACACGCTGGGTGAAACGAAGTCCGCGTCGCATAGCAAATATCCTGTACGCGGAAAGAACAATTCCGTCGATGCAACTGAATTTTCCGAAGTTGCCTGCGAAGCGGACGAAAACTCGGTTGCAAGAACAGAAGGGGATTCCTGTTGGAGGTTTCTGCTCGATCAATTGCTGTCTCGGTTCTCTCGACCGAGTTTTCATACAGCTGAATGTTCATACGAGAACGTTCCTCGTCGCGGTAACAGAATCATCGTTTCTCATCGCCGAGTTTTCACCCGGTCCCTATTCAGTTGCAGCAACGGAGTTTTTTTTTCTATGCACGGAAACCACGTGCGCCGTTGTATCTTCGTCGAGACGACGTACACAGGAAAAAAAGCGCTGGAATCAAGTAAACATGATTACCTGTTTTATCAGTCTCTTAAATTAAATCATATTTTTATCTATAGACGAGAAAACGAATTTTTTCGATTTTTCCGCGGATTTTTACGGTTTCTTCCATAGAAAAATTTGTTTAGAAAAGTTCATCAATGTATTCGATTAAAACCTGCTGTATTTATTTCTTCCCGTAAAGAAGATAATTGCGTGCATTTGATTAAAGTTAATTGAAGGTAATATATTATATATTAAGCAATCATATATTACTTTCAAAGAATTACTGAATACGTGAATAAATATATAATATTATGTTACATATTTATTGCTCAACGTATAGCATATCAACTTCATTTATGTGCATGCAATTATTATTTTGCGAGAGGAAGTAAATGTGACAGGATTTAACTGAACGCACATGAATTTTTTTAAGCGAATTTTTCTTGGGAAAGAGATCGAAAATCCTTGGGAAAGAAATCGAAAAATCGAGAAATCGAAAAATTTGCGGAAAAGTAAAAAAGAAAACAGCTTTTTTAGAATTTTCAAAATTATATTTTTATATTTATTTTAATAGTTTATAGTAAATATTTACTTCAACGCAATAATAATCGCAAAAATAATCTTAACTTGTAAATGAATTAGTTAATGTGAGTATAAAATAGATCTAAATTTAAAAGTGTTTGCGAAAATCATATAATACTTCTTTTCTACTGAAAAAACCTATTAATTTTTTTTAATTTCGACTTTTCTGCCCAGTAAATAATTTCTAAAAGTAAATTTTGATATTCACAATATTTTCAATATTATGAATGTAACACTTGTCACAATTGTTTTAACACATTCAAATATATGTCTACTCATACGAAGGAAATATGTATAGTCAACTATATTTCTACATCTATAGTAAATATTTGGCAAGGAATGGAGTAACCATTTTGCTCGGATCAAATAAATATTTAATAATAATTAAATATCATTTGAATGCGGTAGCACTTTTTTCAGCGTACAAAATTGTCCCAGATAGATGTTTCGTGTGCCCTTTCACGGACATTTATCGCTCTGAGATACAAAATTTAACATTTACATTTACACGAAACAATTCACCCGAATAACTGTCCGAGCGAATCGAGCTTTCTCAAAAACCAAATCAACACATTCCTTTCATATAGTATCGTTGTCAATCTTTCTAACTGCACCGTCAGTTATAGAATAACTCTTGCGCATTTAAACGTCGAAAAGTAAAGAATAAATACGACACGCTTCGGACACAAACCCTTGTGCGAAATCGAAGACTGAATCTCAGAGATGAAACATTGTGAAAGTGCTCTTGCTGGTTTGAAACGATTGTCCCGTGGAGAGTTATCGCGCTTTAAAAGGGCGACTCCGACAGATTTCACAATGATGCGTGATACGCAAATGGAACGCTATAGATATAGAAAGACCCTCGAGCAACCTCCGCATTGACGCACGCACATCGAGGAAATCAGAGAGACGAGGGTAATTTTCGTACTCCAATGAGGAAGACGTGTGTTATTACGGCTAGTCTCACCCGACGTCACGCGTCGGTGCATTTGACCGGCGTTTCCGCGTGAATCCCCCCGCCGGCACCCGCGGGAATCCCATTTAGCGAAACGAAGGAATTCGTTTTCGACGAAAGGTCAGCGCGCAAGGAGAGACGGGTGCGTGGGTGCGCCGATGTGCATGATTGGTCAACCGAAGCTGAGCCTCTCTCTCTCTCTCTCTCTCTCTATCTTTCTCTCTGTCTCTCTCGCGGCGATTCTAAGCCAATTAATCGCTGTAACCCCCTTCGACGGCTTATCTCCGGAGCGAGGAGGATGGACGCGATCGTGCGTCAGCCCTACGTTCCTCTGCTACGATTCGATCTCGGCTTTCGCGCCGAAGCGCGTCTCTCCACCTAGCTCTTCCTGCGAAGTCGAAGCGGCATCGAGACACCGGCATAGCACTACAGAGAGGGTGGTGGTTAGATCCGAGTCAACGTGGCCATCCATGTATATATACACACGCACATACACACATAGAAGGAGGCGTACCTCGGCGCGAAGGGGGGCGACGGGGTGCGCGCGTCGATCGACAACACCGTGGTGGTCCAGGGCCGTGTCTGGCCGCTTTCTCGGTTTATGGACCAATCGCGTAGCGCCTAGGGGGAGAAAATCAATAACCCGCGAAGGCACACGGGGGTGACGTCAGCCTGCAACCCGACGGCGATCGACCGATGCGACGCAGGCGGCGCCGGCCAATTTCCACGGAGCAATCAATAAGTAAAGATATCCACGGACGTCGCCGACGGCACCGTGCAGCGCACACAGCAGCAGCAGGAGCAATAGCAATATCAGTAGCGACAGCAATAGCACCAGCGGGGGTGAGAGGGCGGGTCAACACGCGCCCCCTAAGATACTCTCTCTTCGACGTCGATCGGGTATACAAAAATCATCTCCTTGGCGCGCGCGGCGACGCGCCGCCCCAGGGGTCGAATTATTGACATGTAACGCGTCCGAGAGACTGACGCGACGCGACACCCAGTCACCTTCGGCAGGAATGACCGAGGACACTTCCGAACAAGACCTCGAATTCGTAGAAGACACAACAGGACATGAGGCAACTAATGTGATCGGTTCGTTTTTCCTGTAGAATGAGATTTCTGTCGAACGTAAAGGATTTCCTCGGAAGCGAATTCGATTAAACGTCGCTCGTTTTAACGACAGATTAAAGCTTAAGCGAGAGAGACAACTCATGTAGGACTTTATATCGGAGGGAGACCGTTAAATTTGTGCGAAGAGTAAAATTTCATTATTTATCGCGACATCCAGAATCTAATCATGATATAAATTCTTATAATATTGAATGTTAATAAAAAAATCGATGCCCTGTGGCAGAACGCTGGGAAATTGCAGTAAACGATCTCAGATGCCTCTCGTTTGGAATGACTTCAATTATTAGAAATATTGTCACTCGTTGCCTATTTTCAGAATTTCTGTATTTTCAACGCGACGTTTCGATACGAAATCTAATCGAGACCGGGAAATAAATTGAAACGAATAATAAGCCTCAACTACTCTCCCAGTTACATTATTCATTTTCAACCGTCTACTGATTTAATCACCGCTGACGTTTTCGTTGCGAAAAGAGAGAGAGAGAAAGAGAGAGAGAGAGAGAGAGATCTTTTTCAAATTTACCCGATAATTCTTATTCGAGAAGCAAAAACAGCAATACTGCGAAGTATTACACACTGCAGTACCGTCTCTCTCACTCTTCGTCAAAAAAGAGAGGTCACCGCACGGCACATCAAATATTCTTCTCCTTTCGTTCCCGTTTCAATACATCGATGTATGTGCGCGCACATAAGAGACATATGAGAAGAACCTCCTATTCCTTTCGATCAATGACATCCCACGAATTTAGCACGTTGACTCTTTCTCAGTGCAAGCTTAATTAAGGAAATCAATCGCAAACAAGTTTCAGTTGAAAGAATCGATGAATTACATTATGAATATCCCATGTCATTTGAAGTTCATCAGCTCGTTAACAAGTTAACGATCACATCTCACAAAACTTGAATCATCACTGACCTACCCTCTCTCTCGTCCTTCGTTTATATCCTTCGGAACATTGTAAACTGTTTATGACCATTCGTCGAGCCTCGTATACGTATTATACCTCGTTTCGCGAATCCGACCGAGGACACCCTCTGTAACGACCCGTGACGGAAGCGTACGGAAGACGAGACACTGGTGAGAATAGTGAGACAATTTCAGTCCGAGTGTATAAACTTCGAAAGAAGTTCGATTCTCTCTCAAATAAGATGTCGGAAGGTATCATTGCACGTGTAATTAAAGCCCGATCGAACTGAGACGTCAATCCAATTCCTTATTCTTTGTTGATGTGAAACGAGCTGGCCTGATCTGATACCAAATAACAAAAATACGAACTGAGAATTGCGAGAAGTGATGAAGCGGAAAACAGCTGTGACTAAAACAGATGATTGACTCTACATAATGGCGAGACACGGGATTCTTCTCCACGGTCACGTCAATATCGAACCACCTGATTAGCGGACTCCAATGAGAATAATGCGAAATGTTCCTTTCCGCTCACTTTAACCCTGCTCCGTTTCTTCCTTTGTTCGGCTCCAACCTCGTTCCTATCGAAGATAACGAGGAGCGTTTCAGTATCGCGATCGACTAGAGATCAAAGTACAAGTGAACGAGCAAACCCGTCCCTACTGCCTTTATCGTGTAGAAATTTCTCCATTTGTATAAACTGTCATACCTAGTTCTGTCGTTCTGTTGTTTATCGCACCCCGTGCTTCGATCTTCGACGCACAAAGCGAGAGACCGCCCGACGAATTTACGCCGCTGGCTACCTTTTTCCACCACTGAGCACGAAACTGAGCAAACGACTGAGCCAACAAAGGTTCGCGCAATTCGCGTGATTTACCGAGAGCTTCGAAACACTAGAATCCGAATATTGCGGATGTCAGCGGGTCTCACGCCGCGCTTTCCGAAGGATCTCGATCACGGAATCTCATCCTGGACACTCGACACAGTCATCTCCCATCCGCGCGTGTGTGATCTACCCGGGCACTTTCTGACTTAACGCACTTTCAACCGCCATTTTTCAACCGACCATTTTTACTCGGGCAGTATAATTTAAAACTCGAACGTCGAAGATGGCGATATCGAGCGACCTCTGCACGACGCTCGCTGTGAAATTAAAAAACGAGAGCGATCCGCGTCTCACGATGTAATTTTGCGGAAAATTACAAACCAGACGGACAGAGAGAGAGTCCGTGTGCCGACGTTTCCTTTCCATAAGACGACGAACAGCACACCAGAGGGGGGAGAGAGAGAGAGAGAGAGAACGAGGTTCGATTGCTCGGCGCGGGCGCTTCGAAGACGCTCGTCGATAACGGCGGTCGTTTAAATAAATAATCCGTCCGCCGAAGCTGCGCTTCGTGTGTACGCTGCGCTGCGCTAATAAAGGACGCGCGATCGCGGGTTGGGGATGACGCACGTCTCTACGTACCTCCTCTGCGTCGTGCTCGACTCGCCGCCTTCACCTCGCCCGTGGCATGGTTTCCGCGCGCGGACGATGAACGATGGCGGTACGGCGGCGGAAAACGGCGGCACGCGCGCGCGAGAACGCGTCGGGAACGCTGGTCGTTTTCTGCGGGCACTCACCAGATACGTAGGCAGTGACGTGAAAACAGCTGAGGTGCTACGGCCATACTGGCTCCGTGACTCCGCGAAGACGCTCCTCCGAACCGTCGAGCGCGCACGCCGAGCGTCGCGACGCCACTCGGCCCGATTTCACGGCGGTGGCGGCGCCGCGTCGCCTGGCTGCGCGACGGCATTCCCGGGGCCGGTGTGTCCGATCGATTGCGCCGAAGTCGCCTCCGTCGTTACACAGCAGCACCGGCTAGCGATCTTCCCCTTTCGCGTCTCTCGGTTGCCAACTCGACGACGGCGTTGTGTCAGTCGCGGCTTGACACGTGGCCTCGTTCATCCTGGAGTTCGTCCTCTCTCGCGCTCTCCAACAGAGATGATAAGAATCGCGATCTTTTCATGTGACAGATAACGCTTAGACCTAAACGCACCTATGATTCATAAGTGTCAATGATGTTAATACCCGCACATAACCTCCTTTTCTCTTTATTGTGTAAAAAGCATACACAGAGTACTTACATTCTTTGATAAAATAGAAAACAACTTAGCTCTAACATACAAATGTAAAATAGTGACTTATGTAGATAATAATTTGGAGGATCATGCAATTATTGGGTGTATTGAAATTAAAATCTGCTGTTAATCTCATCTCAACATAAGAGACAGGATATAATGTGACTCCTACCTATGCGTGTTATATTTATTTTACTCGACTATTATCATATCGTCAATTTAACATGTGGTACACCTATACAAATACAGAGAAACAAAATCACAGGTATGTTATCGAGCACAAGGAAAGTTCTCACAACCAACCACATTCCGAATCTAATAAAAACATCGGTCAAGTTCAACAGAACGTTTGTTTTGCAACTGTTGCACATTTTCCTAACTTAGATTGGTATTTTTTTAGATCTAGAGGGATAATCCAATTCAACTGAGAAAACTTCCAACAGTTGCAAAATAAGTATTCTAAATATGACTGTCAATCTAAGTAGCAGCTCACAAAGACATCCCAACCCTAACAAAGCATCGTCACTCTATGTGACAGATCCTTCTTTAAGTTAAATATTAAGCGTTAAATGCTGCTTATTCATCCCTTAACAACCAGCGGCAGTTTTGAAGCGTGCATTCACATCCTTCCAATTGACAATGTCGAAGATTGCCTTCACGTAGTCGGGTCGCACGTTCTTGTATTGCAAGTAATAGGCATGTTCCCACACGTCGATGCCAAAGAGAGGAATGAGACCAGTTGTGCCCTGCAATGGGTCTTGATTCGCACAGGTCGCTATCCTGAGAGACTTCGTTTTCTGATCATAACCAAGCCAACCCCAGCCAGACCCTTGGATTGCCACAGTTGCCTCCGATAGGCGTTTCTTCATCTCTTCCATACTGCAGAAATCTTTCTCAATTTGCTTTACAAGAGCAGCTAAGGAAACATGCAAGTGTATAAATATGTCACTTTTCTCTCTTTCTCTCTCTCTCTTACTCTATTTCGAGAAATAACTTTATTTAGAATAAATAATCGATTATTCTGCTCATTTATCGCCATTACCATCTGGATTACCGCCACAAGGCGACAGATTGCACCAGAAGATTGAGTGATTGAGATGTCCACCACCGTTGAATTTGATAGCTGGAGCTAGAGCGATCTGAGTGGTCACGTCGCCTTTCGCGACTGCCTCCTTCAATTTCTCCTCTACAACATTCAAATTGTTAACATAGGTCGCGTGATGCTTGGAATGATGAAGCTGCATGATATCTGCAGATATGATAGGCTCCAAAGCCTTGTAGTCGTACGGCAGGTCCGGGAGAGAGTGCTTCGATCTTGTGAACACATCCTTACTGCAAAAATATGCATTATTTATACGAGATAAATATAAATTCAAGAATGTGCGAGATGTACGAATCGTCTATATTTAACAGTCCATCGATCAGCTTATATTCGTCCCGTTTCATAAAATATATATATATCATTTCACACGGAGATCATTAGCAGTGACTTATCGAACAAAGTTTCAAATAATAATTCGATAACGTTTGGATTTTTTTGATAGTTACATATGTGGGAACATTGTTGCACGAATATCAAGATTGTAGATTACGATAGGTTAGAAATTACATAATGTTGAAGGAGAAACGGGAAATATAAGAACGAAATTGTTATACTTACATTGTGTTGGAAACTAAAACGCGCCTCACTGCGAACATTATTATGGAAATGTAACAAAGACGATGCTAATGAGGTTTCCTGCGACGTAATTCCACGGCCACTGTAAAAGTTTTGTTCCGGTTCTACTATGGTACGTTCCGGCAAATTCGTGCGCGAATGTATATATGTACACTTGACGTCATTAATGTTCTCACACAAGAAATTGCAGCACCGAGAGCCATATAGTGCATTTATGGCGCGTACACAAAGGCGCCATGAGTAAGTTGTACTGTGCTCCAGAATAGTGCAACTTGTGCGTCAAGAAATCTGACGTCATATATTATTATGAATTAATTATAGGTTGCTTGATAATAAGCGAGAAATATTATCAATTATAAAGATGGATTCCTTCACTTTTTATCTGTCTTTTCAGTACTATAAATATTGTAAACTTAAAAGTTGATAGTTATGACTAATTCTTTCAAATCATTTCTCTTCCAAATGTTCCGTTAAGAGAATAATCAATATATAAATAAAATAATAAACATACATATATGTATACATAGGTTTCATACTTACACTCTAATTTTAATGACAGGTTCTCTGACCATTTTGTTCTTGATTCCTCTTTAGTGAGGATGTCGAATGATACCATGAGGATGTACCATAGTTTTTAAACTTTCAATTTCTCGTACATCTTTTCATATATGTTCGATGAAAATTCTATTAGTCTACTTAAGATTAATCACAAATTGATTTTGTTGCATACTTAATTGTTGATTTGAAGTTTAATTTGCAAAGATCCTACTGTGTCAGTTACATAATTTAGAAACTACAATATCTTTGTCAGAGAAAATTAAAATCTAAATTGTTCGAAGAACCCATCATTAAAATTAAGACAATTGATTCTATAGTCGAAAGTATTAAGATTTATTTATTTATTTACATAACGTGGTCAAAAAAGGCATTTTTTGATTAATTAACAATTAATATTTCTTTACTAGTAACGATAACGGTTCTCTCGAACCACCATTTCTTTGCTATTAACGAAGACTTTTACTGATTTACGCAAAATGATAATACAATAAGTTTACAAATATGAGCATAATTTGTTTGTTCCACTTTTTCGTAAAAGCACGCTCGATTTTTACAAATTATAAATCGACGGAAAGTGCCAAGATTCATCTGCTTTATCTCTACAATATAATCTGTAACTTAGTCATACGCAATTAACTTGACATAAATGTGAACCATGAACATTTCTAATGATACAAATATTTACAAGTTCATTTTTGAGACCACGATGCCGATATTTACCTTTCTTAAATTTATCGCCGGTACAGGTACGGAAATTATGTCTCTTTTTATGACTAATTCATTTGTTCAAATGTATCCTTCAAAGATCCAAAACGGCATCGGCTTCAGATGAAAAATTTTTGTACATAATAATCATCGGAGAACCACGTCAAAATCGTATCGGTTGTCTCAACGATATATGCGATAAATGTCATATAAAATCAACCTAAAGTATTCATTTATTCCGGGTCACTCTGTAGAGTCTCGCCATTCGTTAAAACTAACGCATCGTCGTCGGCTTCATTATAATCGAGAGAAAGAATGCTTTCCCTCCGCTTCTTCTTGTGCGTCCTTTCATCATCACTACTGGGAGCACTCTTTTCCCTCTTTGTCCTGTCCCTACCCCGCGTTGTTCGTATTAGCACCTCTTCCCCGTTCGATTTACCACTACTCTTGTTGTGATTCTTACTCCTTAATATTCTTTTATTACGGTTCTCCTCATGCTCCTCCTCTCTATCACTAAGCTCCTCATTCTCGACCTTAATAATTAATGCTGCCGAATCGCTAGAACTCTCATCATTGTGATCGGCTTGGTTCAGTTTTCTCTCCGCACGTTCTGTTCTTTCGACACTCGTGAGCTCACTCTGAGGCGACCGTTGCAACGTTAACGGTGGAGTCCTTACACCTTTGCACATATCACTGTCCTCGGTCGGCTTCGGAGGTTTTGCATCTGGTATTGCAACCTCTTCCGGCTCCTCTTTCTTGATCGGCGGAGTATGGGGCGACAAACCGTTCGACAAGTTATTCTCGTTTATGTTTATCTTCAATGCCGCGTTCTCCTGCTGCAGCAGCGTGACAGACTCTCGAGCCTTGCGCAGTTCTTGTTGCAAGAAATAAATGGTGCTCTGCATACCTTCCACGTCTTCATCTAAATCTTGCAGAAACTCGTCCAATTCTGCGAAAGCCGAAACAACATGAAAGAGATTGTATAAGTTTGGGAACAATTTACGCGTAAGCCGTAAGTTAAGGACAATTTCACGGCTTACCTGATTGTGACTTCTTTACTTCCTCGCTGAAACTCTTCTGTAAGGCGAGTTCACCTTCCAACTTGGCGATACGGCCACTGGCGATCATACGGCCAAGGTCTTCGTTCTCTTGATACAACAGTCTACATTTCGCCATTAATCTCTTACCGGTATTGCTATAAGCACACAAATACAATTAGTGAAAACAATGCTACACGATGTGTCTTTTATTCAATACACGCGTTAGAATTTTTCTGACCTGTCCGGAGTGAATTTCCATGCACTGAGTTCATTCTGAGTATCCTCTAGCTTCCCCTTAGTTGTTATCAACTCTTGCCTTAATTTCTGTATCAATATATTAACAGCCGGATCTAACAGAGTAGATCTTAATGCTGCTGCGGACGGAGCATGGGTGGCTTTCATTTCAGTTATTTGATTCTAACAGAAAAAAGATAACATGTTTTTTTTTCTTCCTCTTTCCTCTCCTTTATTCGCACAGGATTATAAGCATTTATTATAAAGGAAAGACAGATTGCATTAGAATTTCGATAAATCTAGAAATGTCTACATACAATGTATTCTTGCAATTCCTGCTCTTTGGAGGCAAGCCTCCTTACTAAGATCTTCTCCCTGTGAGATGCTTCTACATATTGTTGTCTGTACTTGTTTTCGGATTCTCTCAATGAAGTTAGCTCACCTATAAAAGAATAGCCTGTAAATTTTTCTATTTCTAAAATCTCAGTGCTCAATGGCATCTATGTGTTTCTTAAAATTGCAATGCTCGAATTACAAGATATGTGTGTGCGTATATATGCATAAATATATAAACATATAAATAAATAAATAAATAAATATAAATAAATAAATAAATAAATAAATAAATAAATATATATATATATATATATATATAGACACATATACACACACACGCTTACATATATATTATATACAAAATTATATATGTAATATATATGTTTACAATATATTTCTCTTGAAAAATATCTTTTATAATAGTACATTATTTGTCTAAGTATAATAATTAATATTACTACACAATTACAATATTAAAAGTTTCCTGTGTATAAAACTTGAAGATTGCAATCAATCTATAATAACTTTATACTTTTTGAGAGATAACTAACAATACAAATTTACGAACCACATAGAATACTTGAAACTTCAAACTGTAAATATAAAGTGTAATTAAGCATATAGAGAATATTCTGTATATCTTTCATGTATGTGTTAATGGTTTTTGGTGGAACCAAGCATATTGGTGAAAGATTACTATTTATAATTTTATCCTAAGAGTGCGTACAAATAAACTATAAACTTTCATAAGTATGTGACAATTACTGCCTGACAACTGACATTTTGTTAATTTGGCGCATACTTTGATTTTGAAGTCGTCGCGTCGTGCCATTTGCGAGATTCTCTGTACTTCCACCAAGACCAAGAGTGGATGTTACTTTTCTTCCACGACAATCGAGCATGTACTTGTTGCAGGCATAGATGTTGTAACAAGACGCTGGCCGGGCTTAATTCACAGGTTTTGTACTTTTGAAATTCGTATTTGGCATTCGTATATCCGGACATTATGGTGCAGGTATAAATGCATGCACGAATTGCATTCATAGTGAGAATGTAGAAGGATGAGAACTGGTCTAGGAGTACAATTGAACATTGCTTTACCTAATTGGGGAAAGTATGAGGATTAGATGATAGTAAGACGTAAGGATACGTAAATTGTGGGGACAGATGGGTTGGGATTAGATAAATGCAGTATTCCATTTGGTACTTGGCGAATGGTTGTGTACTTCACCGAGATTCAAATTCACGCACCCCAGGCGCAGTATTTTGTAGGCCAGAGGGTGATACGGATCCACTCTCTTAATATTCCCCTGTGTCGTTCAAATTCAGCGTCATCGTAAACGCCGCTTTTCATCTCATCCTCGTTAACTAGGAAACTCGGTATGCGAATTACACCCACGCACACACTGTCCCGCATTTTTGACGATACAATTATTATACCGCGGTAACGGTATACGCGATAACACTGCACAGGCACTTTTATGAAATGATTTATTTTGAGCAAAAACGGTCGTCTCTTCCACAACGGACGATTATTGTTGGCACATTTTTTTTTGTTGAAAAACCCCATTGATGCTTCTCGACACACATCGACACTTGTTACCTCAGCCATTTTCACTTTTGATCGCTAAAACTTTTTATGGCTGACGATATATACAACTGCTCACAAGAAAATTTAACGGACTAGATATATATTCGCTATATATATATATATATATATTATCGAACTTTAGCTTTTTGTATACATTATATGGCTGTAGCCGCATTATATGGCTGCAACACCACCCGTTCTCCGAGATACTTTGAGCAAATACCGCTTTCCGACACTATATGTACAAAGTTCTCATTTAATTACCCACACTACACATCACAAATGTAGTTTCAGAAATTAATATATTAATTAAATCGTCACTATACGTATATGTGGCATATGAGGTATAGTATTATCTCAGTCTCATATCAATCTCTGTGGTACAGAGAGAGAGGCAGTTGCATCAATGGTGTCATTCATTTACACGCAGTATATCTGGAGCGTTTCTCTCCATACATCTGACTGCTTGTAAGTATGCAGACACCATTAATGTAGCCATTCCATTTGTGCAAATACATTAAGATAATCGCGAACTGCGGGTATATATTAAAATTTTTTCTCATAGAGTAATAAAAATTGTCTCGAATAATTCATACCACCTATAATGAGGTACTTATTTACTAAGAGCTCCTTCAGAGACTTAATTCTAATAGACAATATGAACATCGGCCTAAACACTGATCCAATGGACCCTATGCTTAGTGTCCCTATGAAAGTCTTGTCTCCTATAAGAGACCGTTGTGTTCTGGCATTCGTTAATTCGCTTAAGATATGTGGTGAGTGAGATGGTCTCACTCGTGTGATCTCAGTACCTTCCTGAGCTGCCGCCTGGGCTTCTAGACACTCCACATACACGTCCTGTTCATGCCATTTGGCTGCCAGCTCATCCTTTGTCAAGCTGTCCAATTGTTGCTGATTTAGCTTCACCCGTCTTGGTTGCCTGGGTGAATGTGGACTACCGGCAACTTTTCCACTGGTGCTGTTGCTCTGAGGACTTCTTGGAGAAGACAGCCCTACCGACTTGACCTCGCCGCATTCATCTGCCATCTCACCGTCGATATGCAGTTGGATACTGAACTGTAGAAGAAGCTCCTTTATCGAGTACGAGATCTTCTACTCATTAATGTTATGCGGCGTCGATAATTACATCAATGACAATAACGTAGACTGATATCGGCACAGATACCTCACCGATCTCACTGATTCATCTGGAACAAATAAGTATAACATAAATAATATGAAGCGTGATATATCTTAAAATTATGCAGGATAAGTGATTTTTTTTTATCAAGCAAGTTAACTCATTTATTTCGTTTCACTTTAAAGTTAACAAATTCTTGAGGAACTTTTTGGTGACAAATTAACAAATATTTGAAAAAACAATTACACAAAACAGATGTTACTTTGTAGCACTGCTAGAATCTCGATTTTTTAATTGAATCGACATTGTGTCGTATCAAATATTGCATCTGATTCTATCGACTCGACATGGATCAGTTCCAGATCGGACATTTGTCCGTCCATCACTAAATTAAAATTAAACCGATGATGGATGTTACTATCTACATATTTACGGAGTCAAGCGAGTTCTTGTAAAAATAGCCGAGAAGACGAGTGACATGACTCGTACCACCCGTATCGGTCGTCGATCGATTCGATTGCAAAAAATATGCGAAATATACTAAACCATACTTAAAAATATCGGACTCGGATTGATCGATACGATAGTGTTCGTAAAAACGTCGCGTGATACGCGTGTGCACGCAGTTTCGACCGGGCAAGATCACACGGAGCTACGAACGATCGGCACTCGAACGTCACGCCTGCCGTCAGAATATCCCGTTGCGGTAACTGGCGAAGCGGCGGAGAGCACACTTATCTCCAGCCGAAGACAGTCGTGACGCCATTACGTCGACATGCCTGCCACGAAGAAACACACGCACACATACACTCCGGAGCGTTCATTTTATTCCTCACTCGCGCCCTTTCTCTTTCTCTCTTTCACCGATCTTTTTTTTTTCCTTTCCCTCCCCTCGTACGATCGAACGTAACAGCACGCGCGCGTCTCGTAATAGTGGCATACGGGGCTCGAAACGGCGCGTAACAATAGGTTCGGAGAGGCTAATTCACTGCGATCGATCGTCACGATTTCACGATAGCGCCGCTACGTTTCCCTCGCGAGGAGAGAGAGAGAGAGAGAGAGAGAGAGAGAGAGAGAGAGAAAGAGGGAGAGAAATAGAAAGAAAGAAAGAGAGAGAGAGACATGCCTTATTCTTCACTTTATCCTACATACCTCGCTGGTTAGAACGGCAAGGATCCCATTATAGAGACGCTCGCTCGGTATCAGGAGAGAAACGAGACGGGTGGCATCGTGATCGCAGCGGTGCATCCGTAGAAAAAGAGCGGCAGGTTGGATCCTCAGGAACGCGACACGGGCGATCGATCTATCCGTGTTGAGCCGACAGGCGAAAGGGACGTATCGAGGCACCGCGGCGGCTCGTATGCGACCAAGTGCCAGCCGTTCCACGCGTGGTATATTAATACGCTCATATGACACACATATATATGTGTATATATATGCATAAACACACAAAACACACGCGCGCACGACGGACTAGAGGCCAGACTCGGGGGAGGCCGAACGTGTCGCACACCGTCGCTGCCGAACGTTACGACTAATCACGGTGAATGACGATTGTCCGCGATCGAGAGAAGGAACTCGGAACGGCTAACGGGCGCGTATCAGCGCGCATGCTCCAATCACGATCATCGACCTACCGATGGTAGCGACGGCGATACTTCGAGCGGATGAGATTAAAGTCCGTATCAGACTACGGGTGCGTTCGAAGAGACGCTATTTAGCACTACCTTATTCTATCCTTATTGTACGTGTAATGAGTAATAAAGATAGAATAACGTGGTAGCGCTAAATAGCGCCTTCTCGAACGCGCTCTATGGATTAGGATTGAGATTGAATTAAAATTTGGCCAATCGGAACAGAGATTCATTAAACTGAAGTTTAGTGAACTTTGCTCTGATTGGTTCAATTTCAATCCAATCTCAATCCTAATCCGTAATCTGATACGGGCATAAAGCAAAACGGAGCGTCCGCATTGCAACCTATCCTGATTATGTCCAATGAGAGAACTTGCTTTCTAGGGATTTCAAGTGATGACATCTTCGTCTCTAGGAAGCTGATGTTCCTATCGGACATCGGACATGTAATGTAAATTCGCTTTCTATTAAGCTCGTATCAGACTACGGATTGGAAATTGAGATTGAGTTGAAATTTAACTAATCAGTGCAAATTTCACTAAATTCGAGTTCAATTAACTTTACGCTGATTGGTCAAATTCAATTCAATCTCAATTCCCAATTTGTGGTCTGATACGGGTTTTATGATCTTCAAATTATTATATATTACACGTTCTGCCACGAGAAAGTTTACAATGGCTGCCGCAAGTAGAAAAAATAATCGAGCAAAGGAACTGAAATGATAAAATTGTTCCACCAATCGTAGCCGAGAATCATCGGGAGCGAAAGACCGACATTTCGAAATCCTCAGCTGCGATTGGCTTACTTCAGTTTTACCGCTCGTCGTTTTTATATATACGTGTCATTGGCTCTGCTCTGTCTCTCGCCAATCCGGGCTTTTCCAAGGAGGGGTTGGGATTGACCGAGTAAGGTTTTGGAATATAGCTGTGATCGCACTGACTGGTGTCAAGCGAATTGTATACTTCAATGTGCTCACAGTAGTTGCATCACATGGTGCAGTTTGACGCACGCACAGTGATAACGAAGCATTTAACGTACACGCACTTGAAATTGCAAAAGCGCGCAGGTCCGATCAGCGACGTCATCTTTTTTTTTTACACAGGTAAAATGTTTTTTTTTTGCACACTAACATTCTCGGAAGTGACAGATCGTGTGAATTCACACGTTCGCGGCCGTTTCTGCAATATGTTATGTCAGATTTATACCGTTCGCATACCATCGCTATGGAGAAAATTCACTTTCAATCGTGTGTGTGCGCGTAAAATGCGGTAAAATGTCCGCCAGATAAATTTCTACGTTGCGGGAAAAAGAAAAGATCAACACGTATATTTTTTTTCTCGAACTTTTAGATTGCGTTTTGTTATGGAACTTTCGATTTCCTATTTACATGTATTTTCCCCGAGTACGATAATACGTTGACATTTGACTGAAGTTACACAATCTCCTTCGCTTGGCAGAGTCGCGATGTATCATGACGAATGTGTGTTTGGCTGTGACATGTGAGAGCGCAAGGTGATAATATATCTGTGTGTATACATACTTATATGTGTATCTATTCTTATATGTCTCGAGATAGGTAGTCTTTATCGTGCATATTTTTCTGTATATCATCTTATAATTTTCAAGAAAAGAAATGGAGGAATATTTAAGATCGACAAAGCATATTGCGTTGAATGAGGCAACAGTTGAGTCGAGTGTAACATGTCAAGCTGATAACATATATGCTTGATGATTGTGATTTAACGACAAGTTCGATCTATATTGTGTTATTGCAGATTACCAAAATGACATTTGGAATGTGCTTCTGAGTAATAGTTACTCATAATTACAAACAAAATTTCAAGTATTCCTAATTATGTACGCACAAGTACTAAATGGATACTTCAAGAAACTATTAATAGAAAGAGATCTGGACTTGAATAGTAGGAGATGTCTAATGGATAACTTTACACAAGAGGGATAAATAATCAAATGATCTATTGTAAAAAATAACGTCTAGAAAACTGTCAAATTTTTGGAGCAACTTTTGCATCACCTGTGGATACAATGTCGAGTACTGGATCTGTTGCATCACAAACCATTGCTCATCTACCAGAGAAAGAGCATGGACCTGTTCCTGTAGACTATTCTAGCATCAGAGGCAAGGTATGTTTAAGATATTTATACATACTAAAAAAAATCATACCTGGCTATGTGGATTATTTTACAGTATTTTGTAATAATATAGGTTAACATAAATTTTAGAATGTCTTGGTTAGTCCATCTGAGGATCAGTATGAACTGTTATTGAGAAAGCTAAAGGAAAGGATTCAAGATGGAGGCAGTGAGACGATTTTTGATATCGGTATTGCTGAAGGTATCAGCTTTAACTAAATGACTTAAGAAACATTTATTTAAAATATTATCGTGTGATAAACTGCTGTATCAATTAAAAATCATTCAGACAAATTTATTAAATTATCATACGATATTTTCAGATGGATCTGAAGACGGATTAAAGGAGGATGAGTATGATGCATCAGTTGCCACTTTACAGTCTCTTGCTGCGACATTGGAAGCTGATTGCGTACTTCTACGTCAAAGTAAAGTAGACCATGGGTTGACAGGGCAATATCTAGTAAGAAGGCGTCTGGATCGACAAGATTTCTTGGAGATCAGGTTTTTATTTGATAATATGATTTTTTGGAAGCAAACCAGTAACTTAAAATTTACAGTACAGGAAGAATTAAACATTTGAACAACAAATCCTGTATGAGAAAGCAAATAACTGTTTGTAGGGTTGCCGTTGTTGGTAATGTGGATGCTGGTAAATCTACATTATTAGGAGTGCTGACCCATGGTGAGCTTGACAATGGAAGAGGTTTAGCACGTCAGAAGTTATTTCGTCACAAACACGAAGCTGAAACTGGACGGACTAGTTCTGTTGGCAATGACATACTTGGATTCGACAGCGTCGGTGAGTGTCGGCTTTTAGCTTTAATCATTCATGAATTTTAGTTGAGATTGTTGCGATTATTGTGCGTGTTATTCATTGATTATTATATATCCTCAGGTAACGTAGTTAATAAACCAGAACATGGGTCGCTGGATTGGGTGAAAATATGTGAGAAATCTTCCAAAGTAATTACGTTTATCGATCTTGCCGGTCATGAAAGATATCTGAAGACAACTGTTTTCGGAATGACAGGACATGCTCCAGATTTTGGTAAGGCATTACGGTTGAACGAAATCTCTTTCTGTTGTTATTACAATTGTAACACCGATAAAAAAAGAGAGAATATTTAACAAGAATATTTTCCTCACATATTTGACATTTGGTCATTCAGCAGCATACAGTCTAAGAAAGTGCTTGTATTAATGCATCATCAGCCGTATAATATAAATATTATTTCAGGTATGCTAATGATTGGGGCAAATGCTGGTATTGTGGGAATGACCAAGGAACATTTGGGTCTTGCCTTAGCATTGTCTGTACCAGTATTCGTTGTTGTGACGAAAATCGATATGTGTCCACCGAATGTCCTGCAGGAGAACTTAAAGTTGTTAATAAGGATCTTGAAATCGCCTGGTTGCAGGAAAGTTCCTGTTACGGTAAAGACACCTGACGACGTAGTAGTCAGTGCTACTAATTTTGTCTCAGAACGGTTGGTAGTGCCACTTATATATATGCGATGAAAAATAATATATATATACGATGGCAGACAATACAATAATATATTATAATATACTTCGTTTACGCAGACTGTGCCCAATTTTTCAAGTATCTAACGTATCTGGCGAAAATCTAAATCTTCTCAAGATGTTTCTCAACTTACTAACGGCAAGGATCACTAGTCACGACGATGAGCCTGCTGAATTTCAAATCGACGACACATATTCCGTACCGGTGCGTGTCATATCATACATTATTGTAATAATTTTTGCGTTAATACTGTAATGCGATAAAAATTGTAAATTAAAATTTAACAGGGTGTTGGTACAGTGGTGTCCGGTACAACTTTAAAAGGTATCATAAAGTTGAACGATACCCTGCTGTTAGGACCCGATCCGCTAGGTCGTTTCACGCCGATAGCCGTGAAGAGCATCCATCGAAAGAGAATGCCCGTCCGTGAAGTGAGAGGCGGACAAACTGCCAGTTTTGCCCTGAAGAAGATCAAACGATCGCACATTCGCAAAGGTATGGTGATGGTCGCGCCTATACTCAATCCGCAGGCCTGTTGGGAGTTTGAGGGTGAAATTTTAGTGCTACATCATCCCACCACGATCAGTTCACGTTATCAGGCGATGGGTAATTATTATTTACCTAAATGATTATTTTACGTATCGTTCTACAGTGAGTAATCATCGTAAAAAAATCATTGCAGTACATTGCGGCAGCATAAGGCAAACTGCTTCTATATTATCCATGTCTCAGGACTGTTTAAGAACGGGCGACAAAGCTTTAGTACATTTTAGATTTATCAAACATCCAGAGTATATAAAACCTGGACAGAGAATGGTGTTCAGGGAGGGCCGTACTAAAGCGGTAGGAAATGTATTGAAACTTATACCGCACTCGAGCGGTACGACTATACAGACATCGAGGATTAATAAGCCGAATAAGACATCGCAAGGACGGCAGAATACGTCAAACGTGCAGGTACAATTTGAACGCAAAACTTATTGACGATTAGTTTTTTCAAGTTTTTACTTGCCCTTGTATAATACGTATAAATGAGTTTTTAATATTAAAAACGAGAATGTACAAATAAATGTGTTACTTTACGGCATTAGGCAACAGAGATAACAGAAGCTGACTCGATGATCGAAACACAAACAGCTAAGCAAGAAAACGTACCACAAAAATTCGGGTTGAATCAGAAAAAAGGTAGAGGCCGAAGAGGAGGGAGATCGCATAATAACGTGAATAACATTCAGCCTCTGGCGGAGCAAAATCCTCCTGCAAAAGTGTAATCTGACTGGCGCAATGGTGTACAAAGTAACATACGTTATTAATTCTCCATTAATTCTCTAGTACATACCAGTTTATCATATAATGATGAAAGGTGATCGTCTATGACAAAATTACTGTAATATTCAACACTATTATTTTTTCGCTAAAATAAAAACATTATAGAGGATATTCGGGCACGTATTATGTGCTGTAAATTTATTAGAGTACAAACGACTTCTCGATTATTAATCGCGCGTTAAGAAGATATTCTTTTAATAATATAACAAAATATTCGTATATAAATTGTATTATTTTTATAAAAGGCACATGTGTATCTTAAATTCGTACTACATATAGGTAAAATCAGTTAGAGAATGTACATGTATGTCTCCACTTCGGTTGCGTGAATCTGCGACCGGATATGCAATATGTATAATCGGGTACATACAAATTTTCTATCTAGTATTTTGTAAAGAAAGTTCGTGATATACGATTCACCGAGGCTTTCATGCAATAAAGCAATTATATTAATTATGTAAGCGAGAAGATACGTTCTTCAAATATTTCAGAAGAATTTGACTGCTGAGTGCACCCGATTGCATATAGACACATATTTGTATGAAAAAGTGAGTTGTAACTTCTTTTTTTAATGTCTAAAATTTAAGGATAAAGTTACATCAATTCTGTGTCTCATCGTAACAATAGCGATAAGTACTTACATCTATAAATCCACTATATATTGTACAAAAATTCTCAACAACAAACGAAAACAAAAAAATGTGATGCTGTTTATTTATATGGAATATTTTACGACGAAATTTTAAGCAGGGATACACACAATATATTCCAAATGTAAACAGAAAATTTCTCTTCATGGTGAAAACAGTGAAACGGGCATTTACTTATCGTGAAAAAATGTGTATACTTCAAGATGCAGAATACCATTCGCACATTACAATTGAGCAATTATTCATCATTAATTCCGAATATACGTCGTTAAGATACATATATTCGATCTATTTTGATTGAAAGTGAATTAAATAAATAATGTTATCGGTTTATTACATTGACATGAAGAATTTCACATTGTTATATTTTCTACAGCAATACGCATTACTAGGAACTTACATCATTGCCCAGTCTATACATATACACAAAGGTATATATGGTATACAAATCATTTATATGATCTACAATTACTTCGGTGGATTTTTCTTTGATTCTCGCAACTCACGTTTCAATCCTTCTGCGATTTCTCGCAACTGTTTAACGAAGTCTCGTGGATTGGAAATCGTGCGCTGTGTCATTTTTATTAGACCTGTTCTAAATAATACATACACTACAAATTGTGCACTTTGCCTAATTGGTTTGGACTCTGCTAGCTTATTAATCAATTGTTCATTGTTTAATAAGTAGTGGAAGAGAGCTCTTATGAAACGCATGCTGATGAAATATATAACTGCAGTTATTATGTAACGAAGGGCGAACACATCTGGTTATACTTTGGGTATTTCAAATGTGCACGTATTACGATACTTCAATAGAAGCTCGCGTTTCAATCTCAGTTGTTTGCGCAATGTTTCTAGCTTTTGTAACTGTTCTTCTTTACTGTACTCTATCCCTGGCAATCTTTTAATCTAAATAACAAAAGAACCATATTGTATAAACACGAATGTATAAACAATTTTATTGTATAAGAATACTTGCATCTATTTACATTCATGAGTATGCAGAAAATCGTATAAACTTTTACCTGTGATCTCGCAGAATCCAATTTCTTCTGCAATTCTAAAATCTTGTGACTGGTATCCTGTGATTCCTTGGCTTTTTGCGTAGTATCATGTGGATCTTTTTCAACGCTGAAAATGATATTTTATGATGATATATATAAAAAAATAATAATTTGTTGAGGTTATATACTAACACTTATTTATCGGCAATTTGTTAGAATGTAAAACTTAAAACAATTGATTATCTGTTATAAAAATACACACCTACGAATGATCTCATAAATAAGCGGTAATATTTCAATATCTAAATCGTCGACGGTGAATTGTGTCCTCAAAGGAGTTTCCTCTGGCAACTCTGCCGTCTCCATCATGTGATCAGGGTTGTCAAACTTACGTAGGAAAATTACTTGTTAATCTATATTTTATTTATAACCTATGTTTCATGTTGCAAACTTACGTTTTTACTTTTTGCACTTATCAACCAATTTTGAGACTCACGACTTCGTTAACTTAAATTCAATATTGGTTGATCTAATTTTTTAGTAGCTCGTGTCGACAAATGTGTTGGTATGCGATATTTATAGGCGTGCTGTCTAAAATACACGTTCAGTATTTAGTGAACAAATTTGATTCTTTATTCGTTTTTATTATTATGTAAAATGTCTTGCGCGTGTTTGGATACGGAAGTACGAAAACTGAAGCCGATTGAATTATATAGGTTAGGAATTATATTGAATATATCCGATAATTGGAAAAAGTTAATGGCTAATGTGCCGAAACAGGAAAATATTCCCGAATTCAGCAGTGAGCACATTGAGTAAGTTAAATATATTTAACACACACACACACACACACACACACACACACACATGAATAAATAAATAAATAAATAAACATATATATAATTTATACATTTATATAATTATCATATACAATATAATTAATATGTTGTAGTATGATTGAACAAGCCGCAAATCAACATAACCGCAATGCAGCAGAGATATTTTTGGATGAATGGAGTACTATGGGAAGGAAAAGGCCAACATTGGGATTATTGTTAGACCTTCTTGTAAAAGCTGAATTATTTAGAGCTGCTGACTATGTAGCATGTGATATATTAAAACGTAGTATTCATGATGGTATAAAACAAATCTTTTGAATACTTAAAAACAAACTAATTTTACTCTCTAATTACAGAAGAAAGACCAAAAAGACCAGAATATGGTCCAATTGCTTCTGTTGATATAAGCGACGAAACTATAAATAAGATATTAGAGGAACAAATACTTCCAAAAGATACATTTGATGATTCATTGGTATTAGAATCTTCGTTGAAACTAGACGTTAATAAAATGTATTTTGATGACAAGACGTTTGATGACTTAGAAGAAGCTGCCTATAAAAATTCACCAGAAGCTACCAATGATGCTTTAAATTGCGAGAAATCTATGAATACTGCCAGTGGAATTGTGTCAGACTTAATGAAATTCAGTATAACAGATTCCTTTAAAGCAACAGATCAAAGTGTGGTTCGTACTGTGGTTTCAGTAGCTGAAGAACAGTTGCCTGTTCCTATAATTATCAGTGGTCCAGAAAGTCCACCAAGTAAAAGAGCACAATATTGCCAGGAAGTAACATCTCAAGAATTGCCTGTGTTTCTTAACAGTCCTGCACAATCTACAGTGCCTGACGAGGAAGTGTTTTCTGAACATCTGCCAGTATTTCTCAACAATTCTGTGCAATCAACGGCACTTAATGAGGAAGAATCTTCTGAATATTTGCCAGTATTCCTTAACAATTCTGTGAGATCTACATTTTCCTGCAATGAAGAAATGCCTTCTGACATTCCACTTTGCTTAAAACCATGATAATGGTTTCATTGTTATTTAATCTTATAATAATTTATAGCGCTAATATAGGAAATAAAAAAAAAAAACAATTTATAAATAACGCAAATGTACATAAAGTGTTTCATAACATAATTTTAGAAATTAATTCATCAAGAAAAGTTTACATTTACATTTGTCCTATCTGACTTCGAAATACCTTGTATACACAGTCTGTTGTGACTGATAACGAAAAAAATACAAGACATCAATTGTTTCTTTTTTCATTTTTTTTTTATTCATAATATACTCCTGAGTCAATGCAACGCTGAAAGCGTTTAAATAATTTCCGAAAGCAGCTTCTGCATTCCTTCTTTGGAATCGCCATTAAATCCTGAATATCCTGAATGATGTCGTAATGCTTTTCGTTTATCGTCATTTTGAGTTTTGGGAATAGCCAGAAGTCATAGGGAGTCATCACAGGCCGGGTAAATACAGGGGGTGTTCGAGCGCTGTGATGCTACCTCTGATCAAGAAATCGCACGGTGGTTCATTATCAAAACACCACGTCTCGTTGCCGGTTACGATGTTTCTCATAAAAATCAGAGTCAATACCGGCCACTCTTAGCATATCTTTGTAATACTCTATTCTAGCGTCCTTTTGATCCTCCACCAGCGTGTACGGCACGAAGCATAGACCTCCCGTTTGTCCAGATCCTCCGTCAGAATTTGATGGACGGTACTTTTGGGTATGCCAGTGAGTTTCTCGATAAATCTCGTGGTCACACAGCGCTCCATCCGAAGGATTTTAATCATTTTCTGCACGTTTTCAGAGGTACGGCTTGTTTCTGGCGGTGATGCTCGCGGAGCGTCCTCGATGTCCACTTTTCCAACGTGAAATCGAGAATATCACCTGAAAACGCTGGAATGGTCCAAACAATTACCGTAAAAACAGAAAGAAACAAAATGTTCTCAGGTTTTTCTCTCATTGAGTGGTTTGTTCACGTTCCTGACTAATTTGAGAACTTCTATGATTCGACATTATGTAACTCGTATTTTTATAATTCCATATTATATAATGGAAAATATCACACCATGTACAATGACATTGTAACAATTCTACAATGTTCTAACGTCGGAGGATTAGATACACAGCAAGCATTCAAATCATACAAATGCAGTTTTTTTTATTTCAACATCAGAGACAAAATGCATTCATCGGACAGTTTTTTTAATCAAACAATCCGAATCCCATGTCATCGTCAGACTCTTCGGATTCCTCCTTCTTTTCTTCCTTTTTCTCTGCAACAGGAGTGTCTGTAGTTTCCGCTGACGGAGCCGCTACAGCGGCGGTAGCAAACTTGCTCGGATCCTGCAACCAGACCATAGTTCCATCACTCTCTATTGACATAGATTATCGGCTAAACAAGCATTTTTCTATTATATTTCGTTCAGACAGCGCTCTTGCGCAATATTTCAACTATGATCTTGACGTATCAGTGGGTTCTGCTATTTCTAGCTCTGACACGTGGATCAAGATCTTCAGACATGTAATGTTTTCATCATTAAATATATTCCAGAATAATTAGACACTGTGAAGTACATCTGTGTTTCATACAAAAATAAATCAATTTCTGCATGATTTTCAGTTATAAAAGTGACTCAAAATGGTAGTCGCGAACTTTGCACATGTATTCTGCTCCTTTAAACTAAGAAAAAATGTAAACATAGTCTTGTAAACACATGTCCAAGACGTGATACATTTAATGTCTAAAGTAGACAGTATTAACTTATAAAAAATGTTTCAAATAATCATATACTGTCTAATCGAGAAATTGTTCAGCAATATTTCAAACATATGCTTTAAAAAATATATTACATTAAATTATTTTTTGACACAAAGTACTCAATATTTCAAAAAATAAGGCTTTGCAAACCTATGTTCATTAGATATCAGTATTTAATTTAAAAGTGTGAAAATTTATGATTACCATTTGAATCATCCTGTAGGAGTCTTTCAACTTATAAACATCTTAAAATGATATATAGCACTGTGTTAACTACAACAAGTGATATAAAAGGACAAAACATGGTCAATCCCAAAAAAGATTTCTCTAATTTTCTGAGATATTTATGAATTTTAAACGATTCATAACTTCTAACTCAAAACTGAAAAAAGGGGTTGATCATCTTTTTCCTTCCAAAATAAGAATGTGTATAAAATTGTATCGTAATATATTTAAGCTAATCCGTATCAGACTATCGACTATGAAGGTCAACCCGACTGCCGACTGTCAGCTTTTAGTAGACCAATTACAATGAAACGCCGACATTCCGCGTCTGTAGTGTGATACAGGCTTTAGTATCGTGTACTTCATGGATTTGTTTCCAAAATAAACCCCATCACTAACTGAAAAGCTAAATTGTGCATTTTTCCGTACCTTGATATATTCCTTGATAGTGGCAGCTTCTGCGAAATCAACATCGGTAACAGCAGCAATGGCCAACAGATTCTTGAAGCCATTAACAATGCTATGCGGTGCACTAGCGACTGTGGGATAACCAATTGCTAAACAAATGGATGCCACATTTGCAACTCCAGCTAGGAATTTCTCACGGAGATCCTCAGATTTGATGTCCAAAATTTCGGGTGCAAAAATGGTGCCGGAATCATATACTTGTTCGACAAGTAAACCGTACGAGAATGGAGAAATGTTTAGCATATTCAGAAGCGTAGCTTCCGAAGCTCCCACTTTGTCACCAGGTTTAAGGATGTGCACATCATTCTGAAATTTTGCATCACATTTTTATATTGAAATAATAGATCATAGATGTAAGATTTTTGGATTCTTCAACAAGTACTTACAATAATTTCGATTGTACCCTTGGAAATTTTTGTCGGTATACTTAGAGCTTGGAAGAACGAAGTCTTTTCAGGACCGAGACCTGTATTTTGAGCTGGGATGATGACGCTCAAAGGTGCTATAGCACCAGCTCTAGCAGGTGCACGCACTTTGTTCTCCAGTAATTTGTCCCTTACTTCGATCAAATCCCCCCGAGTAAAGACAAATCCGACATTACCACGAATATGAGGTAGCAATTTTTCTAACGCAGCATTGCGTTCAACATGACCACGAATAGCTTTTCTCATCATGGTGTTCTTGCCCATCAAGACTACTGCATTTCCACGCAATGACATACGTATTTGTTGCATTTGTTTGGAGCCAACATTGTCGGCTCCCACAATAAAACATTTTGGATAATCATCCAATAGTTGCTGGTATTAAAGAACAAAGAATGCATTTTAGTAAATTTTGCAAATAATATAACATGCAAATGTAAGAAAAAAAATATTTACTACAAGCTTGGTGAAATAATTTGCCTTCCATGATGTTTTGTCCTCCCTACCCATCTTGAAAAGTGTGTAAGGATTCCTTGCGGAAATTTAAGGACTGAAAGTAACGAAAACGAAGAGTTAAAATTATGTATCAAACAATAGGAACTCATATTAGTAATTTATTTCACTAAATTATATTAAATGTATCTTTTGTATATAAGGTGTACACCAAGCATACCCCTCTCCCCTTGATGCTACAGCCCATGTAGGGGGCCGGCTTGGTCCTACCTTTCTCTCGCGTATGCATGTGGTGCGCAAGATTATATACACATGCATACGACCTACATAGGTTAAACACCGGTTCTGAACGGCAAATTTTTGGAGAGAGGTTTCCCAGTAGCATAAATACTCTTAGTGGTTTACCAGACCACCGAAGAGGAGTCACGAACATGAAAATTTTTCTGGCTCTACCAGGAATCAAACCTGGGATTTCTAGCATAGCACAGACCGGCTTGTTATTTACTACGCCACACTCGCGCTCGTGTACCAGCATAAGAATACCTAAATATCTACTTTGTTTTTATGACACGAGAAATGTGTTTAGAGCATAATTTAATGATTTCGAGGGAAGAATAGCGTAAAAGGAAAAATTTTTTATAGTTATTTCTTTCTATTATTTTTTAAATATTTTTCAATTACTTTTTAAGTTCTTTTATTGAAGTTTCCAAGATATTTAGGTATTCTTCTCCTTATGCTTCTCATCATTCTGTACAATATTTGCATGCGAATAAGTTGTTATTTTTAATTTTTTCGAGTTTCTTATATTTTTTGATAAGTGGCTTTCTCATCATCGCACTGTGTATATTTATATAAATAAAATTAAAAATAAATAGATGTTATGACTCTTGTGATATAATAAATATATAAATAAAATTCAGCAACTAAGCAAATGAGATCCAACTAATTTATCTTACTGACATGATTAATTTGTTTTATATTGAAAAAAACTATATTAATATAATTACTCATCTGTATCAGACTTTTACTTGCCTAGTTGCTGACTTTTATTTTTATATTGGAGAAATAAAACTATTTATTTAAATCAGCGAACCAGATAATAAAATGAAAGAAACATTGCCTTTGTTTCTGCCAGATGACCTTATATCCAGAAAGAATATATAAATAATATTCCTGTCTTCATCTGTTTGTGTCCATTTTTGTCTTATTTGATTCTATATAGACTATATAACATGTTAATATAACAGAAAGCAAGATTCTATTTAGCCATAGCCTTTGTTTTATAGGCTACAGCCATGCAATTTTCCTTCCAGTATGTTATATAGTTTAATGTTTTAATGTTTCTGAATACTCGCTATTCTTCTTTGATGATGTCAGGCATGATTTTCCTTGTTTCTGATGTCACCAAAGAACAGTCATATGGTCTGTTTTTATTTTTTCAACTGAGCTGGATGCACTGGTTCAAGAAATGTACACATACTGGCATAAGAATTTTGTACATACATTTCATGTTCTTCAGCGTGCATGTAAATTTCTTAAACTAGTGCAGCCGATTTAGCTAAAAAGAACAAACTAATAGCGAGTATCCAAGAGCCTTAAATTCATCTTACTACGTGGTCTTATCATATAAGATTGGCCCTGTTCAACAGAACATTAATTTTAAAACTGTTAGAAGTTTCTTGTAGATTAGATTACTCCTGTATTCAAAAAAAATAATGATATCTTAGATTACGTAACTTTTTCTTAAGGCGAAAACGTGAAAATTCCAAATGCTTCTAAATTAAAAAATTTAAATTTTTCAAGAATTTATGCTAGAAAAGAAAATTCATGGCTCTCTGGAAATAAAATATGAATCCTCTCATCGGGTGTAAACTTGTGAAAAGTGTAAATTTTCTAATTTGAAGACATTTAGAATTTTCACTTTATATTTCCATTTTAGGAAAAATTTATTGAATAACTGGTTTCGAAAACTTCCAACAGTTGTAGAATAAACGTTATTATTAACTTAACATACTTTTGTTTACCCAAGACCACATGGTTTTATAACCTCTTTAACTATATTAAAAAAAAAGATTTAAAAAATTATATATATATAACTTTATATTACTTTTATATAAAAGTACGAATATGCATAGTGCCAAATTTAAGATTGAAAAGATCAAAAATATAAAGAATATACGTTAACGTTGCAGATGTAATATAAGAACGTGTCTCACCTCACAAGGGTTACCACAAAATGGCCGGGCAAGAACCGAATCGTAATAAAAATAGCTTGCATGTCCTATCCATGATGTGGCAAGGCATACACCATACGCCACCTAGCGGTAGATTTATAAGGCTACTAGTTGAGTTATAAGGGTTTTTGCCCACAGGACATAAAAGTGTTTGCCGCTCTAGAACGACACGACAGCCAATAAACTTTCAGTTCTCGTGGATAAACGGCATGTTGATTGGCTACCGCGTCGTTTCTTGCCGCGTGGCAAGCATTACCGCGTCCTGTGAGCAGAAGCCATTAAGTCCGTATCAGATTATGGATTGGAGATTGAAATTGAATTGAAATTTGATCAATCAGTGCAAAGTTCACTAAATTTCATTAAACGAGTTTAGTTAACTTTGTACTGATTGGCCAAATTCAATTCAATCTCAATCTCTAATCCGTAATCTGATACAGGCTTTAAAGTTTTTAAACGATGAGAGATTAAGTCAGAGACACACGATGCTTGTTTTCGTGCTGAATTGATTGCTGGATAGAAATATTGCGTTTTGATTGGTGCATTTCCAAAAATGAATAACAATTCACTAATCAAAACGCAATATTTCCATTCAGCTACAATCCAGCACGAAAACAAGCATCGTGTGCCGCTGGCTTTATTATATACTTATATTGAATAGGAAATATTTCGCACCATTTATCGCTAATAAAAAATGTCCCTAGAAAGCGATTTCTCCTATTGGATTGAAACGTGCGACGAACGGGACGCAGACGGTCTGTTCTTTTTAGCTGCACTATTAATCTAATGCAATAAGTTAGTCCGAGCCAAATATATTTTGACTCACACGATTTATTGTAACAGTTCAGTAGTACTATTAAAAAGAACACACTAAATGTAAATTCTCCATTACAGCCTGTTCCATTACAATTCCGCTTCCGTTCCTTACAGCTGCTTCTTTTCGAGAAGAGGTCCGTTGTGTAAAGACGCGTGGTCCATTTTTCTCGTAATCGAATTACATCAACATTTTTTCTTAAAAATTTTCGCCAGGAACTATCACAATGCCTCCTAAGTTCGATCCAAATGAAATCAAGAAAGGTATTTTCTTAAATTTTCTCTTAACATATTCAAATTTTAGGAAACTATAATCTTAAAATATATGTATGTTAAAATTATCCTCTTTGAACACAGTGTATTTGCGATGCGTCGGTGGTGAAGTAGGAGCCACTTCATCCCTTGCTCCAAAAATTGGTCCCCTTGGTTTGGTAAGTTGTAAGAAAATTTCGCATATGCAATAATTACTTGTATATATCTGAAATAGGTTATGCATGTGCTGTTATCTGAAAACGTTTTTCTTTCCTCCTCTTCTCTCAGTCACCTAAAAAAGTTGGTGATGACATTGCCAAGGCCACTAGTGACTGGAAGGGTCTGAAAATTACAGTTCAACTGACCATTCAAAACCGACAAGCTACAATCTCGGTTGTGCCTTCTGCAGCTTCCCTTATTATTAAGGCTCTCAAGGAGCCGCCTAGAGATCGCAAGAGGCAGAAGAATATCAAGCACAGTGGTAATCTGTCCTTTGACGATATCGTTTCCATTGCCCGTGCTATGAGGTCAAGGTCAATGTCGCGAACACTGAGTGGTACTGTCAAGGAGATTCTGGGTACGTGTCAATCAGTTGGATGTACCGTGGAAGGCAGACCACCCCACGACCTTATAGACGACATTAATGCAGGCGAACTGGAAGTTCCTGAGGAATAATTGCTGGTGGGTATAGGGCCCTTGGTTCATTCTTTTCACTGATGTAACAAAAAAAGCAGTATTTATTCAATTTACAATAGTTGATTACATACTTATGAAATTTGCCATTAGCATTTTCGGAATTATTGGTTCTTTCATTTGCGATGAAGTCACAATATGAAAAGTATTAACTATGGGCCTTTGGTAGGGGTTGGCATCCCATCCACTTGCATAGCTTTAACTACATCAACTGATGGTGTTACATGCTAGCAAGTTAACTTGGCCACTGAGGAGACAACCTCAATAAAAAAATCATATGATAACTTCTTGCGGGATAGAAATGTATGTTTTATTAAGTAGTTTTTGTCCGTTTTATTTTTCCAGATTTTTGTAAGATGCAGAAAATAAACACTTCAGAAAAAAACTAAATATATATATGTATATATATATATATATAGTACTTTCTTTGTTATCTTATGCTATCCATTTATTCCTTGCGTATACATTGTAATATAAACCGTGGTACTAACCATCACGAATTCATGGTTTTTCTTATAAATTTTTATCAAGAAATTACGGAGACAGTTAATTTTATTTTATTCCTACTGTCAATATTGGTTTTTACTAGAAACACTCGGGATTCCCTACATTTATCCAATGCGAATCGTACAATTTATATGTTACTTCAGTCCCATACTTTTTCATTTATTACTATACATGAAAAAATATACAGAAAATTATATGTACAAACTTTTACGGGGATAAACGTGTCTCATCAAGTGCAATCTGTGATCGATTATTAATTGAGAAAATATATAATGCCCTGTAAAACATTAAATAATATGTCCTTGACTTTGTAATCATTGATTGTTCATTATCATCAAAGTGTGCATATACTATTAATATAGTTACATAAAATCACAAGTGTTTTTATATTATATAATGATATGAGATCTCTAGTTTTTTTTAAATTTTCGATGTGTACTCACGTTATTTGCTACGAATACATAATTTAAAATACATATTTTGGGCTTATGTTTTAATCATTGTAGTTATGCAAAAGTTTACAAAGATGCTTGGAAGAATTTGTGATGCAGAGACGTGAAGAAACAAATGATTGCTGTCAATGAGCGTAGAATGTGTACAAATAATAATTTGTTGTAATCAGTGATTTCTCGTAAGCAAAATTATTTAATTATTGTTGACCCAACACATGACCTCTTCCCCAATTGTGTCCCCCAAATATATTTCTCCCTTGAGCATTTTGTTCCGGAGCTGGCCTGTGTGTTGGTGGAGCTCCGAATGATCGAACTCCGCCTCTTTGAGATGGGAAGTAATTTTCAAGTATCCTCGGAGTATTCAGTAATTCAGGCCCACCGAGCTCCTGAGGATACTTAAACTTCAAGAAGACATACAGATGCCCAACCAGAATGCCAAACAGCTCCATCATTCCACCTCTAGAAATGATCAAGTTAAATCCAAACAAGACCCAAGGCAGATACATAGCTTTAAATTGTGTGCCTGTTGACAAAAATTAATTTTTAATAATCTGTACCAATCGACTGGTAAATTTCATCATTGTATGGGACATGAGGAGGAAGTACGCGAAACATACCAAACCAGAAGTTTACGATAGCATCCTTATTCAGCTGACACCATACGTATAACACACTGAGCACCATGGGATCCATGAGCAAGGGGAAGTCGCCGACGAGGCCGATGATGACACAACATATCCAGTTGAACAACAGGAGGAAACAATAATCAGCTGGCTTGCCATCGTATTCTCCTCGTTCTAACCTCAGCGAATAATTATACAAGAAGTAACAATTAATCAAGAAATGAAAGCCCGAGCCCGGGCTGAGAGGATAATAGAAGACACTCGTCACTGCCCTCCAAATTTCGAAATTGCTTAGAAATCGATCGGGCCACAGTATCAGCAGATGCGGACTGACGAAGCCGAATCTGCCGAGTAATGTCAGAACGGCGGTGCACAGCAACCAGTATCTCGTGAATATCGGCAATGAACCAAACCAGTCTCTCACGTCTGACATTTTGCACGATTCCACGACACTGTTCTCTCCTGGGGAACCAACAACCGACTGACCGTTCACGAGTGATCCAGGGTTCACCAGCGACGCAAAGTATGACGTGTTGATTACACCGCTAAATGTGCTACACGTATCTGCGATCGCGTTTCGTTAGGTTACGTACGACATGCGCGTACAGGTTATGTTACGAAAAAAAAAAAAAAAAAAAAAANACGGCGGTATTTTATGCCTATACACGTGATCTTTGTTTCCGTGTCGCATTCGCTTTGAGAAATGATAACACATGAACTCAAGTCGAGTTTGGTAGAGTTGTTTATACAAAATTGTTTTATTGAACATACTCGCATATTGGTAAAATAATTACAGAATAATCACAATTTTTTTTCTCACTTCCGTTATACGACGCTCGCACGCATGCATTCATGTTGTTTGTGACGTGCAGATAACACGAAAGAGAAGACAAAAATGAAAATATCTCGGGGGAGAGAAAACATAAAATCCATTACGCTACAATGTATACGATGTGACTTTATATGCAGGTTTTGCGCAAACAAAACAAAATGTTGAATATCACCGTATTATCGTGTCTCCACTGAGACAAGTACTGAACATGTACGTATATATCATTGGAGTGAAAATTATCAGCAATACGGCTCTCCCTGCATTATTGCCTCAAATGTCATTGAAAATCTGTGCTCTGCGCTACTAAGTAGAGTTGCGTGAGAATTGTTTTTTGTTTTACAAAAATCAAAATATCACGATTATGGAATCCCGGATGGTTTTTAAAAAATTATTGCGATTGCACAATACAGATCCTCCTGTGTCACTTTTAAATAATATACATACATAAATAGTAACATAGTTCAGTCATCAGAACCAGCTGTTCTTTTTGCTTTTCTTTGTCCTGGACTTTGCTTTGAAAACCTAGGTACTACGCCCCTAGATTTATCTGTAAAAAGTATCATTTATTAAGAACTTTCACGTTTATGTAACGCAATGTCTATTAACATGTGTGAACAAATTAATAAAATTTATAATGTTAATTAAGGGGCTTGAAATAAGAAAGAAGACATTTTATATGGAAGATCAAAAAATAATTCGATACATCTTATACTCATTTAAAATTCAAATGCTCTTCACAGGTACCATTTAATTTCGATTTTAAGTGATATAAATAAATGCTCATTTTATTACTTACTAATTCTGTTAAGAGTTTCCTTTGGCAGCCAATCGTAATCTACATTATTGGGATTAGATGTGCCCATTTCTACCGGTGCTTTACGAGTAGTGGAGGAGCGCGACTTGCGTCCTAAAGATGATAATAATTGCTGACCTCCCACAAGTGTCAATATAACGCACGCTGTGAGGAACACATAGAGGAAAATGGTCTCTCCATCCAGGCCATCGTCTATCTCTATGATCTGTACGGTTTCGTTGAAGACTGCTTCATTGTAGGAAACTCCATTCTGTAGAAGCGTAATGTAATATTTACGTGTATTGTGCCTATAAATATATATATATATATATTTCATTTATGTACAATTTCATACTTACCACATCTCTATAATTGAGATTAACATTCAGACCGAATGGTCTCCCAGCAAAGTTGTCAGCTGGTATAAAGGAATAAGCCAAGGTAGCTTCGTGCTTAGGCTTCACAACCTTATTGAATGTGAATGTTGAGAAGTTCTGAATATAAAAGTTGAAATCCATTGCATAACGGAAAGAAGCATCCAGTGATTCCAGAACAAAGTCACCCTCACCCTTATTGGTGAAACCGACAAGGAATTCTACTATGTTTCCAGCTGGCAATTCTGTTAAATACATAATACACTTCAGTATACCATGTACAAATTATCCTGTTCTAATTTCAATTACCAAAAATATAATAAAAATACCAAGAGTAGATAATGTATTGTGAATGGGTCTTGTAAAAAGTATTGTCGTGTCAGCATCGGCTGAAGCATTGCTTGTATCTTCCTCTGTCTCCTCATCAGCTATTATACTACCTTCTTCACCTTCCACATCAACAATATCATCGATATTCTCATCCTCTTGAGCATAAACACCGTACCCTGATCAAAACAGACACAACATATGTTACAAGCAACTATGTTATCCTGCCGGCTGTGGCAAAAACGTCTCGAACAATACTCTCTCTTCGAAGTATCACCTTTCTAAGTACGCACATCTATGAATCAACGTAACGACAGCTGGTGGAACCTTCGGAGCACCGGATAACTCCGCTTAAACGCGCGAATTAGATTCCGCTCGAAAGACTTTCGCATTATCGATTGAATTTTTTTCACAGAGGAACTCAACAGCCGTGCGACCGAGCGTCGCGATAAACATGCGAGCAGGACGTGCCTGATCGAGATACGTCAACATGCGAAGCGTAAAACGCGCGTATTTACCTTCATTCGCCGCAAGCGCGAACGCCGAAAGGGCCGCTAATAGGAAAACGTTGAATCTCTTCATTTCGATACGCTGCTCGGCGAGCGTCCTTTCAGTTAGGAATGTCGATTAATTCGACCTCGCATCCACTCACTCACGATACTGACCCCACAGCGCGACGCTCCGACATAACGTGACGGTTACCACCTTTACCAGCACCGCGCCGCGTGCTACGTGGAAGGTCAACAGAGTAGTCGTCAATTCGTCAACGTGGAACCGAGAAAGCGACGCAGCGCGGCGCGCCGCGACGACGCGCGACGATCGCCACGAAACGCGAGGAGCTCGCAAGACGGCGCACCGGCGCGTTCGATTCCCCATTGATGGCGCGCGCGCGTCCCATGACCGCCATTGCACTATATGACATATTGGAATGAGCACTGACGCGATAGGGGCCGTAAGTACTCAGGTAGAACAAATTTTTGAAAGATCTCTTAAAGACGCCTGGAAGATATCTAAAAAAACATAGAACGCCCTTTGAATGCCTTTAAGACATCTCTTAGACATTTGTTCTGCTTAGGTGGGCCTGCGAGACAAAGGCCGATATTCATAGTTGGATCTTATATTTGAGATTATCTTAAATTCATCTTGAGATGTTTCGTAGCCAATGAAACGAGCCGTACAGCATCTGAAGATCAATTTACGTTTTATATATAAAACAGTCTTATATATAAGATTCAATAAATACCGGCTGAAGACTGTAACTAAGTAGTATCTCGCTGTCTGTCTTACTAACATGCTATATAGTCTATGTAGGCTAAGATAAGACAAAGATGGGGATACTACTTATGTATGTACTATCTCTCGACATCATCTAGCAGAAACAAATGGTCTGTTCTTTTTAACTGCACTGCTGAACAATAAGTTAAAACGAGACAAAACATACTTGTCTCACTCTAATTTATTGCACCAGTTCAGTAGTGTTACTAAAAAGAGCAAATCAAAGAGCAGTGCTCATTCCAGTTTGTTATATAGTTCAATGGTGACCGCCCAATCGGCTGCCAATGGCGGACCGATCTCGACGCATGAAGCACGCTGATTCGTCGCTCCTGAGGTCGCAGCGAGCGTCATCTTGGCCGTTTCGCTAGGTGGCGTTGTCGCTCGAATTTCTCGTTTGCGACGCGCGGTGTGAAATCTTGCAGATACTCGTCACGAGTGACTGGAGTTGACGGGAGTTGACAGAAACTCATCTCCCGGTCGGATTATATTGTTTGTTGTTAAAATCGGACCGTTAAATCGCTTTATCTCCGTTCTCTTCTAAATGTAAAATCTTCTAACGTAGAATCGGACACCGATCTGTTTTGCTCTGTATTTCGGCTACTTTTTACGAATAACACAACTTATTAGACTAGATTAACACCGGATTAACTATCGGGGAACGGTTTATCTTCTTTTGACGATCTGAGTGGAAATCGCGCGAAGTTGCAAGAGAACGGTCGGAAAGTAACTAACGAAGTGCGCTAACCCTTACAGACGACGGATATGACGGGCTTAGGCATGGATTTCGAGGATGATTTCTTCTTCGAGGAGGATAAAATGTTGGTTATGGCGGACTGCGGATGTTGATTGTCGATTAGCCCGTAATTCGCTGTCGTCACGCTGCGTTACAGTCTCAATGTGCTTTCTTTTGGTTGTAATATGCATGTCTGAATGCCACGGTGCGGTGGAACAGTTCAAGAGGTGATTCGGCCTTGTCCGCGAACAGTACTGGTGTACCTCGAAATTCGAGCGGATCAGCCTCGGACGATAGAGCCTCCTTTGTTGCTCTGACCACCGTACCATCGGCTAACGTCGAATTGCACCAACTGGCTATGATGGAAGATCGCATGTACGCACTATTCTTACGTCACAATTACATTGATTTTTCACTTCTACTCTTGGCTTTACATATGTCTCTCTCTCTGCCAAATTTCAATTCCTTTCTTCTCTATTGTCGCTTGTCGTATTGGGACTTAGACCAGACATAGAGCTGGTCGCGCAAGATGAATGTGTACAGCAACGACCCGCCAACCAGATGTAAGTTTTTACTTCTGAGCACTTTCATTGTGTGAAACATATTTATATCGTGAAATCGTAATTTACTATATGGGTAACACCGAACATCTCTTATCGAGAAATTAACAGAGGCGCCAATGCTTCCCAATTTGAAAGTATCTTTATCACAGTTTGAGAAATTACACATAGCTTGCTACTGACATGCAAGTAAGTAAATATCTGTATGCAATTTTAAGTAACATCAATAAGTTTCCTATGTTCCTTTTGTGAGATACAGATTTTACTTAATATTGTTTCTATAGATACAACATGATTGCAATACCTATTTCTGACAACTTTCCAGTGCAAAAATAATTTCTAAGTACCATCTATGAATTTTTACGTTTACCACACCACATATTTTTTCCATCTTTATATCTGTATTTCCTTATTATACACTTTGTGATCCATAGGGCTGCTTGTGCACGTGTATCTGCTTAAAAATTCACTGCTCTTCTTTTCTGAACATCCAGGGGCATGACCATCACATCCGGGAACGTCGTAATACAGAAGGACGCCAGTAATCTTATTGGCATAAGTATCGGCGGCGGTGCGCCGCTCTGTCCGTGTCTGTACATCGTACAAATTTTCGACAATACACCTGTCGCGCTGGACGGCACTCTTCAATCGGGCGACGAGCTCGTGGCGGTGAATGGCGCGTCGGTGAGAGGCAAAACCAAAGTGGAGGTCGCGAAGATGATCCAGTCCTGCGACTCGCAGGTCAGCATCAATTACAACAAGCTGCACGCTGACCCTAAGCAAGGACGCACCCTGGACATCGCTCTCAAGAAGGCAAGGATTATACTGACGATTGTGCGACATTTCTAGATAAATCTATTTCGCGGAGATTGTGCGACCGTTAAATCTTGGGATTTGTGCAGGTGAAGCATAGATTAGTCGAAGGGATGGGCAGCACCACGGCCGACGCGCTCGGACTGTCGCGAGCCATTCTATGCAACGACGCTCTCGTCCAGCGATTAATGGCGTTGAAGCGCACGGAGAACTTCTACCGAGGCCTCGTCGCGCACGCCAAGGCCACGTTACACGCCTTCTTCGACTTGACTCAAATCTACAAAGGTATTCACGATCAAGGTGGTCGCGATCGGCTCATCTGTTCGATTTCTCTTCTTCCAGTGTTCGGGGACGCTTTCGCCGCGATTGGAGTGCGAGAACCGCAACCGCGCGCCAGTGAGGCCTTCCGGCAATTCGGAGAGCAACACAGGCAAATGGAAAAGTTCGGCGTGACGATGCTGAAAACTCTGAAGCCGATACTGAGCGACCTCGGGACGTATCTCAACAAGGCTATCCCGGACACGCGGCTGACCATCAGCAAATACGCCGACGCGAAGTTCGAGTATCTGTCTTACTGCTTGAAGGTGAAGGAGCTGGACGACGAGGAGCAGAGCTGCGCGGCTCTGCAGGAGCCGCTCTATCGCGTCGAAACGGGCAATTACGAGTACCGTCTGGTGCTGAGGTGCCGGCAGGAGGCTCGCGCCAGGTTCGCCAAGCTCCGCTCGGACGTGCTGGTGAAGCTCGAACTGCTCGACAACAAGCACGTGCAGGACGTCGTGTGGCAGTTGCAGAAGTTCGCGACCGGCTTGGCGAAGTATTACGCCAGCGCGCGGGACCTGCTCTCGGCCGTGACGCTGTTCCCGGTCGAAGTCGATCTCTCGCATTCCGCGTTCCAGTACAAATCCACCGGGCCGCAAACATTGACGGATAGCGAGGACATCGAGGAGTACGAGCCGGATGAGAAGCAACAGAGCGTTCAGAGCGAGGAGCTCCTCATCGACACGCAGACCTTCCCGTTGATATCGCCGAAGGCGACCGACAACACGTAGCGATACTTGTTGAGCTTCTGAAGAGTCTCGTATCTTCTCGAGGAATCTCCCGCGACTTTTATCATGTTCGGCGTATGTATACGAGAGCTCTTTCTTGGATTTTCGTCTCGATCGCGTTGAATGCTTGACACACAGTCGGCAGATTAAGCTGCAATTGGTAGTAAGCTTTTTTTTACTTTTTGCTCTAAACGCTAAATTGCAATATAATTTCTAGATAAAAAGCGTTTCCAGCGCTACCAGGCATTGCAACTCTCAAGATTCAAGCGTTATTACTTTTTGGCAGCGCAGGAAGCGGTTTTTCTTCTTTTATTTACGTTACATTTTGCTGCTTAGAACAAATCCCTTGTCCGCATTCTTGCTTTAAGACGTAAGCAGTAATCAAATTGACCAGCCACGGCCGTTTATTAGAAGAATTAGCGATCGTGGTTGGTCAATTTGCTTACTGCTGTTTCGTCTTAAAACAAGACTGTGGAAAAGAAGACAAAGCTAAAAGCTAAAGGCTTATTACAATTATTGGACTATTGTGTGTAGATCCAGACTTAAAAATTGCAACACTCTTTTCCGTTAAGTTTCACGACGCGTCTCGTATCCAGTAGGAAAATGTGTCTCCTGCGAGTTACTAAAGAGCAAGTTCTATTGGATGCACGAGATATATTGCGAAACTCATCGGAAATAAGTGTTGCAACCTTTAAGCTTGGTCTACAATGTGCTCTTTGCGTCTTGTTTCTTGCTCTCTATCTTTTTTTTTCTGTGAGAACTTCTATTCACCTATGGAAAAGAGATAGAGAGCAAGATGCAAGACGCAAAGAGCACATTGTAGACCAAGCTTTAATCTCTGCCGATTGTACATTCCTGAATAATGCATTCCTTGTTAATCGCAACGCATGGCGACCGAATGCCATTTACCTAATCCTTCGTTAGTTACGGCGCGAACGAATTTATCCGAGTCACGCTGTATTTATTGTGTACAGATGATGGAATCTAATTATTACTTCCAACGCACGCCGCGCAACTCGCAGATGTAAGATACATATTTTTAATAGCTATCTTATCCTTACGATCTTTGGGACGTATTTAGCGAGCAAATTATCCGTTATCGGATTTTGTTTTCTATAAATTCAGTTGGAGCGATATATTTGTATTTCATACACAAAGAACGCGCCATCAATTATATTTCTCCTTCGATCGTGCGTGAGAACGCGATATATAGATATTATTTATAAACTATACATATATAATATATATATAAGTATTTACAAATCAAATAATATATATACTATGTATGATACAACTGATGTATATTTGCAAAGAATAAAATATATACTAAAACTGTTGTTTTGGATATATACGAGAAAACTGCTTTTCTTACATTTTAACTTTCCTCCTGCTGTTTGTGTAAATTCGTGATGAATCTTTGTATAATTAAAAATACATTTTTATTTAGTTTTTTTGTGAATGGAGCTTCAAAAGTTTCGTTTGGACTCAAAATTGTCCAATGATAAGAGTTGGAAGATGATGCATTCAAATTGTCCCGCCTTTTTTGTTGCATCGGGGAAGTCGGAAACGCCGCCATTTTAAGAAACGTAACTTCCACCGCGAGAACTTTTCTTTCGCTCCTTCGTTCGGTCGTGCGAACTGTGTGCTTGTTCTCTGCATAGAGCTAAGGTCACATCGACGACTTGCACCAATTATTAAGTTCCATCCGATCTAAAGAGACAAGATTTAAACGGGAAAAATGGCAACTGAGACTGAGCTCGCATGCGTTTACTCCGCGTTGATCCTTGTGGACGATGACATCGCCGTAACCGTAAGTACATATCGCAGAGGTTAGCACGCCACGTTATTTCCACACGTCCCTATTTTTGTTAAAGTTCCTAATTTTACTAAAGACTATTAAAAGTAGGAATATTACCGGTACTTGCAGATTTCTCGGTTTCTCGTTAGTTTTCCATATTTATTGTAAACCAGAATTGCTCAATAGTTTAATGTATCTTTGCATGATGGTTATATTCTTTGTTTATTGAATTGTCTTCATTTATGTGCCACAGGGAGAAAAAATTCAAACAATTCTGAAGGCGGCCAATGTTAATGTTGAATCTTACTGGCCTGGACTTTTTGCCAAAGCTCTAGAAGGAGTAAATGTTAAGGAACTGATCACTAATATTGGATCTGGTGTTGGTGCTGCACCTGCAGGAGCTGGTGGTACGTATATATTTTTTTAGTGGACTAATTATTTTAATTTAATATCCTTTATGATCTGCAAAATATAACACATGTATATATATAATGATTTTAAACTTTGAACTCTGTCCTCTTCATCCACCGACTAGACAATTCAGATTGTTAGTACGGTCAGCAATAGAGGAGAAAGAAAGTGGAAACAATGCTTCCTTTGGTTTTGTCCAATGAGGATATAACCTAAGTTTTGTTAACAACAGAACAATTTTCCAGTTCTTAATATATAAATTTCTTCTCAGGAAATGTTTTATATCGAAAAATGTAATCTCTTAATAGTTTCATGCAAGGAATAACATATGTATTTTCCTTTAAAGCTCCAGTCGCTGCGGCACCCGCCAGTACAGAGGCTGCACCAGCCAAGGAAGAAAAGAAGAAGGAAGAACCAGAGGAGGAATCAGACGACGACATGGGCTTTGGTAAGTTACATCAAATTTATAATGTTTAATCCGACAAAAATAACCGAAAAGTGTAGACATCATAAAGAATATTCAATGATTAATACAGCATGTATTAGCTACGGAATATACATATGACGACATCGTATAGCAAAATGAGAATACAACGAAACAAATTACCTCCCAACCAATGAACGTAACAAATTCTAATTTTAATCACATTGCACAATCTATTTTCGGTTACAGGTCTATTCGATTAAGCTCAAGGATCGCGCTACGTTGGTCCATTCCTTTTGTATGTACAGTTATATTGTACAATAAATAAAACATTTTGACAAATATATATATATATACTTTCTTTTCCGTCATAGAAAAGTGCTCTCACAAACAATGAGGATATACTTTTCTCTATTTTTCTTTTTCGTTCTATCTTTGCACACTCTGTGTGTGTGCGTGTGTGTATATATATATATATATATGTATATTTTTTTTGTATATTAATATATATAAGTATCAATGGAATACGCGCGTAGACCACGCTCGGTGAACTCTATGTGGAATGAAAATATATAATTTTCTATCTCTGTTTGCAATTATACACACATGTACGCACATTCGAGTTCTGGCTTTCGTAATGTGTATATTATCAATGGGAATAGGATCACGATTCTAGCCGTTTTAACTATATTCTTTGTTCTCGATGGCTCGTGCGCCGTTCGGCGATTACATCACGATATAAGTTCAATTGGTCGCGCTTTATGCGTCGGTTTAGTAAACGAATATTCCGTCGAAAGAACCAGCTTTCACTGACGGATTTCTCACCTCTAATTTCATCTAATCGTCTAACTCATGTAACAAAGCGCGAGCAATTTCGCATGCGTCGCGACGACAACGGAATCAATCGGGTGCAATTATTACGATCTTATGTCGTGTGGTAATTTAACTCGACTCACGTGCTCGTGTTTTTACGCTACGTGAAACGCGATCGAACGGAGACGTCCCGCCGTTTCGTCGTCGTTAATCATCAGTTGGTGTATATGGAACGGAAATAGTCGTTATACAAGTTGCGATATATACACAAAAATCTGCGGATGTGCGGCGGGTGGAGACGAGTATCAATCAACGTACTATCCTTTCTTGGAGTCAGTTTTCATCAAAAGAGGAAAATATTGCTGCAAAGGTTTCTATCAGAATATAATATTATCATTTATATTAATATATCGAACAAGAGCCCAGGAAGAAAAAAGATCATAGATGAAATTTGACCATATATGATTATATATAATCTTATATGTCCACAACGAAAAAATACTGTTGCTAATTATATGCAAATACAATCGAAATAAATGTTTCTGGATGGCTTCTGACAGCGCATGATATCGACATTTAATTAAATGACATAATATCATTTTTTTCGCACAGACATATGATCATATATGTAACCACATATATGGGCAAAATTCATATATGATATTATATAATTATATATAATCATTTTCCCCAGGAGCACACAGACTTGTAGTAATATTTTTCTTTTTTGCATGAGGTCGTACCAAAACCACAGCCCACATGCAAGCACTTCCTCCACTCACTGCACATCAAGTCTTATTATCGCAATGTAATAATATCTCTTTTTATAAAAGCGTAATAACAAAATAGAAAATATACGATCGTTGATAGATGTCGCGAAAAATATTGAGCGTCGTTCGATATACGAGAATTAATCCAGCTGCTATCGACAGCAGATTGCTGCTATATTGCGCTCGAAATTGCGAATTAACGGTGATCCACGGCAAATATAATTGTGTAACGAGACTCTCGATGTAAGCAAGCTGAAAATAGATATCTGGCGATCGCACAGCTCTCTGTCGCTGAAATCTCGTCGAAACGTACTTGGCAGATTCAGCGGCTCGTTCGTTCTTAACAACAGGTTGTGCGTTTGTAAAAATACTCGTTGCGCACTCGGAAGTCGCAACGTGCCTTGCATCGATACAAAGAGTACGCATTCTGATAATACGACCCGACTATCACGGAAGTTCGCAACTTATTAGAAGACCAAGAAGATCACTAGAAAGTAGTAATACCACGGAAAGCTACGGGGCGACTCGATTTCTCATCTTTATCGAGGAAGATATATAATCTCAGACAGTTGGACAGAAATCCGCTTTCAACTTATCCAATTAGACAGAAAAAAACTCGAGGGAACCGAGTCCTCGAGACTAAATGTCCTTCTGTTCTCTTTCTTCTTTCTCTCTTTCTCTCCGAAGCAACGGGCATTTTTCATTCGACAAAGTGGCGATATTACCAGCGATATTTTGCACTTATTAAAACGCGTTCTCATATACTTATATTTAATATTTCAACGGAGACGCTTCTCCTTAATCTTTCGACTCGCCGTGATCAACACGTTGCGTCTCCGGCTCCGACAATGGTAACCATTGCGCCGAAGCGCCCTTGCCGGACAACACGCGCTGAAACAATTCTCTCTGGCACGAGGTGGACACCTCGCATTTGGCCAAGAGATCGCCGTTGGATCGCAAGACCGAGAACTGTAAGGCGCACTTCGGCAAAACGTCGCTGCTGATGTCGAAGCTGAGGATGTCGTTCCACACCGGACTGGTGACCTCGCGCTGCACGCCCGACTTCTTCTTCTTCAGACTCTTACCATCCTGGATGAGTGATACCTGGAAACGACGGGTAGACGAAACAGTTAACGACGAATAATAGTGGGAATATCGCGCGTTCCCTATAAGTACGTAATATTCTTAGAATATTATATAAATATTATTCAATATTAAAATAACATTCCTATTCTAAGAATGTTATGTAATATTATTTAATGTTATAAAAATGTTCTATCGATGTTGTATGTCCACTTCACATAATATTCTTGGCATATTAAAAAAAGAATAAAATAATAATGTAGAGGAATATATATAAATTATAAATTATATTTATTTCATATTTAAAAAATTATAAATAATACATTACATATATATATATAATGTATTATTTATAATTTTTTAAGTATGAAATATATTTGTATACAAAGTTATTTCGACTTTATTTATATAATAAAACAATTGGTATTGTAATACATTTAAAATAAAATGCTACAGTTATATATATTATATAATATATATACATAGAGTTGAGTATTTAAAAAATATATAATATTACAATAATATCAAATAATAATATTTTTTTTATATTATTAAGAGTGGACAAATAACCATCTATTAATATTCCAGAAATATTATTTAATATTAAATAATATTACGCGCTTATATGGTTTACGTGTGCATACTTTTACGTATGGATTCGCGTTCGCGGGATCGTCGAGGACTGGAAGATTTCTCGCTCTGACGACGATGACCGTCAGTTTCTCTATAGACGGATGATACGAGATGGAAACCATCAACTCGCCCAACGGTGGCGCTTTAAATCCACCCTCCGCTCCATATCGCAGGACCGGCTTCGTGACAGTGATGAGATCCGCGCCTAAATCCGCCACGGAGGATAAAGGGAGCTGCACGTAACCCAAGCCACGGTGCCTCGTGAACGCGTCGAAGTCGTACAGCAGGATCTCCAACGTTCTCCCGGCTAACGATGACTCGGGCGCTACTTCGAAGACGAAGTCTTCGTCGAATACTACAGGAAGCGAGGACAGTTAGATCGAGGATAACTTTCAGCCAACGCAGATTAAGCCAATCGATAAGTAATAATAAGAAACCCTGATGGAAATATTTTAGTAAAAATATAATGTAATCTTAAATGTAATATATTTGACATTCTTTCTAAATTGACTCCATTTCATTATTGTTCTATCAATATTTCAATAAAAATTCAGTTTCCAGTTAAACTCAGTAAACTTCACGATATCTAGTGTTTCAAAAAATTTGTGATTATTTTTCAACAATATAATTTTACTTTCCTTTTATTCCACAGTATTATATTAAACCTTAGCGAACGAATGCCGTCATATTCGCGAATATGACGGCATTCGTTCGCTAAGGGTTAAGTTTCATAAGGAAAATTGAATCATTTTGAAATTTATTCAGTAATTTCTCAATAACTTTCATTCTACTTTCCATCAATTTCAGCAAAATATTTCCATCAGCAACTGCCAATACCAAAACAAAATGTAATTTGTCGTTCAACGATAATCAACTTTACATGCTAAAATTAATCTTTCTAAAATTCTCAAAATAACATCTTATTTTAGTTCCCCGTTAACCCATCTCGGTAACATGACTTATTGTACATATGTATTTATTTGTTTGTATACATTTTATTATATTTCATTCTTTATTATAGAGTAAGCGTTGCAAAAATACTACCTCCGCCAGGAGTCGAACCTGGACTTTCCCACTTGCCGGGCGGGGGCGTCTTACCAATTTTTCGCAACCCTTATTATAATAAGAAATCAAATATAATTTCTTCTTCTTCTTTGCTAAAACCAAAACAGACCTATTATTATTTAATACTTAATCATTTCTGTCCGTGTTAGCAAGATAGAGTGAGTTACATTTAAGACTGACAGCAATCATCCATTAGATCAATCATAGTTCGGCAAGAGTCGCTCTAAAGCGTGATAAGAGAGACCCTGATGCTCGAGTCGCAATGAATTGCGAATAAAAAATGGGAGGATATTCACCGGGATTCAACGTGCGTCTGTGTATCGTGGTTTGCCACACGTTGCTGCGGTCGGGTAGCAAACGTATCTTAGCATAGGGATCCGCGATGCCGCTCAGTTCACGGGCGCGGAGATCGTGCGCCTTCGAAACAAGGGAGGAAGGATTATTTCGACTTGAAGAAACACGATCGTGAGATCTCTCACGACGTAGGAAATTATGGGATTACCTCGATCAGCCTGACAGTGAGTATCCCGGAGTTCGCATCGTAGATCAAGCCCAGCTTTAATTCGCCTCGGACTTCGTCAGACGATGAGGTCGAGGAAGAGGATGAGAGCTACGGTGACACGAATACACGCACACGTAATGTAATCGATGCAATCATCAGCTCGCGGATATCGGATTCGCAGCAGTGTCGCGACGAAACCATACGACGTTACCTTGTGCCGCGACGCCGATTCGATTTCGACACTGTTCAGCCGGGAATGAGAGCCGTCTATGCTCCGCGCCGGCGGCTTGACGATCACCATACGCTTCTCGGACGCGACCACCGCCCCCTCCGGAAGCGGCGGGGCGAGAGGGCTCATCGGGGACGGCGGGATGTCGTCTGATTCCGAAAGATGCTGTCTAACTGCGAGAAGGAAGAAAAATGCAGATTGCAACGGAACTCACGCGGACGATTCAAGTGCTGAAATTTCGAGGATGCGCGATTCATTTTAAGATGCTCTGTGCCCCAAATCTCTGTCTAAATTATAATCTTTTTATCTTTTATAATTACCTTTTATAGTTAAAAACCAGACTTTTTCCATTTTTTCTTGGAAAGAAACTTCGAGAAATATAGAAAAATACGGAAAATTGAAAATATCAAGTTTTTCCCAATTTTTCATTCATGTGGGAAGAAATTGAAAAAAGAACGCGGAAAAATGAAAAAAACGGATTTTCCGAGCTTTTGAATTTTAAAGTTATATATTTTTTTAATTATACAACAGTTTGTCATGAGTTACAAACAGAACAGCTTTTCAGTTTGAAACTCCGGATACGAGATAGTCATCGTGTGTTACTTAAGACAGATTTAAGGCACAAAACGTTGTCTTGAGCCGACGAGTCAGCTATTCTGCCGAGATGCCCTTACCTCTTCTGGGAGAATCGCTGGCGATGCTATCGAACACATGATCCGACTGCCACTCGTCGTCGTCCGACGGGCTGTTGCTACGCCTAGAGATCTTGTTATCCCGGGAAAGACCGACCAAAACATCCTTCGACGATCTCGCTGCTTCTTCGGCTCTGTCCAGCAGGTCCCTTTCGAACCTAGAGGAAACATTATCGCAATATTGGTCATTTTTGGTACGTCTGGAAACAGACTTCATTAACTGCGTCCGGTTTTGTACATCGGAGACATCGGTTTGCTCTCAAGATTATCTTAACATAATATCGAGCCAATGAAATGATTCTTCTGGAGCAGCCAGAGCCAACCGATCTGTCTTCAGCTAGCAAAATCGAACGCATTTATTGTTGAATTGAACGTTATTCTACAAGTGTGTACGTGCATTATACAAATTAAATGTTGTGAAAACCAATTAAATCGCAGACCTCGCGATTAGCAAGCGATATGCGACGTCTTACTCGCGCGACTACGACGGCACCATTACATGTTTGATCATAATTTACATTTCGAGAGAATAATACGTGCCAGTTGAGCGGCCCTGTAGTGAGCAGCGGCAGTCGGCGGCGGCGCGCACAAATGGTGTAGACGATCACCGCCGAGATTGCCCCGGTAGCGGCTCCAACGGTGCCCAGAACGGCGACCACCCCGGCACCGTGAACATCCATCTTGAGTGGCGGACCTGGATCGCAAAACGCCGAGGCTGAAGGCGTGAATCCGACGCGAGTCCGGCCTCTCGCTAGTGATCATCGCGTCCGCGTCTGTACAACAGCTGTCATACTCGACCTAGCCGAGAGCACCCGGTTGCACCGGTAAACTATCCTCCCTCGTCTTCAGCTCGAGCGAGACCACCAAGCGAAGGAACGATATCGTTACCCAGACAGCATAAAGCCTAAAACTGGGACATAAGACGTCTTAAAGCTGTCTTTAAATAACATATCCATAAGATGTCTTTAAGCCGTCTTATGTCCCAGTTTTAGGTTTTGTACTGTCCGGGTGGTCTCGCTGAGCTCGCTTCGTCCGAGCGGGGTCAGTGCGACAACGAACAACGGTGAAGAAAAGAAATCCTCCGCTCCGACTGAACGAAAAAAGAACCTTTCGGACGGTCGACGGAAGATATATACGAGACATGTTTTCCTCGGAAACGATGCGGATCCGAACATACGGGAAAGAGAGGGAGAGAGAGAGAGAGAGAGAAAGAGGGCTTACAAATATTCGCACACTCACCCCTCGTCGTTTGCGCGAACGTTACATCATTCTCTGACCGCTGGGGCGGATGCGAACGCACGCGGGGGTGTTCCCGCAGTTTTCCCCGAAAACGAATCACCAGCACTAGGACGTCGCATCAGAGCGGGGGGTGGTTCGTCGGCGAGCCCGATGAGGTCATGTCCACCCCGTGACTGTACGCTACGGCCGAAGTACCATCACTTTCTCGCCCCCGTAGACTGACCCCTCGAGCAAGAGCGTCAGCGCCTGCGCTCTGCGTAGTCTTGTTAGCTGCTGGCGAGGAAGGATCATCGAGCGACCTTGAATCGGTGCGAGGAACGTGTTTCGGACGTCTCTCCTCTTTCCCCTCTCTCTCTCTCTCTCTCTCTCTCTCTCTCTCTCTCTCTCTTCTTTCCCCTGTGCGCAAAAGCAGTCGGTTAACAAGGGTGGAGAGAAACGGCAGGAAACACACACATCCACACACGCGAACGTTTAAAGAAATACAGCTCAGATTCTCATTATGAGAAAGAACCTTGTAACGTTTAAAGAATTCAACATTTTCCCGATATTGTCGCGGGCTAAACGCGAACGTCGCACGAAGTCGTTACGGTTATCCTTCGTTCACGATCTTCGTCATTGTCATTGTTAATTCGCTGATCGATCGTCACTTCGAGCTTGCCGGCGCAATGGCCGCTGACAATTTGCTTCATTATTAGATATAATTTGGCCACTTACGATTATATTTTTGTAAACATCGAGGAGGAGGGAAAAGCGTGGTTTTTTGTATCATGGCTCAGGAACGCGCGAGGCCGGCACTGAGAAACACGGCGGGCCACCCCACCAGACTGACAGGTCGAATCGATATCTTTACTGAGATTTCCGAGTGCGTAATCGCGTCCTAAATCGTCCTCTCGCGCGAATATCACGCCGTTGTTCTCTGAAATCTTTTGCACGTGGAAACACCGCCGAGTTGGCGCGCACGTGAGCAGCGATAGTTTTACTTTCTTTGCTTCCTTGTTCCCTTTACCTCGCTTTCTATCGCACGTATGCGCGAAAGAGAGTTAAGGTCATTACGATAACACCTCACGCGAGGTGGTCTCGCTTATGGCTCCGGCGTATTGCTCTTTTCAGTCGAGGTCCATGATGATATTTCTTTCCCTCCGAGACGCGATGAAATCTAATCGAACCAGACGAATTCTCTCGATCAGTCACTCATAATGCAGATATTGATCCGAAACAATTAATTTTTACAGCTCCTTGAGTAAACGTCCCAGTAAGCAAGGAACATTAAATTAACGTTTAGAAATGTTGACTTTATTTATGTGTATTTTTGAACGTTTTTTTTTTTTAATAATAAAGGGGGCACCAAAGTGGTATTCATAGATATCATTGATAGTACGTTTAAATTTTATCGTTTCATCAATATTATCTCAAAAATATTATGGGAATGATAGAAAAACCTTAGCGCAGCGTTATTCACAACGTTACGACACTTCCATTTCAATATTGTCGAAATCTCCAAATCAGGGTCAAAATTTGTTCATAATGATGATGTATAAAACATTAAATAAGACATATTCGAAGACATTACATGTTATTGAATATCGTTGCGATAACACAGTAGTAATGATTTTTCGCTTACTGGGCGTAGAACTTAATATAACTTAGTGCAACTCGCGTGAGGGGGAATATTATACAGGGAGAGAAAATTTTTTCTTAATGTCACCTGTAACATAACGCACTTCATAGAAGTATGATTACGTGCTGATAACCATTACAGAGGCGATAGACGTATCAATTACAATGTTTCCTTCAGAAGAAAATTATAAGTCTGCGATTAAAATGTAGGTTATCGATCGTTAACTTGTTTAATTGGCGGTGTACACACATGTGACATAAATATATAAATTAATATTTAGAATTGGAATCTTATAGAATTACATGGCATTATAAAATTCGAAGTGTTGATCGTGCCATTCCATTGGAGGATTATTTCTGTATCAGTTGGAAAATATGTTAGTGAACGTAGCAAACAGAGAGATAACACAGTTGAAGCAGTGATTCTAATCAAGTGAATTCATACGAGCGGAATGTAGGAGGGATTAGTAGGAACACAAAAGGATAAAGGCTGAGGGATAATTCCTCAGTCAACGTAACTGGGCGACCGTGCATTCAGTCTGCCGCCAGCGTAAACACTTCCGCTATCCTCCTCCTCCTCTTCCTTTTACTCCCTCTGGTATTATATACACGTATACGTTATTGATATGTAAATTTGAGGAACTGGAAACGAATGTAACATTCGCGTGCAATAATAAATAAAAACAAGAAAAAAGAATTACAACACGATTTGTGAAACATGCAAATTCACAAATTACATTAAAATCAGATAGAGATTCTTACACCCGCAAAATTAATATCCGGCTACGTCCCTGTTACACATCAATATCGGCAAATTTAATCAATTTCACACACCTGGCCATCCCTTCTTCTTTACATCCGCCCTCGCATTCTGGACGCTACCAGCGTCCTCTTTTATCTCTCTCTCTCTCTCTCTCTCTCTCTCACCGTTCGCAATCAGCGATATTGCGAAACATACCTCGAAGGAAGAGCAATTTAGGTTAAATTGCATGACTTTAACTTCGCAACATTTTTCATTGCAATGAAACGCGTGGCGAATATCGCACCGAATCAGCAGTTCTCGGAATGACGAAATTCGCAACACGACGAGTACGAGACGTAACATGAGAGCAATTTAAAAATATCGTACCGTGAAAGGGTTAAGATACCTGTCCGAATCAGAAGTCAAAATCGACGTGATACCGAGAATTCTGAAGGTTCCGTGCCGCGAGTAATCTCTGTTAACTCATGACAACGGAATCGCAACAATCGCGAGGCCTATTATTCTGCACGCTTCACGATACGAAAGATCGTGTGACATTACAATTTTAAATACCCGATTCAAATTTTTCGATTCTATCGACCGAATTGAAGGAGTCGCGACACCTCACGGCGAATGGCACGCTCATCAAGCGCGCAACTGCGCTCAGCTGATAATTTGAAACAACGATAGTCGAACATGGCGACTAAGAAGGTTGGTGGATTATGTGCTCCTCTTGCTAAGTTGTATAGAGGAAATGCACCCACGACAAGTGCATTAGCGCAACGTACATATGCAACCGCGGAGGAGGGTGATACTAAGATCACCCACACCGGTCAGGTGAGAGATGATTTTCGTTACACAAAAGGAAGGAGTTACTAACCTATACGTTGCTCGATTAATTGATTTTGAGCGGTCGCTAAGTTTAATTGCACTCTGTAACACTATAATCGTAATAATTATCGAAATTACATTGAATAACGTACACACGTGTGTCCTATGATTAACACTTCGTGGTGTAAATGTTGATCTCTTCAGTGATTGTTCTCTGCATTTTGATCGTGTTTTATCATCAGGTGTTTGAGAAAGATGATTACCGATTAGTAAGATTTATGAACAGACCAAAGGAAGTCAATGACAACTGGGCTATCAAACTGATAGATGAAGTACCGCCAACCCCTATAAAAGATAGAATCGTGGCTTGTGATGGTGGTGGTGGCCCACTTGGACATCCTAAAGTTTACATAAACCTTGTAAGATTTGTCTTATGGAGAGTATATAAGACATTTCTATTTGATCGATGCTAATGAGTGATATAAAGCATAGTATACAATAGGCAACGGGAATATATAAGTAAGAATAAAAAGTTGACCAATCATATTCGAGTGTGAGGAGAATAATCAACTATGATTGGTTAATTTCTTATTCTTACTTTTTACAAAGTACTCCTACTTTGTCCATTGTAAACTACATTTAAGATGTGAGAGAATGTTATTTAAATAATTATATGTAACTTTTTTTTAGGATAAACCAGGAAATCATATTTGTGGTTATTGTGGTTTACGCTTCCACAAGGAGGATCATCATTAGACGACTATTGTACAAGAGTAGTTATATCACCTGATAATTTATAAACACTTTAGGACACAATATTTGTTGTAATAAACGGGTAAAATAAGACTGGTGTTGATGTAATGATTGTATTCACAAACGCCAAATGATACTAAATAATAAATAATAAAGATTGCAGATTGAAAATATATCAGGATTATAAATAAAATGCATATTTATTGAACTAAACTCGCGCACTTTGAAATATTCAATAAATTAATATAAATCAAATACATGCAAAACTGTATCGAATAGTTTAAGTCTTGGAATGTTAGATTTATACTTGCTGAGTATTTTTTTGAATATACATACATACATACATACATACATACATACATACATACATACATACATATATATATATCGTTGAATTTATTATTTAATTTCTTATATATATATATATATAATATATAATTTAATTTCTTATATATATATATATATATATATAAGAAATATAATTAAATATAATTTAATTTCTTATACTTATATATATTTCTTATATATATATATACATATAAGAAATATAATTAAATATAATTTCTTATATATATATATATATAAGAAATTATATTTAATTATATTTCTTATATGTATATATATATATAAGAAATATATATAAGTATAAGAAATTAAATTATATTTAATTATATTTCTTATATATATATATATATATATATAAGAAATTAAATTATATATTATATATATATATATATAAGAAATTAAATAATAAATTCAACGATATATATCTTCAACAAGAATTTCAACACGAGCCAAATAAGAAAGCATTTGCTGAAAAAGATTTTATTTTTGTTTCATATTTCTTTATCTCAGAAAACGTTATTCGTATCCATGTCTCATAAGGCTGTTTTTTGACTGTTCATACCTAATGGTATCGCCTGTAGTTCTGTTCTCATACAAAGAAACTCCCCACAGACACACATTATACTTAACGACACGATATTTAAACACCACCAGCTGAAAGATGTTGGAAAGATTCCATTGTATACCCAACAACAGATCAGATGAATCAGATGGGCGGTACACGCAAAGTCCATGCACTGTTTTGTTCTTTGCACTAGCCACCATAATGCCAATGCGCCCACAAGCGCATTGAAGACAAAAATTACGATGACCGATCGCCCTTCAAAGTCACGAACGTGTATCTCCTTGTACTGAAAGGCGTAATCTAGGGATTTTGTTGAGCCTAGCATCGACGCTATAATCCAGATCCAAAATCCGAGGCAAAAATACATGACGGTTTGCACAGCCACTATCTGGGAGATTATGAGAATAGGGTCCCATGTTGTCTTGCGGAACTGTCCAGAGAGATTATTCATTTTGTTGCAGCAATATCAAGAATTACTCAAGAAGTAGAAGTTTTCCAAGCAGACACACAAGAGCTTTCATTGTCCTGTGAAAGTACTGAGTCCTGTGTCTGCAAAGCACAAAGTAACTGTAAATACGTCATGGAGACAACGATAACGATATGGTGATAATAAAATTTCTACGTAAAAGCAACTTATCGTTTAAAAAGATATGTAGAAGACAATTTTGTTTGAATACGTATCAAATGAGAAACGTTTTAAGGCTAGAACATCACCATGGTGTGGTACTTACATTATCGGTTCAAGACGACAAGTTATAGACAAACGATGAACTGATCCAACCTGAACTATTTCCCCGGGTACGCCGTGTTCGAGCGGAAGACGCGCGTAAATTGAATTCCGAAACGTTCACTGTGCGAAAATCGCAGCTGCACGATTTGGCGCATGCGACGCATCGTTTAAACAACGTGACATCATCCTCCTGATTTTTTTAATTCGGGTCGTACGAGAAAACGTCTCTTCCGTCGATCCACATAAATATCCGCGTACGGTCGAGGGCGAAAAACAGAGAAACGGCTTTCGTTGATTCACTCGCACGCATCTAACCCGAATTCGCTCGTTGTTCTGTCAGATCAGCTGTGCACGACACAGGCGCGAGCGAACGCGGCGCTCTCGTTGTCAGCTGTGCCGTTTATTCGTGACGAACTTCACGATATTCCGTGACTGATCAAAGCACCATCGCGCATGCGTGAAAAGGACGGAAGGAAAGGGGTGATCCTAACATTTGGCAGCTCGTTGGTCACGATGTGAGCGTGATGCAACTCGTCGTGTTATTTTGTCGAGGGCTACGTCGTGTGCTACGTATTCCATAGCGTCCCGACCTTAAAGATGTCAGTCCTCGATTATTTCCGAGGTCTCTTTGGTGCGAAACGACGCGACGAGCCTGGCACAAGCGGGTAAAACCATCACGCACGCTTCCATTCGTGAAATATTGATGTATATCAACGGAATATTCTAGAGTACCACGCGGAATATTCTAGAATATTCGGGAATAACAAGCGATTCTTAAGGTGTTCCGAATGAACGTAGAAGTATTGCCTATCATTCGTGATCTATAACAGTAATGCCATATGAACATGATAAAATGTCTGAATATATAAAGTGAAAACATGTCCACAGGCTTGGTGATCGTTACTCGTACAGAGACCAATTTCGAAATCCGATTTGGGAATATGATGAGGATGACGATGACATGGACGACTTTAGGTTTGTTTGTTTAGTAAATAAAACTGTATTGCCGCAGTAAAACGTTTCCAATTTACGTTAGCTTCAATCTTCATTGTTTTCCAGGCATCCCAGAACAGGCATACGCTTCCATATCTTCAGCGACCCATTTGAAATGACACGTTACTTTGAATCTGAGATGGAGAATATGTTAAAGAATTTTGGGTTTGGAAATGACTTTCATTTTTTCTCAAGTAAATCCTTGTTTGAAACTTAACAAAACGCAGAATTTTGTTATGCCAATAATTACAATTTATTGTAAACAATTAATTTTTATAGATGGAATCATAGGAGCATTACCACCAGCAGAGGAGAAGGAATCTAATGCAAGTACTTTACGTGACAGAATGCTAAAATCTGCTTCCGATTCCTCTGTTTTAACACCTGAGCAGAAAGTCGATACGGACTTGGATGGAAAGTAAGTGTCTAAATGATATAACTTTATTGTTCTTTGGGTTTTAATATATGACTGCAGTGAGATATCAAGAGTCTTAGCAACAAGATTGAATCTCATGAAGATTGTATACGCGCCACCTTAATTACTAATCTTGCTGATTCACAATGAATTTTTGTAGACTCACAAAGGATGATTTTTCAAAAATGTGGCAGGAAAGAATAGAAGACCCTCCTGCACCTCGGTCTTTCAACTTTGGAAAATTTGTGAAAAAAGAATTTGTACGTAGACCTGACGGAATCTTAGAACAAAAGCAAGTAATCAGAGACAGCGAAGGTAATCAAGAAACAATAGTCACAAGGGAAATTGGCGACCAAAAATATGTTGTTACTACAAAAACAGATAAATACGGCGTTGAAACGAAATCTGAAGACCTGATTAATATGGATGAAAGTGAGTATTTGTAATAATATTGTGCTAAGTCTGACAGCCTTAAAGTAGCATACACAATTGTATCGTTTGATACACACATGCATTTATTGTGAAATTACAGGTGACTTGCAAGATTTCAATAAAAAGTGGACACGTTCCATAGAAAATAAGACAGACGGCCGAGACTCGGGTCTAAATCGTTTCCCGTGGGCTAGATTTTTTGGTCCTGAACCAAAATTATAACAAGAAATGAAATAAAAAGAAAGTATCATAGTCTAGCTCGTAGTTTCGTATCCGTAATATATATGCTTCCCATACTAGTATCCAATAAATCTATTGAACCAAAGATAAAGTACTTATCTAATTTCTAATTGTAAATTTTTCTTTATTTCATGGGTTATATTCTGTACACGTTATATACATACATGCTTTAATAAAATTTATAATTTATGCAAAGGAATTCTCCTTAAATTGACAAAACTGACTTGTTTCTTGCGTCGAGAGGTTAAATTAAATTGCTGGGAGTAGTAAGTTGAGTATGAGAGTAATTAAAAATTTGACCTGTTTTTACATTGTATGAATCCCACAAATTTTAGATATTAATTCTGACATTATATATCTCATATATATGCACGAATTTATAACTATGCCAGGGTCTTGAATTGGTGTTTAGTTTGTGACAATTCTTTTAAATTAAAACAAAGTACTGAACTGTGTTAATTACAGTTCTTTATAGAATAACAACGAATAATTCATGTGTAAGATTTATATAACATTCTGCGCGCGCGCACACGTGTGTGTGTGTGTGTGATCTCAAAAATACGGTACTATACTTATGCCAATTTCAGTTCTATGAAACCATATTCTAGGTAACACTAGAAACACATATGAATAAACCAACGAATACCAGAGAATACGTAAAATATTACCATAAAATTAATTATAAAATATTACCAAATTAAAATTACTTATAAAAGTTTATATGGATTAATATTACGAGATAACGTAAACGTAATATTGTTTTATGCTCTGCTATCAACTGTGACAGCAATAAACTAAGAGTATTGTAAGAATGTATCTTATATAAGAAACTTTTGATGACACCGTTTCGGGTCCTTGTTTTCACAAAAGCCTTCTGTAAGAGAATATCTGAATATAATTCAACAAGTGTGTGTCGTGCATATTATTTTTCCGTTTCATTCGTTACCCGATAATGCATAAATAAATCTCAAACCATGATCAATCTTAATCTACCGATCGTTTCCTCAACTAAACGACTCATCAATCTTAATAAGAGTTCAGGTATTTTACGCATATTTAAAATAGCAACCAATGTAGTATGCATATTTATCTGCACAGTCACACACATAAATAATCGTGTGTATACTGCTGTGCATACGTATGTACATAAATTATCAGTACATAAACAAATGCACAACTTTATAATTACAATTCCATGGTTTTCCTAATTTGTGTTTCATCGTTACAAGTACTTTAAGAAATATTTGATATATGTTCAGGCTGACTTTTTATCACACCTGTGAGACAACATGCAATGTGTCATTAAGTCCTCAGTACACAACACAAACGTACGATATAAATGATAAAATATATTTAGAAACCATTTTTATTGGTTAACTATTTTTATATCTAGCAGATATTTATAACGCGTATCTACAAAGAGACAGAGAATTATTCCAATATCTGCTATATCATAAAAAAAAGAGAATCTTCGCGTTGTATACAAACTTCACCTCTGGATTGCTTTGGATAAAACAAAATCGTTGATGTGCTGTATAACATATTATGTATTACATTATGTGTTATAATTATAAATTTAATATATACATATTACGTATTAAAAAAAATATTTTTCAAACTCTGTGTGTATGTGTTTAGGCATTAAAATATATTAAAATATAACAAAAGATACTAATAAATGTCCGTTGCTTTATAGAGAATTATGATCTGTAAATTGTCAAGTGAATACAAATTGCATTTAACTTGGTTGTAATTCTTGTCACATTTCTTTTCCTTTAATAAAAGATAAACTTATTTAGGGATGTTAAAATAGTTCTTTTTTGGTTGATACATATATTATTGTGATCAAAAAGTACCGGGACTGGTTCCAATGAAACGCAAACTATGAATTTATTCATACAAGTTTATTTCGTCCCCTTCAAAATAATTCCCTCCCACTATAATACATTCATGCTAATATTTTTTCCAATCCTCGTAGCACCGTTTATAGTTAATTTCAGGTATATCCTTCAGAACGTGCAGCGAATTCTCTTTTATTGCGTTTATCGATTCAAAACAGTGTTCACGAAGCAGTAATTTCAGCCGAAGGAATAGAAAGAAAGTCACACAATGCCATATCAGGCGAATATGGAGCTTATGGGATGATATTCGTTGAATTTTTGGCCAGAAATCCACAAACAAGACAAGAAGTGTGAGCGGGAACACTTTATGGATTGCTTCACACAAACGATGCATGACACTCAAATGATATTCTTTGTCGATAGTTCGATCAATTGGAAGAAATTTCTGATGTACAATATTACGATAATCGAAAAAGATTGTCAACATGACCTTAATTTTTGATCGACTTTAACGAAATCTTTTCGGTTTTGCCTTGCCTTTAGCACATCATTTACTCGATTATTGGGCTATTTCGGTGTATTTCTATTTCGGTTGTATACGTAGATTCATGTCTTGTCGCCAGTAACGATTCGTCTTGAGAAACCATTTCTTCAGCGATACGAACGCGATGCTATTTTTGAAAATAATCCAGCATTTCTGGAACAATGCAAGATGCGTCTCACGCCCAAACTGTTTCAAAATCGATTGGCACGAACCAAATGATATTCCAACATGTTCAATTATATCTCGAATTCGTCGATCACTGAGCACTAAATTCTAGATTTTTTTGACGTGTTGCTCATCTATTGAAGTGAAAGATCTTCTTCGTCTTCGACGCGTTCTATGCCTTCTTTTGAACATTTTATATCATTCGAAAATTCTTGTTCTTGATATATATTCGTCACCGAAACACTTCCGCAACATGTTCACTGTTTCTGTACACATAATTTCGTCCCAAAAATTGTATGCAAATTCTTTGCTCAATAAAATTCGACATGTTAAAAATCGCCAGGGATATTTTTTCTTAATTCATAACAAAATAAGAGTTTATTCGTAGACTAAGAAAAGGTATGACATGAAATTTTAAGTAGAGGTTAGAAGCAGTCTTACCAGTTAAAAAAAAAAAAATGTTTCTTCGATATGTTCAAAACGCGTAGTTTAAACGAGCCAATCCCGATACTTTTTGATCACAGTAGTATATGAAACAAATACTACAATAGAATGGATAAAATTGTACATATCCGTTAATTAGTTTAGTTTTCTAACATATTTATACGTAATATTATTGTAAACTTTATTATATAATTTTTTTTCATGTCTTATTAACGTTTCATACAATTTCCACAATCAAGTCGAAAATGTCAATAAGACATGAAATTTAATGGAATAAATTGGTATTATATAATTTAGATTATTACATTATTTGCATATAATTTAAGACGCTTCATACAAATTCTTTCGAGCGCAATGTACCTATAAACATTTTTAATTATTTGGAACTTTTACACTGTTAATGATAGCTGCCCCCAACAAACGGTTTTCGAATGTGAACTCGTTTATACCATCAGTTTGTGGCGCTACACTAAATTTTCCTCTTTTTTTTCCTTTATCATCCACTAATTATACACAGTGTACCTACCACATATTATTGAGTAGCATGTTTTAAATTATTCTTGGCCGAAGCCTTCTGTCTCTTCGATCGCGTAATTCAATTTCTCTACTAATTGGTCATAACTCTTGTAAGGTGGTAGATCTAATCTATTGAAACATGTATGCGATCTCGGCAGCCAGGTGTCCTTCCCAAACTTTTCTATACAAAATCTTTGCGGGCCGTTGCTTCCTATAACGTGGCAAATGACGTAGTAAAGAGCATATTATTTTCAACAAGATATCAAATATTTATCTTAACTACCGATCCATGGCTCAAGTCACAAGTAACCGAATAACATTAATCGTGCGATCAGTTAATAATCACTATCAACTTTCTCTTTACCGACCGATCAAACGGAAACGGTGATCTGAATCTCAATCTGTAACTCACCCATTAGTTCAGCAAATCCGCCGACGGGCACACGGCAAGTGCCGGTCACAAACTGCAATAGTCGAGCCCTTTTCTCGCTATCTGTCCTCGTCACGAACTGAAACACAGACGACGCATAGTCAGGCAAGAGCGCGTAGCTCGCGCGTGCGCAAGTATTGTTGCGACAAGATATACATCGTTATAACTGACAAACCTGCCAGAACCACAAAATTTGTTTGCTATTACGAGTGTAATGTCTGTATATAGTATTGCGTTGCCAGTCTTCCACGTCTATCTCTTGCATGCCACAGAGCATAAGCTCCAGCTCGCGTTCGTCAAAATATTTCAGCCATTCCAGAGGCACGACCGAATTGAATCCTTCCAAAAACGCCTTCGTTTGTTCTTCTATACCCCTCGTCATTCTCCACTCCGTCATTAACCTGTCGAATAAGATTTTGCTATCTCGTCTCAAATATATAAAGGGAACTGCAACTTTCCCTCTTGCCTACGGTCTTCCAAGTTACAATTGTTCGCCAAAAAAAGTATATACCTGATATATTCTTCTTTATTGTCTTCGCCTACTCTAACTTTGTCGCCACCTTCTTTCAATTCATGATGTATCACTTGACCAAGAATCTCAAAGTCCACGCTATAGTACAGTTCTAGGCCACATTCATCAATGTTGTTCTCCTTTATCCACACGAGGGACTTGTAAAACTCCGGATCAATAGATTCTATATCTTTCATAACTAACTTTTTATTTAACATGCGCTTATAAAACGGCATTGTAAAACCGCTATAAATAAATCGGCCGTGATAAAGTGCCTGAAAAAATAAGAATATATATATACACACACACGCACGCACGCACGCACACGCACTCGTAATGGTACAAAACGGAAACAAGACAGAAGCTAAAATGGCAACATACCATCGCGATAAACCTTCCGATAAACTTGAAGTACTGTAAGTGATCAGGATTAACGTATGACGCTGGATTTATTTGCAAGCTGTAATTGCTCTTGTTAGCATACTCGAATAGGCAGTACATCGGATTCAAAACTTCGTGGCTCAGCAGGAAGAACCATTCCCTGAAAAATTCAACGTTTCCTCGTAACACTTGTGATGCGCTATTAACGAACATTTGGGTATGTTATACCTAGATACACCTCCGTAATCCAGGCCCTCTTCTCCTTTAAATATTATGTATAATCGCCGTCTCAGGGCGAAAGCTTCCGCGTTCATTATTTGATGATAGGAGTCTTCGAACAGTGTCTGCCGGCTAACGCTAATCTTAATATGGTTAGGCAGCGCGTTAGTCTGACACAAGAAGCGGAATTGTGACAACTTCCATCGGAATGATCTTTCGTATGCTCTCGGGACACGATATACACCTTTCGGACTATGGGGGAGAAAGCATATGAGGATAATTACGCCACTGATTTTCGCGACGATACGTGCAACATGACACCACGCGTCGTTCGATACGAACCCTTTGGGCGCACCGGGTCTTGGATCCTGGAACGTCGTCGTCCGAGTGTTGTGATCGACGAAATACCGAACCCCGTCTTCCGTCAACCGTATCTCCCAACCATCTGGTAACGGCGGCTCCTCTATACCAGTTTCCTGGCCCTGTGTACGAGGGTCCTCCCACTGCGTGGTCCGGTTCTTGTGATTTACGTAATAAACCCGGCCCTCGGGCTGCTTTCGTCTCTCCCAACCAGCGGGTAATGGTCCTAGAGGGTCGTCGTCGTCGCCCATAGACGTCGACGGGCCCGATGTAGCAGCTTGGTTTCCATGAGCCTGCAAAAATACAATAATCGGGTTTAATTTAAATCTTACAGAATTAGCTTGATTTAGGGTGACTTTCATCAAATTCAGATTAAATTAAGCAATAAATAATAACAAGTATTGCCAACACCAATTTCTGTAACTTCAGGAAGAAAAGACCATATATGAAATTTGCCTATATATGACTATGTATAATCATATATGTCCACAACGAAAAAATACTAATGTTTACAAATTATATGCAAATATAATCGAAGTAAATACTTCTGGCTACTTGTGCTACTGACAGCACATGATACCGACATTTAATTAAATGACATAACATTATATTTTTTCGTACAAACATATATGATCATATATGTAACCATATATATGGACAAAATTCATATATGAGATTTTATATAATTATATATAATCACATATAATCATTTTTTTTCGGGACTCGTTTCTTGTTTAACAACAATCGAAAAGTCAATAATATATATCTACATTAGCAAGGTAGGACAGGTAACATCTTACCTGGCAGGGATTTTAAATAGTCTATAAATCAGAATATGATGAATGTCATCCTTAGACTCGCAGAATTGAAAAATCATCTTAACATTTTCACGAGAAGTGCTATATTAATATTAATTAGGAACAAAGTATAGTTATTTTCCGAGGTGGTTAAGTTCAGTTTACCGACCTGGGGATAGAGGAACCTCTGGTTCCCCTGTTGAACAACGTACTGCCTTTCGCCTTGCCAGTGCTGGAAGTGCTGTAGTCTTTCTGTATTCGGTCTCTGCCAAGTGGTACTCCTTGTATTATGATCGACGTAGTAAATTCTACCCCTCGGGTCGCGACGGACCTCCCATCCGGCGGGCAAAGGTTGCGGCCTTTCCCAGGACGTGCTTCGAGTATTATGATCGACGTAATACCTGGCAGAGAAAGAAAGGTCAACAAGAGTCGTCGATGCAGATTCCTCAGTTAAGAAGTCAAAGTGTTGCGCCTCACCTTCTCCCGTACACGTCGTATCTCATCTCCCAGCCGGTCGGCAGGGGTTCTTCCGAGTGGGCGACGTCCTCGGCGACCAGGACTCCCGGCTGCGCGACGGAGGACTGGCCGGCGACGGGCATTGCGGCGGACTGACTCGGCAACGAAGCCGCGGCCTGCGGGATTCGCGGCACCGAGCGGATATCCGGCAGCGCGGCGGGCGACATGTGCTCCGGCATCGTACGGCTGTCCGCCAGAGGTACCACCGCCGACTGCTCCGGTCGGCCGCCGGATGCGGCGCCGCGCTCCGTCGTCAGGGGAACACCGGGGTTCTGCTGGCGCGGCGCTCCGCGCTGATCGAGGAGCGACGCGCTCATCGACTGTTCGCCGCGCGAAATCCGCAGGTCGTCTAACAAGCGAACGCTCGTCGACTGCTCCGTTTGCCTCATCGCCCGCAGATCCTCACCTATGCGGATACTCGTGGACTGCTCGCCCTGCTGTCTCATGCCCCGCAAGTCCTCGGGGTTGACGCGCACACTCGTGACGGACTGCTGCTGCTCCGGCTGCTGTCTCATCGGGCGCAAGTCCTCGTTCACGCGGATGCTCGTCGTTTGCTCGGCTTGCTGTCTCATGCCGCGCAGATCGTCCGCCAGGAGGACGCCGCTCGACTGCTCCGATCGCGTCATCGCACGACCGTCCGGGAAAGCGGTCCCGACTGCGATCGGTTGTTCTATTCGCAGGACGCTGCGCGTCGCAGCGTCCGAGTGCGGCGATACGTTGGACTCGGAGGTGTGAGATGTGGAAGAAGCGTCGGCGGTGTTGGGAAGCACCGACTTGTCCTGTCGAGATATCACACGAGCGTCTGCGCACATGCCGGGCATCGCCGCGGACTGCTCCGACCGCGGCGCACTACGCGGCTCCGGCTTGAGCATCGGGGACTGCTCGGAAGGCGCGCCGAAGCTGTTGCGCGTGCAACCGACCGGCGCGGACTGATCTGATTGCAGAGTCGGCCGACGTATGTCGGCGAGAGTTCGCACGTCGGTGACGTAGGTGCGTCTACGACTACCCGGAGACACTATGGACTTGTCCGCCATCGAGATCGCGTGGCCGTTCGCCAGGGAGCTCGCGGAGAGGCTGCCGCTGCTGCTGCTGCTACCGACGTTGCTACTCGACACTGGCGTCCCGCCGTCCGCGTTAGTCGCCGACGTGGAGCCGACATTCTTGCTGCTGTTGTTCGCTTGGCTGTTGCCGCTGTTGTAACTGGGACTGAGGTGGACGTTCGTGAAAGCACGGCATACCGAGGGCGCGAGGCTCTCCGAACTGTGCAATCTCATGCGTGCGCGAACCCCTCCATTGAGGATACTTCGGTTGTTGATTGTGTCGTTGTTTGTGGCACCTGGAATCGCAAGATTTGTCATGTGCTGAGAGAAGACGAGAGGAAATTGGCCCGACCTAAGTTCACTGATAGCAAGCAGTTCTGACCTGATGCTCCCTTTCTCCTTCTTACTGTGAATTTCTATATTGAATACTGATATTTGATTTGAGGAGTTTTTGCAGCTCTTAACATTGTGATAAAATCATTCTTACCGTCAGATTGTATTTGGCAGGGTGGCTCGCTAACATTTAGTAAGGTCTCATTGGTAGTGTCTATTTTAAGTCCATCGAAAACCGTAATCAATTCGCCGACTTTACACAGCTGCGAGTCGTGTTTGCTCTCGCTCATCAAATCGAACGTCAGTTCTAAATTTTCTAATTTCCCATTATAATGTGATAATACTTGAAATAGGCTTATTCGTTTCTCCCCTATTAACGTGTCTTTGCGAAATGTACTATGGTCAAGCAACCGAAAGTGCAACTGCGAATATGGTGTGACAAGTATTGTAAACTCTTCGTTCCATTTCGGCTGGTAAGTAGACTTTGACACTTCTGTTTTGCGAGGGCTTTTGTCGTCAACTGAGAATTCTATGTATGGATTAGGCTTTAGGAAAGTTGAACTCCTTAATATCGCTGCTTCAACTAAAATAATTGAAATGTTTTATCACTTCAGATGTGTGCAAGATATATTTATAATCTGAGATATATATATATCATTATTTATAATTCATAAAATAAGTTAACCATGACTGTTCCTTCCATTGTTAAAAATTTGTCATATGGTATATTATTTTTCATTAATGGCTAATAAACTGATAATTGATATCAATCTCATATGAACAGATAAGAAAATGCTGGGCTAAAGATACTGTGTGATAAGAGTGTTTGAAAGATAGGGAAGAATATAATAGTATGTGACGTATGTGTAATCTCTACCAGTTTCTTAAGAAATATTATCAGGCAAAAACTTTTGTTACTTTAACTACAATAGATTCATTTCTAATACAAATTTATATAATGTATATTTTGAAAATACATGTCTCATACTTAAAATTCACATAGAGAATACTCACTTGTAATACTTAATTGGTGAAAACCAGGTGATAGCACTTCTTCTTCGCAATGGGACATTGTACGTAATTTATTATAATTCAAAGTAACTGTCTTAAAGGATTCATAATTCGTTCATCGAGTTACTTTCTCGTGATATCTGTAACATGCAGCAGATTTTGCAAATACAATAGGTTAGCTCACCAAGAATCATTCCCAATGCTCACACATCACATGACATCCATTAATTATAATCGACATGCACACTTTGTAGCATAAAAATAACTACTGCTTAAAAAGGAAGTTAGAAAAAATCGAAGATCTCCGTGTTATTTTCAAGGACAATGTAATCAACGACACAGTTATATAATATATACGATCCGGTTGAGAACTGCTCTTGAAAATTTAGCAAGATAAATGCGTTACAATAGAGAGTACATCGCGAAAAGTTGACAAATGGCACTTGCACGTAAAAATCGCGAGCCGCGTAACGATAAGGAATCCTCGGCAAATGTTGCGTGCAGAAATCGTCAATCCTCACTGACTGAGAGTCGTCTCGAGCGTGTACGGGGAATTACGGCGTCGTGAGGACCGCAGCTCTCCGATCTCTCGCAGTTGTTAATAGCTGTCACTCAGCGAACTCGACTGGCTCGTCGTGCATACAGAACGTCCGTCCCGACCGAAGGAACGAGAGATAGCTCGCGCGACTCCAGCCGATACGAACCGTAATCGACGTCTCCGGCCGCTCACGAGATCCCCAGTGTCGATCTGCCGTCCATCCTTCGCTCGATTAACGATCCTATCGGCGACGAAAATTAATGGCAACACTCGGGGTTTGCGTTATCATTAAACCCCGCTATCGGTCGGTCACCATCTTTTCATACGTCAAACGTAGAGTCTCTCTTTATGCTCGTGCGGGAACAGAGGGACCGCGGCGGGCGGTAGTGCGGTCAGCACATATACAAAAGTCGCTGGACGGGCCGACAGAGATCTCGACGTCGAACGAGTCGCACACACCCGCTGTTTTCGCTCTCGTCGCGATCATTCGCGCTTCGACTCGCGCGAGAAGAGAGCCGCGGTGACCACCACGACACGTCCTGTGCACGCTCCCACAGTGCGTAACTCACCGACAAGGACAGGTTATTCGAGGTACCGCATCGAGAGAAAGAGAGAGAGAGAGATGAAGATAGCCGCTTCACTGACGACGATGGGACCATTACGCTGCGTCCATATGTGCGAGGGTGATCTCGCGATTTTCGATTGTTATTTCGAAAATAATCAAGAGAGAGAGAGAGAAATTGTCACTGCTCCTGCCATGCTCGACAGTGTACATACGTGCGTAAAAAAAAAAGTGTCCGGAGGGAAAGAGAGGAAAAAATGGAGACAAGACGCAGAGAAGGTGTAATCAAAGAGCAAATAGATCAGATGTGATCTGTGCAAAGAGCAGATAGATAGGAGAGGAATCAACATGGAGTGAAGAAAGTGCAGAACGAGCATCTCAGGGGACGACGCTCTCTCGGCTCTCGAAAGCGCCTAACTTCAGACGGCGGGCGCGGTGCGCGCGCATCGTACCGACGCGCGCGCTCTCGCAGCCTGGCGTTAGAGCGAAATTTTATCGACGGGGCGGGCGAAAATTGGAACGACCGAAGGACGAGTCGAGTGAGAACTGTCGTGTTTCGTGCGGGAACTGATATACACGGTCGGGTCATGGCGTATGTTAATGTAGCCGAGTGGAAAACGGATCAGGTGTGCGAGTGGCTGAAAGGTGCGACTGCGATGTTTTTTATCTCAGTGCTAATTGTGCGTTTGCGAGCGGCCGCGAGGAAAAATAATTGAGCGACCACCCCGTAGCCCGAAAAAAACATGTCGGGGATTCCATTCAGTTTCGTCTCTGTGAAAATCCATTCTCTCACTCTCGGCATACACCCGCCCTCGGCTCGCCCCGCTCCCCCTCTCACCGTTGCATGTCAGTTCATTAAGGCGTTCATAAAAGGCCGCCTTCGCTCATTCATTCATTCATTCGTTTCGTCCGTTCGATCGTCCGATTGCGTAATTCCCACATGACTCCCCGTCCGTACTCCCGATGACATTCGATATTAAACGTTCTGTTATTAATGATGTTCCATCAGCGGTGTCAAACGGTAATGTCGTTGAATCAATTGCGTGGGAATTGTTAGCCTTGGATCGACCCCGCGGGCAGGCATAATTGCCGAGAGGCTTTTTTCATCGACGTTCTGAGATTTTTCTTCTGTTCGTGATTGGTATTATTTTGTTTAGTGTATTGTTGTGCAACAAAATTCTTAACATATTATTTCTCACGTATATTTTGTTCTCAAATAGAGGGAGAGGAAAAGAACTAAATATGCAATATATATGTACAGAAGAATCAGTAATTTGCAGAGATATATGAAAAAGATAATATAATATAGTTTTTAATTTTTGTATAGGATCTCATTTTGTCAGATTCTCCGGATTGCATCAGTGTCTATTCATGAAACACAATGTAGTTCCTTTCCTACTTGTGCATCAGATAATAATGTATCATCCTAGATAATGACTACTATGATTCATCCCAGGAATTCTAACAATTCAATGTCTTTCTGTGTCACAGGTTTAGATAATTCCATACTTCCCTATGTGCATAGCTTCATGAATCATAGTGTTAATGGGCAGCAATTATTGAGCTTGCGACCAGAAGATTTAGAACACTTGGGTGTATTGAAACTCGGACACCAAGAGATTATACTTGAGGCTGTGGAGTTTCTGAGAAATTTTCATTATGAACTGGACAGGGAAAATTTACAGCTGCTGGCGCTGCGACTGTCGTGCCAAGCTCATAGCTTGCACAATGAATTGTCACGTCAGACTGATTCAAAGCCTGTTACTACTCAAACATTATCAGATGTGGCATCGGTTGTGATGGCAGTGAAACCTCTAGTGAGATGGCTAGATCGTCCCCCATTCAGTGGGCAATTAGAATATAATGACAAGAAGGCCGAATTGATGAAGCTGTCTCTAGAAATGGCCACATGCGCGCAAAGGGACAGATTCGCTGAAAAACCGATCGAAGAAATTAGAACGACCTGTGGTCAATTGGCAAAATTAGCAGATTATATTATTCAAGATATTGTTGACCCCATGATTTTGCAGCCTGCCAGTTTAGATCTAGCAACGTTAAAGAAGAAATCTGGCGATGATTTGGTAAGTTTTTAACCATTTATTATCAGTGTTATGTCTTTAAATTGATATTGCAAATTTTATCTATGATATTGCAAAGTATAATTTTGTAAACAAAATTGCTTGTATTTTAAACAGTTTATGTTTAATTTAAAATGACTTGGCCATTACATCCGGCAATGATAAGGCCCAACCCAACAAGTCATAATATTGTGATTGTGACTTCCTGCCTAGATAATATTTACTTAGCAAGCGCATAACCAAAATATCATTGTTGAATTAATATAATTTCACATCAATATCGTGTTGCATATGACACTGTTCATTTGATCATTTCAAAATATTTGTTTTTTCAGGGTTTTTATATTTTACCATCTTTTCATGGAGCACACCAGATAGCCGAGATCAAATTTGGATCTGCCGCGCATCAGTGCGGCAAAATGGAAGAGGGAGATGAGATAGTTCAGGTAAAACACGCTCTTGTACATCGGGAATGTCGGTAAATCGTTTTTAATCGATAAAAATAATACACACATAATGTATAAATTTATTAGGTAAATTATCAAACGGTAGTTGGTTGGGAGAGAAAGAACCTGCTTGAGTTGTTTCGTGAGAGCCCGGCAGAAATCCTCTTGACTTTAAAACGTAGACCAAGGCATACTAAAGTTTATGGGCAGATTTACATAAAGCCGTATAGACTTCCAAGTAACAAAAAAACCTCCTACGCAACACGATGGCAACATAATCTTCCATCTCCTAGGCCAGAATTATTAACAATACCTGACTTTACAATGCCGTTACCTAGGTAAGCTGCCCCTTTCTATATGTACTCTAATTGTCGCTCCTCCTCCCCCCTGCTGCTAATCTCTTATTCTTTTCTCGTCCGATAACCAATCGTACGCGAAGCATGATAAATTTTAGTCTAACAAAAACGCGTCTTGTTATCGCATCCTTAACATGTGCCTAAAAAAATATATCCGAGAAATATCGAAGACTCGTTTCCCAATGATTAACGAAAGCCGTCTTATCTCGTGTAGACACATACCAAAGAATCCCAGCCCGGAACCGGCGAGTATTTTAGATACGGTTAATATGTTGGACACGATGGCTACAGACAGTAGCGACTCAGATAGCGAGGCGGAACCACCGCTTCCAATCCGTCTCTACTCCACCAAGCCGAGAAGCTTGGTCCAAAGACGAGCTACGATAACAGGCGCCAGTCCCACGACTAAACACGGCATCGATATCGAGCAATTTTGGAAGGAGCTGAAGCAGGAACACTGCACGACCTTCCAATTGCGCGACAAAGCGGCGTCTTGCGCCCACGGTCTCGACAGCGTGCCGTCGAACATACGGCCGCAGACGTGTTTGGGCATAGAGCCGGTGAAGAGGAGAAAAAAGACTGACGGCCAATTGGACGGCAGGAAGGTGCAGTTTCAAGAGAAACCGCCGATCGACACCGAGCAACGGGAGAGCAGCGCCGTCCAGCCGGACGACGGAGCGAAGAGGGTGACGCGCGACGCGAGAGTAGTCACCGCTGGGAGCTGCGAAAACGGCGGCGAGAAGAGCGTCGCGAACAAAGACACGAGCAGGGAGCACTCCCGCTCCGCGGACAACGTCAACGATAGCAATAACTTCAGTGATACGACCGTGCCTTTGGACGAATGTAATAACTTTATTAGCGATGTGCGTAGTATTAATAGTAAGAGCTCGCCGGTGAGCAAAGAGATCATCACCGGCGTGCGGTGCGTGAAGGAGCGCGGTAAGTTGGACAAGAGCTACAGTACGCCGGCGTACGACCTGTCGGATCTCGAGGACAAGGAGGACAGGAAGTTGGCGCTCTTCGACGGTGGTCCGTTCTGCAAATTGGACTTACCGTTTCATTGTTCGAGCAACGGTACGCCGCCGGCTGGTGTTCTAACAAAGACTGATGCGCACCCGTCGTTCACCGAGAGCGCCGACGATCACAGGAGATCGAGGGACTCGCAGAGGGAGCCCGCCGCCAAGAGATCGGGCAACGTCGCGCGGAAAGTCAACGACATCGAGAAACAGCTCGCCCAGATCGAGAGCGCGGCCGAATCGGACTCGCGTAAGAATTCCGTCGCGCGCGCCGACGCGAGTCCCAGAGCCAGCGTGGAGCAGCGAAACCAAAGCAATATCGAGCGTAGCGTATCGGACGCGAGCGACAAGTGCGACTCGGGCAGCGCCGAGGCTGCCTGCTCGAGGAAGAGCTCGCCGTGCAACTGTCGTGAAGACAACCACTCGGAGCTGTCGTGCAGCGGCAGCAGCGTCGAGGGAGACGCGATGTCGCGGAGGTACCCGGAGGGTCAAGTCTCGCTGGCGCTCGACGGCGCTCTGATTCAGCACGCGAGGATGAAGTCTTCCACGACCGCCGAAACGACAGGACCACCGCTGTCGCGAGCAGCAACGAGCAGCAGTTTTGCGGTCGAAGACGACCTGACCAGCGTCGCTCATGGTGTTTCCAGGATTCAGATCGGCATGAAGCCGCAAGCTAAGTGCACGTCGGACTTGGCTACGGTGCAGTCTTGCCGCTACATCGAGCTGCCGAAGGTCGAGTCTGTGAGGAAGTATGAGAGCAAGCACCACGCGACACCGCCCGAGCCTCCGCCCCGGTATTATCCGAAGCAGACGACCGACGTGAAGACGAACAACGCTCCGAGGATTCCGGAGGACTCGGACAAGCCGCAGGTGCCGGAGAGACCGAACGTGAGACGGGAGTTGAAGAAGGTGGATTCGATTTCACCGTGGCATCACGCGAGAAGCAATTCGGACTGCCAGGACAGGAAGGACTCGCTCCTCGACGTGTGCACGTTCAGCTACGCGGATAATTCGTTCGACTTCATCGACGAGTCGCGCGCGATGATCGGTCTGAACGATCAGAAGTTCACTCAGTCCGACGCCTCGTTGTACAGCGAGAGCAGCGACAGGCAGCTGAGGGAAGATAGATACGCGTACGAGAAGTACGAGCCGTACACGGAAAGGTTCGCCTGCCTCGGCCAAACCGCGATAGACGGCTACAGGTCCGAGTATTCCCCGCGCCACGTCGAGTGTCCCGACGGCGTGATGAGCTCGAAGCAAATGATGGCCCTGCAACTGAGGCCGAAGCTCTCGGAGAAGGACCGGAGTTTCGAGAAGAGCGTCGTGAACAGAGCGATGATGGTGGCCAGGAGTATCGGCCTGCACGGCAGCTTGAGTAAGTCCAACAGCAGCCCGAGGAGCAACAGGAAGCGAAACATACTATTGGCTAGTAAGTGCGATTAGTATTAAAGGAGCCTATAAAGTAATGTCGCTCTTTTCGATACTTATACATTTCATTTTATTTAACATTTAACACACACAGATTAATCTATAATATACATAATTCCCACAATTATTGATAATCTTCTTCTATCTCTTGAATGGTTTGCTTGGGATCAGCTTCAATTTCAGCTCTAACACAGGATCCTTGTCAAATTCAATAGGTCTTCCAGATTTTAGTTCGTCGGAAAGATTGAAAAGTCACCGTTTTTAAACCAACGCCTGACACGTTCTGATATCCATGGCACTAGGATAAACAGAATTAATGGCACTTGTGGCATTGTTACCCTTTCGAAAAGCATCAAATGTTTAATATACACTTTATTCACACACTTTGGCCCTCCATTCTTAACGATACACTCAAATTTTCATTTCAAAATTTCACAATAAGAACACTAAATGTCAATAAATTTAATTAGTATATAAGTTACGTAATAATAAATCACGTCCACGAACAAAATGGCAATGTTTATTCAATCTGAAAAAAACGACATTATTTATAGGTATCCCTAATATATTCAGACCACGGAACTCATTCGGGCATTTTTCCCATGGACCACTTTGTATCTGATTTTATGTAATTATGTAAGACAGAACATTGATTGTTCATGTGGACATAAAAAGAACTATCGCTATTGTACATATGTAACAAATGCATTAAGTAAAATTGAACATTTGGAGTAAGGGTTTTAGCAGAGAGTGGCTGACTTGCAATTTTAAGACAGTGTTTTATGTCCTAAATCTTTCTAAATTATCTCTTTTTTTACTCTTTTTTAAATTATATAATGGTTTATCATCAATCACAAATAGAACTGCTTTTAAGTTTAAGACTCCACACACAAGACAGTCATTATGTGTTATTTAAGATAGTTGGTCCGTAGAGGGCTGGATTTTTAATGGCGATATTAAGGGACTTTTACTTCATAGTTACATAAGGGCATAATAATTATTATTTAGCGAAAAAAATACTTTCCTACAACCTTATTTAACTACTTAAATAATAAATGTTCATTTTTCTGGATGCTCGAAATTAAGACAAATATACACAATATTAACAAACAGGGAGATATTATTTATTATTTATTAATCTATACATCAGCTGAGCCAATAGCAGTGCGCACATAATAGAAAGCAATATATAAGTGTATATGAATACTTAAATATATATATATATCGTAGGTATTACAGTAAATTATAAATTTACTACAATACTACGAATAATACAAAAATATAGCCATTTCCTATTTTCAAAACGAAATAGTCAATAATTCTGAAATTTTTGCATAATGTTTCTGTGTCAATCCTTGATATCATAGTAGTTTTTTATTAAAATCCTAAATATGATTTAGGAGAAATTAAAAATAAGAAAATTAGAAGTAGGTCATTAATCTCAAGTGAACGAGTTATATTTATACTTATCTTCCGTTTGAAGTCGTCTCTCACGCGTGTGTGGCGTTACTCTTAGCGTTACTCTTGGCATGAACGTTTCAAATGTTTCTCCACTCCACAATGCACAAGTCACAATTTTGTTATTAGAGAGAAGAAACGTGTCTGTGAGAGAGATCGGCGCTGGTGACCTGGAGGGATGGTTGACATACCGTAGCAGAGGAGCAGGCGGAGCGTGGGCAAGGGCCTGGTTCGTGCTGAAATGTTCATCTTTGTACAGGTGAGACCATCCGAGATCTGTTAACACAAATCCCATGTGTAATCCTGCGAGCCCACGGAGCTCTTATCTCTGCGCTTATCGGCAGGTTTAAAACGCAGGACGGCGCGAAAGCCGACTGCTTGATCGCGTTAGCAGGCTTCACCGTGTCGCAGGCAGCCGAGGTAAAGTCAAGGAAGTACGCCTTCAAGGTCTATCACACGGGTACGGCGTTTTACTTTGCCGCCGATACCGAGGACTGTTTGAGCCTGTGGCTGGACGCGATCAATAAGGCCACTCTGGGCGCAGACGGTTACAATCAAAACGCCGGACTCTACAGCGAGACCGACGAGAGCGACGGCGAGAGGAACAGGATGAGGGGCACACTGGAATCCAGGCAGAGTTTGGACAAATCCTTCGGCTCGTTGAAGAAGATCGCGCGGAAGGACATGGTGTTCAAGGATCACGAGATCGTCGGCGCGAGCCTGGATCGCAAATACTTGAAATTCCTCGGCGCGAAGAATCAAAATATGCCCGTGCCCACGGCACAGTTCCGCAGTTACAGAAGAGTCCTGCCGACGTCGACGCCCAACAAGTGAGTACACCCGAGAAATCCTTCGTCTCCTCTCTCTTTCCGAATCACAGCCGTCAAGATTGTAACCGAATGTTTCACAGGAAAGAAGACTCCAACTCGAACTCTCCGGACCTGCAGATGACCATCGCAGGCAGCACGTTCTACGGCTTGAGCACCTCCCAGAGCGCTACGGACATGTCAAGCCCGTCGAGCAGTCAGGACATGGGCGATTATCGGCGCGCTACGGATAGGTCGGTCTCTCTCTTTATCCACAGTCCCCCTGACCATATTATTGTCAGACACGTCTTAATTTTTTCATTGGCTTCCAAGGACCAGGTTTATAACACGGCTCATCTATCGATCGAATTATGATAAAGAACCATTATTCTATAAAAGATTTTTTTTTACGTCATCTCATTTGGCTGTTAAAATGACCTTGAACAAGTATGAACCTGCGCTAGTTGCATCGTTGATAATAACGAGAACAGACGTGAGTTTTGTGTGTGTTAATTGAAATTTAATTTCATTTTCATTTATTTGTAGCTTGAAATTTCAGATTTTTTGCTTACTAACGGGAAAATAAGTTTTTGTGTGAAAAATGTTATTTACAAAAATTATGGGTAAAACAAGTGATTTGGCACCTCAGAAGGTGGCAGAGGTAAAAGTGCTGATTGACACCGAAAATTATTCTAATCGAGTAAGTATAAAATCAGTAGTTTTTCTTCTCCTCCTAACCTGTATTCTATTAAAAAATCAAAATGCGTCTAATAATATGGCCAGGGACTTTATGTAGGCGTGGGAGCGATTTATTTTTCTCTCTCACACACACACACACGCACACACACTTCTTAATATTCATATATGTATCCTATATCCATTATCCTGGAAATATATATATGTATATATATATATTTTTTTTCTTTTTAATGAAGGGTTGAACGATGTTTTATTAATATCTAAATATATACTTAAGGCTCTTATGTCCTCACTTTGATCGTCCTTGTCTGATGACGTCAGAAGCGAGAAATCGCATACCAAAATATATTACGGTATTCGTAGAAATAAAAGAATATGTGCATAAAATAATACTCGTGATAGATTCAGCACACCTGTAAAAATGTCCGGGCGCTTTTCTTTAGCCTGAGCAATCAATAAACAGCGGAAAATCAGCATAACATGCGACTTACGTTTTTAACTTATCTTTTCTCATAATTCTGTTACGTTAATTTTACGGCTATTTATTGATTGTTAAAGGAAAACATCCGTTTGTACAAATGTGCTGCATTTATTACGAGTGCCATTTTATGCATATATTCTTTTATTTCCACGTTTTTCCGCGTTTTATTTTCAGTGTTTTTAATCTCTTCAGAAAATGGTATAATACCGTAAACAATTTAATTTCTAACATGCAAGTTATTTGGAAAAAATTTCACTTTTCACTCACTTTTTTTCAAAAATCTCACTATTTTCTTACCTGTTTACGAATGAAACACACTTTTCTCACCATTTCTGACAGCTGAACGGCCGTGTCTTGCAACAATAACACTCGTATCCTCGCGACTTGACTACAGATCCGTCGGTGGCCGTGGCAGAAGAGCGGACGACCTGCAAGGCTTCCTCACGCTGGAGGCGTTCATGCTGTCGCAGCAAGAAGAGGATCAGCAGCGGCCAAGTAGCGCGAACAGATCGATGTCGCCGCGCATCACGCCTCTAACTAACGACCACGTGCACATCCAGCACAGGAACTTCAACGACAACGCGTGCAGCAACGAGCAGGTACGGCAGTTGAGTGACGCGTCGCCATCGGGCGACGACATCGGCAGTGTCTACGGCAGGATCAACAACGAGAACAACGGCGCAGCCGTGTACGGTCACTCGAGGCACGCGAACACGCACTTGTCGCGTCAGCCCGCCGGCGACCTCGTGGCCGGCCGGTCCGAGGGGAAAAGCGACTGTGCGAGCGACAGGTCGTCCTGCGGCAAGTGCAAGACGAGTGCGCACGAGAAGAGGACGTGGGACGCGCAGCAGAGAAGGGCGCAGCAGGAACAGCTGGCGAATAGCCAGCAGAGCAGGAACGGCGACGCGATGTACTGGAGGAACGCGATGAATCCGAGCAGACAGGACTTCCAGGGTTACAGCAGGGCTTATGAGCAGCACAACTGCTATCCGCAGTCTTCCAATCACGAGAGCTACGTGACGCATGATTATCTTCCGTCGAGGGACGTCGGGAACTTGATGGAGGACTTGAGGCCGGTGCCGAAGCGACTGATTAGGAACGACGGTAAAGTTTCGACGCTTCTCTCGAGGTCGTCCAGTGGCGACGTTCATCTGTCGTGATCGATGACGACTATTCGAGCTTTATCTCGATCGTATTCGTTTTCATTGCAGGTTACTCCGGGTCCAGCAGCGACCTCACGTCTCACGCGTCGTCGGAGACGCTGCATCGCGCGAAGAAGGACGTGCTAGTCAGCCGGAAAGGGAGCTTCAATCTCACCAGTCGTCACGAGTACAGCGCATCCGACAAATACTGGCTGGACTCGCTGAGACGCGGCGATAAGAAGGCGGCCGCGAACTGCGATAAGAACCGTTTGAAGAACGTGGCGCAGTACCAGCCACCGCCCATACCGACCTCACCCTTCGAACTGGAGGGCATGAGGGCCGCGTTCGAGATGCACCTGGACAAGGGTGATCAGGTGCAGAAGACGAGTCGCCTGAAGAATCTGTTCGGAACCAAACAGCAGAAACCCTGCACGCTGGATCTTCCCAAGGATAGCCAGAAGACCATATTAGGTGAGTAATCTCCAATTAACACCTAGCCTCGGCCTACAACCTTGCTCTAGGACGTGAACAGTAAGCAAATTGACCAATCGTAGTCCTTTATTAGAGGAATAGTCGATCGTGATTGATCAATTTGCTTATTGTTCGAAGCAAAATTGTGGATCAAAGTTTAAACCACCCCGTCATTCATACTCTATAAACACGTAATATTAAATAATATTCTGGGTATATTCTTAGAATATTAAACGTTTCTAATGATGCTATTTAATGTTAAGTAATATTTCTGGAGTATCAATAGATGGTTATATGTTCACTCCTAATAATATTTAAGAAATAATCAAGTGCAATCTACGAGGTATTTCCGCGAGACGTGACTCTGAATCTGACGATCGTTGGGCGCGAGCAGGTTCGCCGAGACTACACAGAGCGCTGTTCCGCGACAAATGCTCCAATCAGTCGCAGCACCGACTGTCCACTCGTTCCGATAGTCAGAGTCCCGGCGACAGTGGGATCAGCCAGTCTCACAGCTCTTTCAGCGGGAACAGCCCTTCACAGACACTCAGCCAGAGTGTCAGTTCGGTCAGCTCGGCCAGTGACTGGAGCCCCGATACGTCAACACCTTCCAACGTGTCAAAGGTACTTGTTGAACGTACAGAAATCCTATTGGATTTTAAAAGGGAGTTCGCGTGAGCTTTATAGATGGAGGAACATTGACCGAACGTTTGAGTTTCCTTGTTCTTTTTCTTGTCAGTACGGCAGCGGGTATTCATCCGGCCAGAAGATCTATCCCGATCTGTCGAACATCAGCAGGAATTTGCTGGCGCCACCAACGTTACCATACATACCGCCGCCGACGTCTCCGCCACCCGATTATCCCGATCTGGAGTACCCGCCGGTGTTCGAGCCCGGCGCTTATTCCTTCTCGGACACGTCGTTGCTGCGCAATCGCGGCAAAAGTAGTCAGAACGCAGCCCAGTGACAAGCCAAATTCAACGCTCCGATAATGCACCAAAGATAATAATTTTCTTTGTAATGACGGATTATTATAAACGTCCCGACAGAGGCATAATTGAGTTTAACCGATAAATCGCGTTTAGCAATTAGTATTCCGCCATGAAATATTTCAAAGTATATGACCGTCCACTCGCACGAGCGTAAACGAGCGTGTACTCTTGCGTATAGCTGACGAAAATCGTCGACGAGTTTATTTTCCTCCAAAGCTGCTATGAGGCGAGAGATATGTATTTTGCGAAAAGCCGAATATAGCGATACGGAAGACTGAACTAAATGTTATCTAACGTCGTGCCGTTAGAGATACTTGTAAGTAGCAGACTCGTCTGTTCCGGAATTATTCTGCACAATTCAGGATGGAATCCTACATTGTTACTGATATTACGATTACTGTTGTTAGTAATGATTCTCGAAAATAATTCCTTGTGTCTTCTGTAGCAATATAGAAACGTACCGCAGCCGTTCAAATCATGTCTTACCAGAATATTTTTAGGATTTGTGGCGAATACTTTTTAATATCGTGACTTTATTCAGTGTGTAGAAGCTAAAGTGTCTTCTGAGGTATTATTTCCTTTATATAATTATATATTACGTATTTTATATATATATATATATATATATATATATATGTATATATATATATAATACGTAAACAATAAGACACACTCGACTAATCATAGATTTTATAAACGATTGAATCTTACAAGGTATCTTATATATATTTCTTATGTACATTTTGGAAACACATAATGCCTAATTTTAAACGTATTAATANTTTTTACATGGAGTGTTATCCAATTGTGTGTATTGTGTCGATTATAATTTATGCTCAAACGATTCTTGAAGAAGTATTGCGAAAGTCGGAGGAGCCGAGACATTGAAAAAGAGAGAGACGTACCGATTCTTGTTTATATTTTATAAAGTATTTTACTCGATCGCTTTTACACGTCAGTCTGTAGTTATTTTATACTTCATTAGGAGCAAGTGCGCGCGTTGCACAAACCGACTCAATTTTTTTATAACGAAAATATGACTGCACTGAGATAAGTTATTAGTAATAACTACAGATTTTATTATAAATTAGCAATACATATCGCGGGCAAACCGCATATATCGTGTACTTTGGAGAGTGGCGTTAAATAAATTTTGCAATGATTGTTAAACTGCATTTATATGTACTCCTTTGCTCCGAATATTACGATTATATTAATTATGTCTTTTTGCTTGTTTTTTTTTTTTCTTTATCTTCATTTGACAAATCGATGGACAAAGGTATCAAGGCTAGAAATAGAATTGAAAAATTAGAAAGAGTTCGAACGTGCCCGTGCTCATTTTCTTTTAATATTAAATATTAAGAAAAAATTTAATATAAAATGTATTAAATATAAACGTATATAAATGTATTATATATATATTAGTTTTTCTTCAATTCTCTTTAATATAAAATTTATCGTGATAGTTAAATAAAAAAATAATTGTAGCATAAGTAAAACGTGTGTATGATGATTTTTATATAGTGGGATTTCATGTAGTGGAAGATCTAGCAAGATGAGATCTAATAATAGCAACTAAGGTCATGGAATGACTCAATAATAAGTCGTCAGTCATACTAACCAAGTTAAATAACACAAGTCAACGTCAAGTTAGTCACATCTTTATTTGCAAATCAAGTCCATTCCTCGTAGTTGCACTTGATGAACTATTTCGTTAACTTTCTGTTTTCTTTTTTCGGCCAGTCAGGCTATAGTGCCCCGCGCCACGTTTCTTTCCGTGTAACCAATTATATTTTTCTATTCTTTTAGAAGTTTTCCAACAGAAATATCAAACGTCGCAATTAATTAGTCACGCGTTACGCGGGAAAAATGCGTACCATGGGACGCAGTTACAATCGCGGTTACAGTCACAGTCTGAAGTTCGTGTCGTATTTCGTTTAGGTCATATTTCGTACATCAGTAGGTCTGTTCGTTTTCGCTGCACCGCTGAATTAGTGCAATAAGTTGAAGCGAGACAAGTATATGTTTTCTCACTTCAACTTATTGCACTAGTTCAGCGGTGCAGAGAAAACGAACAGACCTAGTTACACGCAAACGGTTCAGATTCTCCTCAGATCATTTTTTGTTTCACTGGGATTCATACTCGCGACGAGTGTGGACGAGTGTGAATCAAGGTGAATAATATTCACGGAATATTCATTTCATTTTCTTTTCAAGCGGCTGTGCGACCTTCTGCTGATCTCTGTATTCGAATTTGTAGACGGTCTCCCGTGGACTCTCGCGCCTTGCCCCGCACGCGCGCAGTGGAAGCACATCTATATCTTGTTAATTACGTGCAAGTGCAGCTCGTCGACTCGCGTTGACTCTATGTACTTCGGACTTCCTGTCGAGTGTAGTTCTGTGCGCTTTTACGTCGAGCGATCGCTGGCGACCAGATACCAACAGCCGAGTTCACTTCGCCTCTTGTATTCCTGTCACTGCGGCAGGATACTCGTCGTTCACAAAGAAGATCTCCGTCCGGTGGGCGTTCAGGTCGGCGAGATCTCCGTCGCGGAAATCCCCGTGGCGAGCCGTTCGAGTACGTCAACAAGATTTGTTGTGCGTTCTGCACACGGAGTCGGTCGCATTGTCAGTACACGCAGCCGACTTGTGCCTCGACGATAAAAAAAAGTTTGCGATCAGCCTGGTGAAACTAAAATAGACATTTTCTCCTTCTTTCTCCGTCACTTACACCCGCAAACAACACGCTATCTCGCGCCGGACAGTCCCGCGGCATCCTTGGGCTCGATCTCGTGTTTCACGGCCGATCCGAAGCAGGGAAAAATTACACTTTCAAAATTAGAAGTGCAGAACAGTTGGTGAGAAATTATATCGACTTGATGAAGTGTTATCAAAGACGGAGAAATTTGAAAGCTTTGTGCTAAAAAGTTGACAAACAGGCATAATTTTGATTTGGCAACTTGAACAGTTGCTATTCAGAAAAGTGTTACAACTTTTCTCTCCGCTATTGTACAGTCGGATATTGTGCTGCTTAGCCGATTTAATAGTGACGAGGCAAATCGGCGGTTCGGAACTGCGCATGTGCCTTCGAAACCTGAGTCCGTGTTGACGTGCCTTCGAAACCTGAAGTTGTATTATTTCGGCAATACGCATATTTCGTTACCACATCATGCTAATCGGATACTGGTATTGAGAATCCTCCTTAATGGGACTCGTAGAAACATTACTGTAAGAGTGAGTGAGAGAGAGAGAGAGAGCTAATTTATTTCACCTGTTAATCGCAACCATGAAGAAGCCAATTAATACACAAGGATCTGAGACACTTCCCAGCTCTTCAAGATTCTCACCAGATGTTGAAACTCTTCCAAAAGGGAAACGTCCTGACTTGCCATTCAAATCAATGCATTTCAAGCTAAGATCAAAGCTTTCTGACCTTGTAGAACGTGATATGCTTGAGTTAGGTAAGAACAAGATGATCCTGGATAAAAAGTATTTTAGAAATGCCGTTCTAAGCGCTTTTGAAGATTTTAAATTAAAACAAAATATAAATCCTATTCATTTAAATGACATCCTTTTAAAAGATTTGATAAAATTGGATATTCGGCAATTACCACCCGGGGTTCCATGGTCTCGTTACCGTACCAAAGGTGAAGTGATGGATTGTCCAGAAGCGCGTCGTTCAATACGAAGCTTTTGGCATAATGTTAAAAGGAATAAGAAAATAGATCCCCCTCATTGTAAAGTATCATACCGAGATCGCATGATTGATATTGACGTTTGTAAAATTTGCGCTGTCTATGAATACCCTGCTACTATTACTTTTGCTGAGGCGCAATTTGCATTGCCTCTGATAGAAGGTTTTACCCAAGAGACCACTGTGTTAGCTTATGGATATGACATATTCTGTGATGATGCAACGAAGCTCTGTCGTGACAAAGGTTGCAAATATTTTGGATGCTTCAGTTTCTCTGATTTCGACAAGACTGTTTCTCATCAACTTATTGAATATGCGTTTATGATTTTGCTACAAAATATTGATTTCGCTGAATACAAATATTATGGTATACCATATGCACGACAACTATATCGCGTATGGGAGTATTTACAGGAGTACTTTATTGAAACTAAATTACTATTCCCAAACGGAAGAAAATTAAAAAAAAGTGCGGGTATTCCAAATGATTCGTACTTTACACAGTTGATTGCTAGTATAGTCAACTATATATTCTTGACATATGCTTGGAACACAACTCATAATTTCTTTTGTTTACCTGTACATATAAAGGTCTTTGGAGATATCTCGGTTATTGCCTCCAACGAACCTATAAACAAGTTTAAGATTGCCGAGATCATTGATGAATGTGGCATGATTATAAATCCATTGCAGAGTTTAGTGACTTCTGATGTATGTGAAGTAGAGTCCTACTTAAAGAGAAAAATACAACTGCGTCGCGGTTTTTGATTGCCAGTTCCCTACCTGATGGAATCAGCCAGTAAATATGCAGATTACTGGTGCTGCTTTCGGTATCTCTGAATTTCACATGTGTTAACAAGGACACTGCTCTGAATAATTTCCAAAAGGTTTTTTTTTGGTCGGCGTTCATTGCTTATTTTAAAAGACCGAAACATTTGTTGATCTAATGTTGTAACATTTACGATTTTTAGTATTTTTATTCTTATTGCATATTATAATACTCAGCGTCGGCTTGCACATGCCTTTTTGTTGTATCTCTTTTTGATAGTGTATCGTGAGAGCCTTATTACTTTTTAATAAACGTTTTATTTAAAAATTATTAACAAAAGAAATTTTATAAGTCGAACGCAGTTTTTCAACACCGTGTATATTTAAAGGGAGGGCCCTATTAGCGCACATTGCGATAGCACCATAGATTTATAATAACTAGACTGCGCATTCAACCGAAGAGTCGTCAAATATTAGAAAAAGATAGTTGCTGTACGGGTACCATTCTGTCTTCGTCTGATAATGTATGGAGTGGGGATTTCAGCCCCACTATTTAAGGATTTTTTATCCCACTATATGTCTTTAGAAAAAGACGGACTGGTACCCGCACAGTAACTATCTTTTTCTATTTCTTTCTGATGTGTTTAAACAAAAGAAGATGTTGAGACCACGCGATCCAGTTATTATATGTCTATGGATAGCACTTATCGGCCGCGTTCAGCAGAATGTTTAATTTGCAACTGGAAGTTTTCTGAGCTGAGACTGAATTATTTTCAATCTCAGCTTCTTTTAGATCTATAGGAATAATCCAATGTCAACACATGAAACTTCCAACAGTTGCAAACTAAACGTTCCGCAGAACGCGGCCATCCACGCACAATTGGCCGATGCCTAGAATCTTTCCGCTGAATCACCAATTAGAAAATTTTATAATATTAAATTAACCAAACACCTATGTGGACAATGGGGCCCCCCCTAAAGTAAACACGTAATACATATTATAAGCAAATAAATAAGTAAAATAAGTGAATACCATGAGGGAACAAATTATATATTATTAATATAAATTAATAAAGGATTATGTAATAATAAAAATTTGTAATAAGGGCTTTTAATAAAGTTAAAAATATTGAAAATAAACAATGCCTGTGGCAAATACTATATAATTCAATCTTCAAGATTTCCATGTCCTTCTGTAACCTTTGATTTTGATAAAAACAAACACTTAACCCGTCAGTTCCCAAATGAATTGAAACCAGAAATTTCTGTTTCCTCTTAGGAAATCTCATGTTTTGGAACTTAGGGAAACCAAATTTATAGGTTTTGAGTGTTTCAGAAAAGTGATAATGATAATGTTTGGAAGGTTATTTTTCGCTTATGTATCGCTTTTATTCAGTGTTGACAACTTGTTTTAGAGTCACTAGTATCTAAACTGAACACTTAGAGCTATGTTATAGGTTAGCAGTGTTATTTCGATGGTTTATAAATCAAAAATATTGTGCCACCTGGAGGGTGCATTGGGAATTGACGGGTTAAACATATACCAGGTGTAGAAGTATGAAACCGGAATTTTTTTGTAAAAATTACACGTCTGTTGTTTGAAAATGATAAAAAATATTTTATTCAAAATAATGTCCATTGCTATTTATACATTTTTCCTACCTCTCCGGCAGTTTATGAATGCCACGCCAAAAAAACACTTCTTCTTTTGAAGGGAACCAGCTATCGAGCCATTTTCGTACATTTTCATACGAATTGAAGCGTTGTTCAGCGAGAGCGTGTCCCATTGATGCGAATAGATGATAATCGGACGGAGCCAAGTCTGGAGAATAAGCCGCATGCGTTAGTATTTCCCAACTGAACGCCTCGATCGTTTCCCTGACCCGTTTTGCTGTGTGTGATGGGGCATTATCATGGAGCAAAATGACTTTGTGTTGCCTTTTTCCATATTCCGGTCGTTTTTCACGCGATTTAAATCGATCATTTGCTGTTGGTAGCGATCAGTGTTAACGGTTTCACCAGGTTTTAGCAGCTCATAATAGATTACACCCTTCTGATCCCACCAAACACAGAGCATTGTCTTCTTTCCAAAGCGATTGCAGTGGATGTCGATGGTTCGCCTGGATTCACCCATGATTTCTGACGCTTAGGATTCTCAAAATATATCCATTTTTCATCACCTGTCATGATACGATGGACTTTCTTTTGTATCTGTCGAGCAGCATTTCACAAGTGGTTTTTCAATTTTCTTGCTGTCTTTCATTCAGTTCATGCGGAACTCATTTTCCCCCACTTTCTGAATCTTTCCCATAGCTTTCAAACGAATTGAGACACCTTTCTGCGTCACATTCAATTGATCCGCGAGTTCTTGTTGAGTTTGAGTATCATCTTCATCCAATAAGGCTTGCAATTCGTTGTCTGCGAACTTTTTCGGTGGTTTCCCACGCTCTTCGTTTCTCACGTCAAAATCACCACTTTTGAATTTTTTGAACCACTCGAAACACTGTGTTTTACCAAGAGCATGTTCACCATAAGCTTCGACAAGCATTCGATGCGCAGCAGTTTTCTTCAAATGATAACAAAAAACCAATGCTGTCCGCAAATCGTAGTTCGTAGGCACAAAACTCGACATGTTTAAGGTTATAGAAAAATATACCGGTGTATGGAACTTGAGTTGAAAATCTTCGTCAGCTGTTAGAGGGAGATGATGGCGCTGCAGAAGCGGTCTTACGGTCCCTAAACTGATTGCTAGCACCATCTATAGGGAAATTCCGGTTTCATACTTCTACACCTGGTATATACCTCAATGAAATTCAAAATGTTTAATAGCTCCAACAGCGCGATGCACGATACAACGTCATTATATATAATATAATGTCATTACTAGCTAATAACAAAATAATATAACAAGTATATAATATAATTATATTACAATAATATACGAAACTAAGTTATATAATATCAATATTAATAAGTAGCCAATCAATATGCCGTGTTTCAATAAAAACTAGAAGTTTATTGGCTACCGCGCGAACTTCCCCCGCGCGGCAAGCGTTGCCGCGTCTTGTGGGCAGAAGCCGTAACACGCGCACAAACATTTCTCCCATTGAGGTTAGGGCAGCGTGAGCGTTTTTATTGGCCACAGGCTACATTGGACGACACTAGAAAATCGCTAAATCACGGCTGGTTGTGATTGGTGGTGATCAATTGCAACGTGGACAATAGGGATCTTCTCGCTCGTATCAGACTACGGATTGGAAATTGAGTTGAAATTTAACACAAATTAGCGCCAAGTTCACTAAATTTCACTAAACCAGAGTTTAGTTAACTTTGTATTGGTTGGTCAAATTTAAATCAATCTCAATCTTCAATCCGTGGTCTGATACGGGCTGAGACTACGGAGTAGGATTGAGATTGGATAGAAATCTGGCCATTCAAAATAAAGTTTACTAAACTCAACTTTGCTCTGATTGGTCGACTGATGTTGGGGACTCTTGTTGGGACTCCTATCATTACTGAGTCATTATTGAGAGAAAGAGAGAGAGAGAGAGAGAATTGGTTTGACGTTTTCGCCCCTTGCGGTTCATTGTGTGTATATACATAGAAATTAATTCATATTAAGATCTTACATATATCAAGATATATTATTGTTAGGATTCTTTTAAGAAAATCATGGTGAGTGATGCAATATCAACATGTTAACATTCTTAATTAATCCGTTTCCATGCCGTTAATAATCTAACCTAGAAAATCTTTCAATATAGGAGAAAACTACTTCAGTGAAATGTATATGTAACGTGTTATATTTGATAGTATTTGTGATATTATTATCGGGAAATCGTTAAATCCCTTATTATCAGAATAATTTCTTTTAATACTTCAGTGATATTTAAATATTTACTATTTACAAATAAAATTTGACAGGTTATAGTTTTCTTCACACGTAATCACAACACTGATTAAACATATCTATTTCAAAGATGTAAATTACGTAGTATGATTTTGAAAATTTCTGTAATCGTGTTGAAATTGAAGGCAGGGTTATTCGAAAGTGGAGTTTGTTTTAGCTTGTTTTAGTACTGGGTGATCTACACATTCCGCACAGGTGTAGCAGCCTGCCAAGCAAATTCAAGAAGCTGCTGGTACCAGGCAGAATACAGCATATTTTATGCACTGGCAATCTCTGTACGAAGGAATCTTACGATTACCTCAAGACATTAGCCAGTGATGTACATGTAGTTAGAGGAGATTTCGATGAGGTACATGTCTCATTCCAACGATATCTTTCAATTATACAAGTGTCTATGAAGATTCTCTTTCTGTGTAGAAAATATTTAAAATAACAAATATTGCAATTGAATATGATTATATATCGAGTATATAATCAAAGCTGAATAGTTTAAGAAAACAGAATTGTTTAAGAAATATCTTAAATCATCAGAAAATTATGCAAGATATTAACATATATACATATGTGTAATACGTATAGAATTTTGCTTGCTGCAGAATTTGAATTATCCAGAACAGAAAGTGGTCACAGTAGGCCAGTTTAGAATAGGACTTTCCCATGGACATCAAGTGGTGCCATGGGGTGATCCTGAATCCCTGGCACTAATACAGAGACAATTGGATGTTGACATTTTAATATCTGGACACACACATAAATTCGAGGCGTATGAGCATGAAAATAAGTTCTACATTAATCCTGGTTCAGCTACTGGGGCTTACAATCCTCTGGATACGTAAGTCTAAAAGAAAAATATAGAAACTGTTTGAAAAGATTGCACATGTATGTTTGTTTAGTAGAGAACACAACTATATTAAACTGTGATCTTTTTTATTTATTTAGATCCGTCATTCCATCATTTGTGTTAATGGACATTCAAAGCTCGACAGTTGTTACTTACGTGTACCAGCTGGTTGGAGACGAAGTCAAAGTGGAAAGAATTGAGTATAAGAAGAGTTAGAAGCACTGGAATCTCCAGGATATTTCGATTATAAATTATACCCGGGATAAAAAAAAAGTGCGACTATGCGTATGAACGTGCAATTCCCGCAACTTACGCACTTTGCATTTTACGTCGCATTAATTAAATAATTAATTACCACTTAAGTGTGGATCGTATAACACGTAATTGTAAATAAAGTGATGTATCAATATTATATATCAAAAATAAGTCTGCTTGAGAAATAGTCATCATGTATCTAAAAACGAGTTGATAGATTAAAGTATAATTTCAGAAACTGCCATAAGTAATTTAACAAAATTCAATAGAATATATATTGTATAAAATATATGTCTATATAGAATTTATCTTATAGGTGTATAATGTTTAATATGTTGCATCATCTTAATCTAGAAGTGTGCGAATATTTATAGGAGTTCAATGCGAGTCTAAGCGTGTTGAGGATTAAAAAATTTATAAAACGGTTAAAATCTTTTTGTTAAGTAAAGAAGTAAGACAATGTTCCTGTTGTTTGGAGAAAGATTTGTGATGAGGTAAAGATATGTGTGTCACCTCGCGAAGATACTAATTAATTAGTATCTAGGTAGTGTCAATGACTGTAAAATGTCGATTGTCGTTTTGTCATTTTTTTTTTTTATAACAAACTAGGAACACATTGTAGAACACTTTTTTACAAAAAACCACTCATTCAATCCGATGAACGCGCTCGCAAACTTACATACAAATTTAAATAAATAAAAATCGACGTTATCTCCTATTATTTTTTCGACTTCCTCAGGGAGAATCCTTCACCTGTGAAGGCCTTGAATTCGTCAGTATCCTTTATCTATAAAGACAAATAATATTTGCGATTATACTCCCAGAATAAATTTACTGTAAAGTGGATGATCATATATATAGTTTTTAATATGTTATAATTGAATTATATATCATCACGGTTTTTCAGATCACACAGTATAATTTAAAACTAGCGTAAAACTCGAAGAGGCAATTATTACTCAATCTCGAAGCGAGTTCTTCATATATCATCGTTTAATTCCCACACGATATTCACCTCCTTGTTGTTCACTGGCTTCATGTTTCGTAAGAACCTTAGCGTGCCTATTTGGTAGTCGTAATCGGGTATCCCTCGGACATAGGTTGGCTTTGTCACTGTTTTTTCCTGCTTCGGCCAATCCTTGCGCTTCTTACCGTCCAACCTGACACCCTCGCCTTTAAACGGCACAAAGCCAAGCGGCTCCGGCATCAGATTTGCTAGATCCTCTATCTGCTCCTCGTCTTTCTTGATATGTCGTTCAGGTTCCTTGTAGCCAACTGGCGGGGCGAACTCTACGTTCATATCGCACTCGATGATGGTAACCGCCGGACCGGGACGTGTCTCTAGGACGCACATCTCGTAGATCTTTTGATTATACTTGATCGCGATCACGTCGCCTGTGGTGAGACAAGCGAAACTGCGCAGTCCGTTCTCTAGCACCGCTTTTGGATTCGTAATGTCCAGGAAGTCCTCCGACTGCGGCTGGAAGCGTGAGAATGTCGCTACTGGCAGCGACACGCTCTCCACGTTCAACAGTTCACCCTCTTCTAGCAGAAGATTATGCATCATCTACAATAAAAGAATGTTTCCACTATTATTTGTTATATTATCATGCATGTTACTCCACAAAGAATCGCTCTTTGATACTAAAGAACTTCAAAATGCAAACATGAACGATGCATGAATTGCATGATTGTCTTTTATTGGTGAATATTAAACATTAGGTCTGTTCGTTTTCGCTGCACCGCTGAACTAGTGCAATAAATTGAAGTGAGAAAACATATACTTATCTCGCTTGAACTTATTGCACTAGTTCAGCGGTGCAGCGAAAACGAACAGACCCATTGTCATTTCCACAGTAAAGTATGGGATCTAACCTGAAACAGTGGTAGTTTCATGGCTATTTTATAACAGTTGAAGCAGTAAAATTTGATTCGAAAGGCGACATCACTATTCATTGTAATTGACAACGTAAGTGATTCTAAAGTGATCACACTCCCGTTTTTATTTTCAGGTGAAATTCGATATTTCTTTTACTAACCCAATACGGTAAATAAACTTTGCCCTCGTCAGCGACAAACTCCAGCACACCGCAGTGTGTGATCCTGTTCGTTTTCTTGTTGGTCAGTTTAAACAACATCGGATAAATGATATTGAGCCTGGTGAGTTGCTCCAGAGCGGAAGGTGGCATGATTACTGAAAGGGAGACAAAGAACTTGTGAGGCATCCTTCCCGTGTTTTCTCATTGGGACACAATACATATTGCTGATAGTGTTCACATACTTTTCCCGCCGCGCTCCACGTCCTGGCGATAAGTGCCAGGCAGCATCGACACTGAGAAGCACTTGTACTGGGTATTGAAGGGCCGCGGAATCTCTGGGAACATATTGAAGCCGAACTGAAACTGAAAAGTCATCCCGATCACCGAAACGTTAAACATAACCACCACATCCGAGAAACTCGTATTATCGTTGAAAAATTTCTCCCGTTCATCCGGTAATCATCGACTGCTTCTCCATTATTCTTACCATGTTTGTAGCTCGTTGTTCCTCTTGATGATCTCTCTGTGTAAGTTTTTTTTTCTTACAAGAACGCACCGTGAATTTCAAGATGGAATGGAATATATCAACGCTTACTCAGTTAGCAGACGACTCTGACTCACACGATGTCAAAGAGAACTCCGAAAGACAGACGATCGATGCGCCACCTGTTCCTCCCGTAGAGTAGTTTGACTTAATGGTAGATCGGCCGAACTTACCGTTGCTTTCTAAGAAACACAAGTCGACATTAATCTGGTTATATGTCGGTTACTTCCCAGCAAGAGACACAAGTCGACACAAATTTGATTATATTATCACTTGTCCTTATTTCGCATTTGGTAAAGGAAAGGATAACAGATGATATAACCAGACTTTTGCATCTCTTGCTGGAAAGTAACTTCAAATAACATTCCTCAAGTTAAACAATTTTTTGTGACAAATATCTCTTATTTTCGTACACGGTATATTTCTTAGCTTTTATATGTATATGATGTTTTTCTTTTTGTGAAGATAATTATGATATAATTGCAAACATTCTTTAGATACAAAAGACTGTTATAGCGTACAAATTCTTATTTTACAAGGCGTTCTTTAATATCTCGACTTCACCAGTAACTGCAATAGCTTCGATTTCGAATTGCGCGCCCTGCAACAAGTGAACCAAAATGATTTTATAATTATGTGCACTGAGGTGCAGGCATAAATTTATTCGCATTTGTGATAAATTGTTAACAACACTTTTATCTTACCAAAGGCAATTTGGCAACTTGGTATGTGGTCCTACTTGGATAATTCGCAGTGAAAACTATAAATAAAGGACAAATAGTAGTTATATAAGTGTAAAATCACTATTGAAACAAAAAAAAATATGTCAAAAGATAAGCACATATTAAGTTACTTACATTCTTTGTAAACCTCATTTATTCCACCAAAGTCATTCATATCATTTAACAGAATAGTCGTTTTTACAACTGTAAAGGACGAAAAGCGATATAAAGAACAAAGCTGAGAAATATTTGACGAGGGATATTAATTGAGCTTAATATGGTTCTATCATATGTCGTAGATCTTTTCTTTTTAAATTTTTTAACGCCTTTAGCTTTTCTTCTTCTCCAATCTTTAAATAAGTATACTTATTGCATCTTTATTACCAAAAGCATAACATATGACATAATTTAAAAGGGATGGATCTTATAATACTTAAGCAAAGAGCAAACGAGTCAAGCCTGTAATGATCAATAAAATCAAGTAGTCCAAATAGGATTTCATAATAATAATTGACTCAACCTTTCTCACAACTGGATCCAGCTTCTTCTAAGACATTTCTCATGTTAACAAGAGCTTGCCTAGCCTGAGCTGTGGCACCTCCATCGACGAGCTTATTTGTTTTGGGATCTATACCGAGCATTCCAGACAGATACAGAGTGCGATCTACCAAGACTGCTTGACTGTAGGAAGAAATGCATAAAAAATTATCAGACTTTTTACTTGGTGCGAATTTGCGACTATCTCTTGTTCGACTCAATAAAATCCAGCTGGTAAGATACATTTAAAAATAACTTTATGATTAAAAGGGAAAGAGGAGAAAAACTGGAGCTATAAACTTACCTGTATGGTCCAATTGGTACCGGACACTTTGCGGTACAAATTATTTTTTTTATAATTTTGCCTGTCGACATGATCTTAGTAAATAATTTACCGTCGAATTTCCTTTAAACTGCGGATCGTGGATCTGGATCGTCGGAATGATTTTGTTTCATTTGCTCGATACGTTCTGTACAGGGAGGATATAGGAGATAACTTTTAACCTTGCTTCTCTCTTATCTTTCAGACACGTACTCACACGCATGCCCGTCACATACCCAAATACAGAAATGTTCTACAAATGTTCTATGAATACTTGTTATGAATATTTGTGCATTTATAGGATATGTTGAAAACACTTACACATACCTGGGAAAAAAAGAGATTGCATATGTAAATTTGCCCATATGTAGGACTATATATAATCATATATATTCACAACGAAAAAATTCTGTTGCTTACAAATTATATGCAAATATATGTAAATACAATCGAAATAAATGCTTCTGACTATTTCTGCTTCTGACAGCACATGATATCAACATTTAATTAAATCAAAGTATAATTTTTTTTCATACAGCATGTATGATCATATATAATTATATATGTAACTACATATATGGGCAAAATTCATACATGATTTTATATAATTTTGTAAGAATATTTGTAGAATATTTTGTGCTACTTGAATATACTGTAATATTACTTGTTATATGATTTTCATCTTACACATCATACGTAATATTGAAAATCGTAGGAAATTTTAATCAATTGTATATTTATATTGTTCTGCGCTTGAGATTTGCCAAAGTATGCTTCCACAACAATAAGTGTCACAAATGACACGTGACGCCTGCTGTACGAATATTATTCGTAATAATAAATAGAATATTATTTTAATATTGAATAATATTCTAGAAATATATAATATTCTAGAAATATTACGCGCTTATACGGGAGTATTCATTAAGCGTGCAGATCGAATGTTTAGATATTGGAGGCGGAAAAGCACAAACTTGTACATTGCACAGACATTTCGGCCAAGAGAGCAGAGTTTCTGAAACCGGATTAATACAGACTATCAAAACAAATGCTTTTGTGGAACAATTATATTTTTTTTTATTACGATGCATATAGTATGCAAGAAAGTGTGTATACACCTTCGGTATCCTTATAATAAGCACAACAGATATCTCAGTACATTTTATAAATGACATCGTCGGTAAGTCGAATGTGACTCCAAAATCGATTTGCGTGTTCATTAGTGAGCATTGTTGTTGCGCCGTCCTCGTCTCTTGCGACTGCTGCCGGACGGACGATTCGAAGAGGCCCACTGTTCGTAAAAGCGTTCAGCTTCCAACCACTCCTGATACTTGTACCACCATTCCTCCCATTTGATGTAGTCATCGAGGGTGAGGTCGCGGAGGTACCCTCTGGCTTTGTAATAATCGTAACGCACGCGAACATCGTCCCAGCACTCAAGGCCTCTCGGCCCTTGGGCCAAAAGCGACTCGGGATAATGTCCAGGCGGCGGCGAATCGTAACCCAACCGGGCGATCCTCTCCTCACCCTCTATGACGACCTTCATCGCATTCTCACCGTCTTTTGTGATGCGCATATTTTCCATATCCCTGCGGTCCACGCTCCACTGCGCCATTTTGCCGAATCTAAGGGCAAGAGAAATCAGTGTTGTCAGTATAATCTTAATATTTCGATAATACTCTGATACTTAAGGATTTGGGTATCCGAGTCTCGGGATTATATTCACGGATATTACCCATGGATATTAACTAGTGAATAGTAAAGGTTTTACAAAATGTTTGTTTGTTATTTATGACTGTTAGGATCTTAGCAGAAAGGCTGACTTTTAATTTTAAAAACAAGGCTCTGTGTCTTAAATCTTTCTAAATTATCATCTTTTTTTATCGTACGGTGGATTTTTATCAATCGCACACAGAAGGATTTCTTGGTTTAAGATTTCAGACACAAGATAGTTATTGTATGTTACTTAAGACATATACTTTAGGCATAAAACATTGTTAAACTAATGGTAAGTCAGCCACTCTGCTAAGGTCCTTCGAAAAATCATTAATTCGTAGCGTCTGAAATTAACTGCATATTCCGTTATCCGTAATCTCGAAAGACCCAAGTTCACGGGTAGTAAAAAAAGACAGCACTAAAAATAAAAGACACTGTAAATTTATATAAGCAAACCAAGCGCTTCCACAAAAGGCCGATGAAGATTTTACTAGCAAGAGCTTGTTTGTAATATCTCTTTCTAGCTTCCAAAACAACACAGTATGTCTCAAAGACGTTCCTTAGACATCTTATTGTCTAAAAGAAATCTTAATGTTATCTGGATTGATTTTCGAACGAAGAAATCTAGCGAAGAGAGAAAATATGATGGGGAACTTCATCGGTTAACGTTTACTTCCAATAACTTTAGCCTGGTGAAACATCGCGAAAGAGAAACTTGTCGAATCACCACTCTTGGTTACACGTTTATCGATTGATCGACAGTAGTAGTTGAGTTTCGCGAAATACCGTTCGGACAATGTCATCCTCGGTGGCCCGACGTGGGACGTAGTTGATGAACTGTCGCTGTCATCGCTGGGTGAAGATTCCGGTGGCGGTCGCATCATTTGCGGTGCTCCATGAGACGAGTGTGTCTTTTCTACCTTTACTGGTTTACGCATCTACGCAATTTTAAAGGAATTTTACTCTCGATACAAGATATGATTGACCGAGCAGACATACCAGAAATGATCAATCACGATAAAATTCTCTGTAACATTTCTCGTTTTCACTTATTATTCGAAACAATCGTTACGCCTAGAGATGTAAAATTACCGTTAGATTCAAAGTGACGATTACTGTAAAATTAGGGTAAGATAGCAATTTGCAGGTAATTTTTCTGAAATGCGTTGTTTTTGATAGTTTCTCGCACAAATATATTGTATTTTCACCAAACCTACGTCTATGATAATCTCTGAAATGTCTTTCAGATTAAGGAAACTATTTACAACCTTTCGAAGGAATTAAAGTTTTAAGTGTCTTCATTTTTGTTCCTTATAAAATTATTCCTAAAATTTTCAATTATATATTACAGTTTAGTTGAGACAGCAAGATAATAAACGAAAATGCTATAAACTTTATAAGATATAATGATACGAAAAATATAGATATAGGCCCGCATTCTCAATTTACCTTTGTCGATAAAAGTGTCTTAAATGATTAGTGTCTTAAATGATTTTTCAACCAATTAGGTGGCTTCTAATTTTTAAAGACACTTTTCAGTAAAAATGATTTAAGAATATCAACCTAAAACTAAAAAATATCTATCACATCTTTTTTGGAAAGTCCTGATAAAAACAATTTTTTTCAAAGTTTCTCTAGTCCCTATGTACCTAATTCCCCAATTACTATACACTATATATAGTATATCAATATAAAATACCAAAATATTTTATAAAAAATATGAGTTACATCAAACGTTTTGTTCATCTCAAATGCTCCTTTCGAGCTTTACATCAAATCACTTTTTCACTTCTGTAATTTCTCTTCTCTAAATCATCATTTTACCAACTTTTCAAAATTACCGGGCAATTCACCGAGTAAGTTACCGTCAGATCGGGTAAATTTTCATATCCGGTTCCACCATTAAGACTCGCTCCCTTCCTCTAGGAGGAGGACCCACAAGTATCACCTTTCGTGTGTCTTCGCGACGTCGGTATTAGAACATAGAAGATATTAGCAGAGAGACAAACGGTCGTTTTACCAGTGGGATGGGCTCTGGGACTCGCGGGTCCTCGGGCAGTCTGCTGTGGTGTTTCTCCTTGCGCCGGGCCTTGGCCTCCTTCTCCTTCAAGGTCTTGTAATCCTTCTGATGACGCGACGACGGCGGCTGCGGCGCCGGCGGCGGTGTACGCGGACGCGGGAGCGGCGGCGATCTCGGCCGGGTGCGCGGCGGCAGGGCGCGCGAGCTCGACGGCACCACTTCCTTCGGGTGCGGCCTGCTGCGCACCGGCGTGACCGAGCGCGAGCGCGAGCGTGACGGCGGGACGACGCGTCGTCGTTCTTTCGGCGAACAGACGGAACACGATCTGTCGGAGCAGGTGCTGCCCGTGCTCGGGCTGCGCGCGGCCGGTCTGCTCCGGTTGTGCTCGCGGGAAGAGCGCTCTCGCGGAGAGCGACTTCGGGCCGCGCGCGGACTGCGCGGTCGCGGACTGTGCGGGCTGCGCGGTCTGGGGCTCCTCGGACTCCTCGGGTGTCCCCTGCCGCTGGGCTCGCCGGTACCGCCTACGTAGAGCTCCTTGTAGCCGCTGTGACGCCACCGGTTCGGATCGCGCTCTTCCGCCTCCAGTAGCTTCTTGTTCCAGTAGCTCGACTGCGACTCGCGCGCCTTTCGCATCACATTGTCGATCTCCTTGCGCTTACTGGAGCTCTCGCCGTGCGGCCTCGGCTGCGAGACACTCGTGTCCATTCGTAATCTGCTGGAGCTGCTGCCACTGCCGCCTCTTCTCCTGCTCTCGTAATCTCGCGACATTCTGCCTGTCGGAGGGAATATTCGATCAGCTCATCTCGTTTCCCATCTTGCATGCATGCATGTGCGCATATATGCTTGTATGTGTGCGTGCAAAGGGACAATCGTGCAGTGGCAAGCTGTAGTGACACAACAAAGCGAAGCTTACCTTAAGATACAAGTGTAACGGAAGACTGATCTTGCAGATCTTCTGCTTGGTAATAGCAGAAGACGATTGGACAATCCAGACACACCTGTGGAGCCGTGTCAATAATGTTAATCTTCGATAGATAATGTTGCGACCAAAAGGATTATACGACGAACGCCGCGAACGCGAGGAGAAGAGAGAATCAGAAGCACTCGTCCTTAGGGTCGACTGGCCTAGGTGAAAAATTCTACACGTCACAAATCCGGTACAAGCGTCGGCTCTGGGTGGGTCTCGGGAGAGACGTTAAAGTTTTTTTTTAGCTTTCTCTAAAGTGCGCTTTTGCGTTTTCGTGTTTTTTTTTTCGTTTGTTCGTGTTTTATATATATATATATATATATTTTATATATTTTTTTTCTTAAGAGGTACTTTTTCTTTTCTCACGTGAATCCGATTCGTCCCGCGGGCGGCAGTCCCACACATTGTGCAACGTAATTTTCGTCTTCGCCGCGAGAAGCGGGCAACAACAACAACAACCGCCGCCGTCGCACGCGACGCCTTACCATATCGGCCGCACTCACCGCACGTTCCAGAGCGCGTGGATCCACGAGCGTCTCGCGGACGCGTGAACCGACTTATATTTCCTCCGGGCGCGAGGAGACGCGCGAGAGAGCTCCCGGGGGAACATCCCGACCGGCGGGGATGTTCGAGCGCGAGCCGGAGAGCGTTCGGATCGCGAGCCCGGAGTACCGGCGACGACGACGCGCTCGCAATACGACCGCTCATCGTCGTCGTTAAACGCGGCGCACTCTATCGCGTGTGTAACGCGCCGCGCGCGTGCGCCCAACTTAGCATTTCGACATTAAGCCGACCGGCCGATCGGTCGGTCACACGGTATAAACGGAAACGATGTCACTTTCCCGCGAGGTCGACGTCGCCTCCTCGCGCGGACGCCAGGACGCACTGCGACACGCGTCGGCAACTCGCGCGGCCACTCGCGACGCGACATTCGCCACGGCACGGCTTCTGTCAAAGCCCACGTGTCAACAACAACAACAACCGAAGCGTGTTCCGGTAACGCGACGCGCGCTCAGGAGGCGCCGTTAACCGTACGACGACACCCGGGGCGAGCACGATGAGCGCGAGGCGTCGACGGGAGACGCCACGGGAGAACCGCTCGAGGAGAGAGAGTGTGTCCGTGGAACCGGTATAAGCGCGCGCGCGGCCGCTCGTCCGCCTCCTTCGCTCCACCGTTTCGTAAAAGCGAAGGTCGACGGCGCCTCCTTCTCGCCTCCCATTCTCCCTCTCTTTCTCACCTCTTCTCCTCTCGCCCTCTAACGCCTTCTTTCTCTCTCTCTTTCTCTCTTTCCACTTGCTGCGTACACACGTCGCGCACAGCTGCCGCTCCCTCACTCGCTCGCTCGCTCGCTCTCTCTTTCTTTCTTTCTTTCTTTCTCGCTCTCGCTCCCTCTCTCTCTCTCTCTCTCTAAATATATCTCTATCTCATTCCCTCTAGCATCGACCTCTTACTTAATGCGTCGTCACAGAACTCCGAATTAACGGGGCGAGCGCCGGAATTCCGGTGCGGGCGGTTCTCTCGGCTTTTCTCGCGTAACCGCGTTCTTCGTCGCGACTTGCGCGTCCGTCCGACAGGAAACGCGCGACCGACACGACCCCGGTGTTTCTTTCTTTCTTTTTTTTTCTTTCACCGTCCCGTTCTCACGCGCGCGCGACGGCGTTCGTAATAGCTCTGAAAATCGATCGGCCATGTAGCCTCGCGCGATCCGGACAATACTCTCGGCGGCGCCCGCGTATATCCAGCGGGACGGACGGACACTCACTTTGTTTAACGCGGCGGCCCGAAAACTTGCATTTTCTTGCACTTGCGTCTCGGCGATTCACTTCCGCGTCACATCGGGTACGTGCCTAAAGGGCCCCGTTACAAGAGGCGTTCCTCTCCTGACGGCTCGACCGGATGGAAACATCGGGCAGATGGCGCCGTTGTTTCTCCCGGCAGGACGGACGGGTCATGCGCGTGCGCAGTAGCGCGAGCCTTGAACGAACGGCTACGTTCTAGTTTGAATGTTTCACGTTCTTGCGTTCTGAAACGGTACATAGGAAACTTCGGAAATGATCGTCGTTGGGTTCGAGAGCAGCGCGAACAAATTGGGCGTGGGAGTGATCCGCGATCAGGAAGTGCTGTCGAACGTGCGGCGTACTTATGTGACCCCACCGGGAGAAGGTAACCTCTTTCTCTCTCTCATTGGCTCGTTTTGTTTTGACAGTGTTAAGTTTCTCAGATCTTTGTTGAATTCGCGGAAGTTCGAGCGATATTAAGACAGACGTATCGATCCAGTAAATTGGGTGACTTACATATTGCTTGCTCCGTTAGGTTTCTTGCCTCGGGAAACGGCACAGCATCACAGGAAGCATGTGCTGGATGTTCTGCAAGAAGCCTTGGACGATGCGAAGGTTACCTTGTTGGATGTGGACGTAATCTGCTACACGAAGGGACCGGGAATGGGAGCACCGCTCACGGTTGCAGCTTTAGTGGCCAGGACTGTCGCCCAGTTGTATGATAAGCCGATAGTTGCGGTCAATCATTGCATCGGTCATATTGAGATGGGACGTTTGATCACTGGCAGCGATAATCCTACCGTTCTCTATGTGTCCGGTGGGAACACTCAAATCATCGCGTACTCCAGACAAAAGTATCGCATTTTCGGTGAAACTATTGACATAGCGGTAGGCAATTGCCTGGACAGGTTTGCGAGACTGCTTAAGCTCTCGAACGATCCCAGTCCTGGATACAACATAGAACAATTGGCTAAGAAGTAAGTGAATTTTTGTATTCTATTGTCATTTCATCAGGGATTTTATAATTTAACCCTCAACTTTTTTGGCTGTGGAAAGGGGTGAGAAACTGGCACCACTGCCTTATGTGGTGAAAGGAATGGATGTGTCATTCTCCGGCATCTTAAGTCACATAGAGGAACATCTTTCTGATTGGTTGGATGCAAAAGCATTTACTCCTGAAGACTTGTGTTTTTCACTGCAGGAGACAGTGTTTGCCATGCTCATTGAAATCACAGGTAACTGCTTGAGAATCAACGATTTTGTCTTGCATTCTTCTTGTTTGCTTACTCCGATGTAATATTGCAGAGCGCGCGATGGCACACGTGAGATCGAACGAAGTGCTGATCGTGGGCGGCGTGGGTTGCAATGAGAGACTGCAGGAAATGATGGGTGTTATGTGCAAAGAAAGGAACGCGACTCTTTACGCGACGGACGAGCGTTTTTGCATAGACAATGGCGTTATGATCGCGGTCGCCGGCTTACTCCAGTATAAACACGGGGGTGGTACGTCATGGGATGAAACCACCTGCGTTCAGAGGTACCGAACGGACGACGTGCATGTTTCTTGGAGAGAATAAAGAAATATTTTTAAGTAAGTCCTTTGGTGAACCACCTATATCCCTATATTTTCCAACGTATCCTGGTATTTTTTAAAAGATAGAATTAACGGATGTATACACAGAGCGATTCCTGTAACTATACGTCACTCTCTCAGGGATGGTAGGGGATACCACTTATTTTGAATATAAACTTATTCTGAATAGCATTGTTGTTATAGTTATTACAATATATATTTAAGAAAATATATGTATATATTATTAAATTACTATTAGATAATATAGTTACAAGAATGACTTGTATATATATATCACAGATTATATTCTTATTATTTGAAAGAAAAAGAAATGTGTTACAGTTTCTCTTAAGGAGATATTCTACCTTGTTGGGTTGGAAAGATCGATTTTTTTTACATGTTTCAAGTCTGAAGCTCTAAAAATACACTCGTAAAGTAGAAAATGTAAGTTAGAATATTTGTCAAAGTTGCAAAAACCGAAGCGGCGCGAGAAGCTCCTCCAGCATTCTGTCTCGGCTTAAAACCGCTAAATAATTATCTTTCCTTTTGACTATCTCTATACATACACATATATACATACGTAAATATTATATCGTATGTCCTTTTATCCAACAATGACAGACTCAATGCTGTGGTAATTTATTCCGAAAGATATTTTGTCTGCATCGAAAATTATAGAAATTGCTGTTTTCTCAGCAATTTACATTTTAAGTGAAAGATATTCAATTTTATTAAAAATCACGGAAATGTTGGGGATAATTACTCATTAAGTCAAAGTATTCGTCGATCAGCGCGACGTAGAACGATTGAAGGCTGTCGAGTATCGAAGCTTACGAACTTACGGTAGACTGTAATGGTTTGTGAGAACGAAAAAATTACTGAGCAAAATTTATTCGAACTGACAGAGGGCGTGTTCTATGACTTCTGAATAGCTGATTAGATGTAAGCAATCCAAATCTAATAGTTAAACATAAAATAACGTAATATAACATTTTAAACTCATTGTTCACGAAACTACACTTCTCAAGTTTGCGGAAATGATTATTAAAAATCCTCAAGATATTGCTTTTGGATTTGGCGTGCTTATAAGACATATTTCTCCACAGAATGAACTACGATGACTCAATTTTACCCAACAAGGCAGAATAGCTCCTTAAAGAAAGAGGAAAAATATATTAATTTCCAATTCCCGGAGAATAATGTTTCAATTTTATATGAATAGGAAGGAGGAATATTAATGCAAATCGATTTATTTCACAATTCGTTTGTGCTTCGCAAAAGTTTTCACAGATTCTGGTCGGATTCCAGGCTCTTTGTGTATCATTCACCAAAGCTCGACGCGTTGCCGATCGCGCGAACGATTATACAAATGTGCAAAAAATGCAGCGGCCATTGAAGATCGATCGTACATTATTCGTGACGACCTCCATGCCGCCCCTAAAAATATCCTCGCGATGCGATCGTACAGGCAACAACAGCGGCCGTGTTATATCCGGAAACCGTGGACCGGCCTACCACAGTAATCCGCTTTCTGCGACGGAGAGTGGCTCTAGATTTCCTGCGGATCCGGGACAGCAATTCGCGCCGAAGTTGCAGCTCGGCCCTGCGAGCTCCTCCAGCTGGCTCGATATTGACCCCGTTCGGATGCGATATCGATCCATGACTATCATCCACACACATACACACACACATACACACACAGAGAGAGAACGGTCTCTTTGGCGCGCATACGATGCTTTATCGATTCGCTCCTCGGCTGCGAGGAGGCGAGGACGGACGCCTTCGGCGCAGAGGCCGAACCGCGTGGCTCCGCGTCGGAAACGCGAATTCCGACGGTATCGCGCTGCGAGGTCGCGCGTGCCGAAAACAGGGTCTGGGTAGGAGAGACGCAGGGATGGAGCGTCGCTCGGCCGCAACGAGGATCGGCGCCCTCCGTGGAACGCGAGCGGATTCTCCACGAAGCTGCGATCAACTACGGTACGGTCACGCTCACATTAACGCTAATATCCGATATAAGAATAATCCGTAGCTTCTGTTAAATGCAATCGGGCCCTGTCGCTCATCTTAATTCGAGCTTTCCTTCGTTTCAATTGCAGCCTCGTCGCGAGATTAGCCGGTGTAAAGTTGCAGCGGGAACCGAGCGCGTTCCGGGCAGAACCCTGTTCCAAGGCAAGGAGTGAGCTGAAGCGAGCGAGTTGCATATATCTGACGATAATTAACGGCGCTCTCGCAGAATCCCGCGCAATTAATCCATCTGTGAAATCTCTCTCTGTCCGCTCGCGCGATGACGTCGCGCCGGACGGCGCGTCGCGCACGCTGCGCTGATCGTTCTTCCTACGTGCCTGCCACCACTACGCATCCCCGCTCCGGAAGCGCCGCTCCGTCACTGGAACAGGGTGCAGGGGGACGCGCGCGAGGCGCACAGGGTGGCTCGGGATTATCGCCGAGGCAGGCGCACCGCTGGCTCGCGTCCAAGTAGTGCCTCTGTCGGCGCCAACAGCAGTTACAGCGGCACAGAGGCTGTACCATCAGCTCTACCCACCACTACCAGAAGCGACGGACGGCAGCCGGTAGTAGTAGTAGTAGTAGTACTAGTAGTAGTAGTAGTAGCGGTAGTCAAGCGATTCCGAGTCCCTCGGCCGCGCGACTTTCTCTTCTTCTCTCTCTTTTCTCTCTCTCTTTCTTTCTATCTCTTTTCTTCTTGTTGCTCCTTAATCGATCTTCAATCAATCTTTAATCAATCTTTAATCAATCGACCGGTTATCGGCGCGTTCGAGCGGGTTGACACACACACGCACGCGCGCACGAGGTCGTCACCGGGTAATTCGCGCGGCGTGTCACGGACGGCGAAGCCTCCGTCCAGCCTCTTTTCCTCTCCATTCATTCGGCGCGGCCGCGTACGTGCCGCGCGGAAGTTCGATTCCCCGGCCTCTCAGAGAGAAAGAGAGAGAGAGAGAGAGAGAGTGTGTCGCGCACACCACCCTCGTTCTCTTTGCCGAATGCGCGACTGTGCCACATTTTAAGTAGCGTTTAATCGATAGCCGCGAGCGGGCGTCGATCGCAGCGCCCGGTGTGAAACAAGTGGTGGTAGTGCCAGTGCGGTCGCCGTCGCCGTCGTCGCCGTCGTTGCCGTCGCCGTCGCCGCCGTCGTCGTCGCCGTCACCGTCGTCGCCGTCGCCGTCGTCGCCGCCTCCGTCGCCGCGTCATCGCCGTCGTCACCGCCGGCCACACCGCTCGTCGTCGTCGCCCCGCTCGTCACCCTCACGTCTTCGCGGAGGAGGACGTCTCTTCGCGCCGGGGCCAGGGCGCGCGACGAGATGCGGCGATCCAGCGCGGCGCGTGACGACGCGCCGTTTTCACGGTCGAGGAGCTGCGGCTACGCTGCCTGAAGAAGCTGCCTGAAGAAGAGCGAGAGAGAGAGGTGAGTGTCGCGCGTTCCTTAGATTCGCGTTCTACCGCCGCGCGGAGCACACTCCTCCGCGTTGCCGCCTTTGCTGCTGGTTGGCCCGCTTCTCGCGTGCGCTTCTCTCTCTCTCTCTCTCTCTCTTTCTCTCTCGTCCGTCTATTTCCGTATAGTAGCTGCTCGACGCGAGCGAGAAGCGCGCACGGCCACCGGTACGCGCGTCGTCGAGAGAACTCTCAAACGCCCGGATCACACACGGTCGGCAGACGCGAGACCCAGATAGATAGCTCCCCACGGGGAGACCCCCGCGTACCCATTTGTTGCACGCTCTCAGCTGCTCGCCCTTGGCTCTGTCAAGTCGTGCGCCTTGAGAGCGCGCGAGGACACCTTGGTCGTCCGACCAGGTGGCCTCGCTCTTTGCTCCTCCGACAACGGGGAAGTCTAATTAATCGACGCTTAACCCGCTCCCTTTCGTTTGCGTAGGCGAGGTTTGACGGGTCGGAATTTACTCCGAGCGACGGTAGCCCGCTTTCAGCGGCCGAATTCGCGTGGGTCGGTAGATCACGGGGATAGATTGCGAGGGTCGGATGTTGCGAAAAGTAGCTCGATTGATTCCGAGAAGAAGTTTCGCAAGACGACTCTCCTTGCGAAGCGGCGCTTGAGCGGAACGGGTTTGCCTCTGAAACCGCGGGAATCGATTTTGTCCCGGAAACATTGACCGTTAAGATCATCCCTAATCTTCGAGCGACAGCATCGGATTGAATATGGAATATGGAAGGACCGGAAAGATTGGTCCATATTCTACGAAAGTGCCTCTAAGAATCACCTGGTTGGCTGGGAAGCCACATTTGAGGCACTCTTATCTCGATAAAAGCGAACTCAGAATATGGACGAAAGACACTCAGACAGCACAGATTCCTTAGGGACGTCCTGAGGATGTCCTAAGGACGTCTCGATGTCCTAAAGATGTCCGATGAATGTCCATAGGATATTGTGTGCCGTTTGGACATCCACGAAAACGAGGCCGGCGAGAGAGCTCGAAGCAGATCGAAGCGTAGGCGGAGGCTTCTGCGCCTTCTCGGCAGCAGCAGCAGCAGCAGCAGCAAAACAGTCGCACACACGGCGGATTCGCCGCGAATCTCTCTCTCTTACGTCTCGTTTAATTACCGAGGGAAACGTTACGTCACCGTCCCCTCCCTGCTTCCCCCCGTTCGTCCCGCTGTGTGGAGATTCCGGAGCTCGAGTTTCTTCGGGTCGAAATAAGCGAGCCTCCGCGCCGCCTCGCAGTTCGCGTAGACTACGTTGCCCTACCTACCGCTGCCTTTTACTACTGTCTGACGACCGCGTGTCGTTGGTCGTTACTACTGCCGCTCGTAAAGCACAACCCTAATATCTCCGTCGAGCCGCGTCCACCCGTTCGCCAGGTTCGCGAGGCGAACGTATCCTTCGCACGGTCCCTTCTTCGCGGACGAGTCTCTACGTTTTCGCAAATCGATTTATTATTTACCTCGTGCCTCGGGACTTCGCTGATGAATCATCCGTCACGAGCCGCGACGCGCCAGCAACGTCGATGCAACTCCAAGCGAAGCGAAGTTGCAAACGACGTGATGCAACCGATCGTTGCACCTGCACGCGGAGTTGCTCGTTGGCGATTTCTCTCTCTCTCTCTCTCTCTCTCTTTATTTTCCGCCGCGAAATTTTCAACCGAGCACGCGCCTCGATGAGGCAACGTTCCCGAGATATTTGCGGAGCATTCTCCGAGCGTCGTTCCGAAATGTCGCGGAGATCCGCCGCGGATTATGCACTCTCATTCGTTGGGAAGAGGGGGGCCTCTTCTCTCGGGCTATTCGGGACGTTATTCTTTCTCGCCAGAGAGCTATTCTCTGCGATATTTCTGGGACTCTCTCTCTCTCTCTCTCTCTCTCTCTCTCTCTCTGTGAATGCCCGAGTTGCACGAAAACATTGTCTCGGGGACGGCTCTGTCCGCGCGCGTACTTCGACGTACATTATTATTATTATTCGCCGAATATGCTGCGCAGCACGTTCACCGGGCGAAGTCCGGGTAAACGAACAAATAACGTCGAGAAATAACGCAATCGATAACCGGAGCATCGGCGAATAAAGCCGGCGAAAGCGAGAGAGCGAGTGAGAGCAAGAGAGAGGGAGAGAGAGAGAGAGAGAAAGAGAGAAAGAACGGGCGCGATACACGAGGAGGGTCGGTGGTAGACAAGGATCTTCTGAAACGATGCCACGGGTAAATGTCGGGCTGCGCGACCTTTCGGCCGTGTCGCGAGGAATTCGATCCATTGATATCTGTCCGTCGTCGCGATATGAATTTCGCCTGTGACTTTCAGCCAGCTACGTCCTTCCACGTCGGGCCACGTGTAATCCGCTCCGTAGCAAATAGTACAGCTATCGCGTACAGCGCGTCTCCCTTATCCGAAATCTCTCTCCGGTTATGCTGAAGAGGAAGCGCTGCTCGTCGCGTCCGGTCCCCCTCGTCGTCGTTCGAACGAGCTAAATATCAGGAAGCGGGCGCGCATTAAAATTCCACCTGGTCGCGTGCCCGAGCGATTGGGACCAGATGGTATCGCGAGAGAGAGCCCACGTGTATAAATCGTACTCGTTATTACGAGTCGACGATTTTCGACGCGGACGCTCGCTCGTTCCATCGTCTGTAGCGGATTTCGATTCGCGAAAGAGAGAGAGAGAGAGAGAGCTTCTTGTCTGTTTGCCGTTCGTGCCGTTCGCAAAATAATCACGTACGTAATCGTGAAGGGCTCGCGATGAAAATCTCCGAGGGATCTAATGGCAGGAAGGTGCGCGCGCGCGCGTGCACCCGTCCGCCCGGGGGCGCAAATGTCGCGCCACTGCCGCGTGCGCTGGACCGAAAAGGTCAAAGATCACGGCGGTTAATCTTCGTGCAGATGTTTTCGACGGGTCGATCGATCGGCGCCGGATGTTTCGCTCCGAGCGAACACGCGGGGAGGTGCGTTCCCGCTGCGAAGGGGGTAGAGGTGTAGAGAGGTAGATGCGTTTTCTCTCTCTCGCCCACCGACCAAGCCGACGCGCCGGCTAGCTGGGTCATTGCGGGGAAAAAGATCGATTCGTTGTCGCTCCCTGGTGGAAAACTCGCTCTTTCCGGGAAACACCCCTCGGGAACGGCGCGAACCTCGCACCCTTACGCGTCTCACGCGTGCAGGTGCGTCGTGGTTTCGCCGTCCGCGAGAGCGACTTGCCTCGTCCCGGGCGAGTCGACGCTCGTTTTCCGAGCGCGAACCTCTCCTTGTTGCTCGGATGCGACTCGTCACATACAGCGCGATAATATCGGGATACTCTATTATTAACGTTCCTATTCGCGGAGAATCTCCTGCGCATCTCTCTCTCTCTCTCTCTCTCTCTCTCTCTCTCTCTCTCTCTCTTTCGGAGTTAAAAAGGTAATTCGCGCTGAATCGAGCACTTCCGTGCTTGTCCAATCGAACACCGCTGATTCTATTTCACCGCTGTATTTCGTTAACTATTTACATGAAAAGACCGCAGATAACCGTGTACCAGTCTCTTTTGTTCGATGTTGATTGTACATCTTGAGAGTCATATGTACATATATATTTATTACATCAGCTACATCGTCAAAAAAGGGGACTTGGCTTATAAAACCTTCCTTAACCACACTTATTCATCCGTATCGTTAAATTAAATTAAATTAAATCAAACCTTTTCTTATCTATCAACTTATCCTAATATAAACATCCTAATATCACAATATTATCACAGCAGTTGCAGTTTATACTTCTATAAATTTTGTGTAACATTTTCCATTCCTTTATACAATACTCGATACACGATACATAAATATCTCAAACATCTTGAACATAACATTTATTACTTGCAACAATCACTATTAACACATTTATTACATATCTTACACTATACTTACTAGTTTACTTTATAACTTCCCTATCCTATTTCATTTCGTATCTAAACCAACCTTCTAATCTTGAGAGCCACATATAATTTGCGCAATTTTAATTATTTCCTTTAATTATTTACTTTAAATATTTAAATAATTTTCAAACTTTAAATATTTACATAATTTTCAAGCTTTGATTTATTTCTCGAGATATACAGAGTACATTTGAACTTTACCGACAAACTTACAGATTCTATGTTGAAGAATAAATAAGAAAATCTGAATAAACGTATGTCCGCAAAAATTTGGTTTTTGAGATATAGCTTTCAGAAGATGACAACGATGAAAAAAAATATATCGCGATAAGCGAATTAAGAATGCCACAACATTTTTTTTACCTATTTTTAAAGATAATACCTATCCTATGTTTTTAAAAATAATATTAGTTTTGATATTTCTGAATTTTTAATCGAAGAATCAATCAGTGACGTTAATGTATCATTACCATTTGTTGCAAGTGACATTAAAGATATTTCCCCTTGATATTGTGGATGCCTAGACTTTTGAGGAGCTCATAATTTTTATAACAGTATGTGTTTAATTACTTATTTGTAAAACATGATTTAATGAATTAAATAGATTTTTTTAAAACTGAGGTGGCGGGGTGTCTATCTCAGAAATCATTTTAGGACATATATTTATAATCTATCTCACACAGTTTTGACACGCTTTTATACATTTATATACTTTATGAAACAACTTATATAACAACACTCTAATTATCGTTCCTTATCCGCCTTGTTCGATTCAATTTACTTCTTATTGTTTCATTCTCATATCTCCCTACCATTGAAATCAGTTTACAACCACTGCACATTCTGCATTATTCTGTCGTGGAGCGTAGGGAGAATCGGACGATGGGCGATCGTCGCTCCGTTCGACCGAATCTAATTGATTCCGTGATGTTGATTTGATAGAGTTTATAGGCCGGTTGCATCGTGCGAAGTAACGAGCGGCATGTGCTAGGAACGTTACAGATACGGCGGGTATAACGCTTTTAATAAAGTTACGAGTTCGCGGGGGGCCATGTGGTGAGTTATATCGATTA